GTTCAAAATGTCGTCCTCCACTTTCCACACAAGCTTCATTATGACGAACCCAGTTTCTTCTTACTCTAGGTACTCGAAGTTGTCCATTTATTATTTCAGCCGCATTAAATTTTTTTTCGCGAAGTTGTGCTTCAGTTGTTATTGGACCAGCCCCATAAACCATCCCTTTAAGTTCTCCCCAATACCAGAAATCCATCGGATTGAGGTCAGGAGATCTTGGTGGCCACTTTCGAGGATCAGGAGCATTTCGACCGATCCAGCGATTTGGATAATGTTCATTCAAATACTGAATAACGCCTCTAAGAATGTGTGGTGGTGAAGCAACCACAAATTCTGTCTCCGTTGTAATGGCATGTTGTCTAAGGTCTGTTCCAAAAGTTCTGGTAGGTTATTTGCTAGAAAGCTAAGGTATCCTCCTGATAGCTTTGGAGGTAACTCGAAAGGGCCAATTACCAGATCGTCAAGATTTATTTTAAAACGTTGTTGGAAATGACCGTCACGAATGGTATGAGGATTTTCTTGGGCCCACGTGTGAGTATTATGGAAATTTAATATGCCCGTCTCGCGTAAAAGTATATTCGTCCGTCGCTAGAATATTTTTAAAAAAATCCGGATTTTCAATGTTTTTCTGCAAAAACCACTGACAAAATGTTAGTCTGCGAGGATAGTCTTCTGGTAACAAGGCCTGCACTCGTTGTACATGGTAGGGACAAAGCAAATTTTCCCGTAAGATTCTATGGACTATGGCATGCGATAGTCCTACGCTAACCACTGTTACCGTTTGCAATCGATTGCCGGTTTGATAAGAGTGATGAACGACCGACGCGCTGTTGTCATGTGTGTCTTAAATATTTAATTTAATGAAACTTACTAACTACAAATTTTGGCTTAAATTAGAAAAACTTAATGCCGTTTATTTGTTAATTACCCAATTTAAAAACTTTTTAGATTAGATTGTAAAAATTAGTAAGATTGTGGTCGATATAAAGCACTTAAATTTGTAAGCTATAAAGCCGTTTAGACAAAAATCTATTGACTTTTGGACCATGGGACATATTCGTATGAACTTTTTGACTTGTTTTGACTCTCCCTATTACCCATTTCAATAATGACTACCATAACGTTTACACCCTGAATTTGTACTTATCCGATTCCACAGTAGGTCAAAGCAAAATGTAGTGCTCACCTTGCTCTACAAAACAAAAGTTGAAAGATTTTATTTCCCACGCCTTCGGGCGAGGAAATAAGGTAATCGCGAAAAATTTCGAAAATAAGATGTGTTTTGGATGTTATATGACATGTACATCACGAAAAACCATATCACTCATTTCCGTCGGTTTGTCTGTGGGTCGGTCTGTCAGTCAGCAAATCGTTGGGCCGTCTATAACTTGGAAAGCACTGCTCGGATTTGGATGAAATTTTCACACAAGGTTACTACTATGCCGAGGACGAAAAACCTTGTAGTATTCGAAAATCGGTCCAGCGGCGGTGGAGCCTAGCGTCCAAAACAAGCAAAAAATCGCACAAACTCCGTTTTTTTAGGTCTCAGAGGCTCCTGATCATTTTAGGAACGTGTTTTGGGGTCAAAAGTTAGGGGTCGGGGTTGTCTCACTTGAATCATTCAATTCTTTTTTTTTGTGTTATGCATGCTCGTAGTTAACTTTTTTTCTTACAAATATGATCCTTTACGAACTGCTGACGGCGTTGCGTGGGAAGTCCAGTCAACCTTCGTGACGTTCCAATCATTTTTTATGTTTTCGATTTTTCAAGTAGGTATTGTAGAGTTACCATAATCTCAATATTGGTTTCAAAGTAAACTGAAGGAAAACTCATTTCTTCAAGAAGAGGGCTCTGCGTAAAACGATGTACGGGTAATAAATATTAATTGGGATCATTCTGAAGTATATTTAAGAGTTTATCTATTCCAACGAGTGCGCATACCTCATGTGTTATACTATTGAAAGAAACGAATGACGATTTTATACTTCCTTATTTAGGAGATTGATAAACACACACAACTCGACCCACATCTAGATTGAGCCATGGGGACAACCAAAAATATACATATACTGGTACTTAATAGGATAACGATTTGATATTTTGTGTGAGTAGGCATATACACTGCTCGTCACACATAAATGCACTAACAAGGAGACCTTACACCCTTCGGGTCACCGATTTTGCCGCAGCTCTATTTTGACAGAGACCTAGTAGTGTAGTATACTCCTACGGCTCGAAGATGTACAACTTAAAGAGAAAGATATTTCTCTCGAAAATGTAAGTATCACCAGTTGACCAATTTTCAGAAGTGCTTGAACGGGAGAATTGGCAATGCGTACTGTAAAAATTATTCACGGAAATTTGTCAACGGCGAGATGTTTACTTCCACCGGCAAATCAAATATTTTATTAAAAAAATCCAGATCTCATGTTGCACAAAATCCCCAAATGTCATCCCGTAAAGATCCCATACGATGTCATTCATTAATCCATCATCAGTAATGAGCACTAATTTTTCAGAAAATAATTGAATACCAATGGTTTGCGTCGAAACTTTCTGCCCAAAGAGAGGTTTTCCAAAATGTCAATGAAGTATGTTTTTTTCTTTATTAAGCTGAGAAAACCTTGTGCCTGCTCAAGTATTTCTCTTATTTCTTGTAGTCGATGCCAAGTTAAATTCGTTTTGTTTGCTTTCATGACAATTATTTTATTCCCCAACGTCCACTGCATATTATTATTTTCAAAATAGCAATTCCGCAATTTCATTGCTTACAATTATGACAATACTTTTGTAAGATCAGCTTACAAAAAACCTTACAAGAGTCGGAAAGCCAACGTCCTTTTCAACCTTCCATTTTGTTCACAACATCTTACCCTTCAGAATATTCTTGAGTGATCTAGAATTCAACACTCATCGCTATAGTTTGTGACAACCGCAATACCGTGACATACCGTGATGTTGGAACACGCATCTCTAAAATAGGTGATATGAGTGTGGATTACGGTGGCATATTCCAGAAACTGTAATAATCTGCACATTGTTTCGGTTTCAATTAAAAGTTTAAGCCCCAAAGATCACTTCCTAATTAATATGAGCGTAGCACCTCGTAGCACCAATTTTGTGGCGTTCGCTTTATGGGAAACTTTAAATAAAGTCTATAAGAATTAATCGAATTACAGAAACGTGTTGTGTATTAGCTTTTCATAGGGCAATGACTTCGCTTTGAATTTGATTGATAAACTTTATAGGTTTTGTCATGGTCTGCAGTACAGTCACTGCCCCTTTCTTTTTGTCCCTCTCTAATATTTTTTAATTGTTTTTGGTGACTTTCGGCCTTGTTAACTGGCCTTTACACAGATATTCCATTTAGACAGCTTTTCACGACACTTGGACGACTGTGCGTCAAGGAGCATGAAAAAAATAGCGTCGAGTAGATTGATTCTATACTTCCTACGCCTTCGTTAGACGATTCAAAGAAAAAGATTGAGTCATTAGGTAGGTTTACTTGGGTAAAATGAATCTTCGACCTCTAGTTATCAAACTATAAACTAAATACATCATATTTTTGTTTCCATGGCAGATGTACAGAAGATATGTGTGACTTATTATGTCTAATAGGTGCATAGTATCACACATACCAGCAGCTTCTCAATTATAGGTCTAAAAGTGAGCAGGAATCTTTGAAACGATATAATACTATGTTCCAGAGATTTTTATTTTTTGTTCGTCGGTCCGCCGGCAGTGAATCAATTTTCAAAATCTATGACTACCTAAACGATGGAAGTATTACAATCCCGATAATAATAAAACTTCAGTCCACAAGTTTTCTATTGCTTAAAGATATCTTATCTAATTTAATCTTCCCGTTGTTACCGGGATCATAAGCTTCTTCATGATAGAACGTCTTTGACTAATACTGAAGATGTAAGATTTATAACCTCCTACCCCTTACAACCCCCAATGTTCAATATAAATTTTTTAAAAAATCATCAGGAGCCTCTAGAATGAAAAGGAAGTTTGAGCGATTTTAATTTTTTTTTCGTTTTTTGCCCCTCACTCCGGCGCCACTAGGCAAATATTCAAAAACTGTCTTTTCGTCCTTGGAATAGTAGTAACCTTGTGTGAAAAAGTTATAGAGGGCTGAATTGAATGTCCTGGTTTTTCGTGATTTACATTTCACATAACATCCAAAAAACATACTATCTCAATTTCGCGATGACAACACTTTCCTTGCAAGGAAGTAATAGTGTCGGTTGAAGGAATATACCTTGGCAATGTCAACCGGAATTACTGGTGTAGTTCTTTTATAAAATATAATTACAATTGGTTAAGCTATGCAGTACATTAGATGTCCGGGATACTATTTTACAATTAGTCTAATCATATTAGAATTTGTTTAGAAGAAAGAAAGTAACCTTTATTTTTCGGATAAAAATACATTTATCTTTCGAAATGGCTTGTGATTCATATCGGCAAGGTAAACACGTGTATTTTTCTATTAAATGCTCTTTGAACGAACCCTGTATGTTACTCAATAAACTGGTAGTGATGGCCGGAAACCAGGTATTTTGGTATAAGCGATTAGTAATTCTTAAAAAACTACTTGATCAGTATTCTCCAATTTTGTTGTTGTTATTTAAAAGTATGAATCCTACGGATTTGAAGAATTTCAAGTACTTGCGTGGAATTCTCGTCGCATTACCAAGTACCAAAACCTAAATTTTGCGTCATTTTTCGGCCATAACGTTTTTGCTATTAGTCGGATCTTTTTACGTCTGGTCACATTTTGTAGGTCTCGTAAATACCTAAAAACCTTATATTAAAAGTTATTTCGTTCCTGCAAACACTTTCGATTGAATTGAAAAATTGGTGTACTCATTTCATGCGTCCATGTTTTGAATACCCCCTTGAATAAATTGCACCAATAAAACCAGACTTTACAATTATTCCGGGGAAATTTGCTAATATGATTAGACTACATTTTCAATTTTTTTTTACAGATGCCGCATATGCCATAGCAGTCCGATGGTACAAAGATAATGATCTCATAGCGGACAGTTCAAACGAAAGCGTAGCTGTACCAGAAAGGCACGTCCTGTGGGAGAACGGATCCTTGGAGATAACCGTGGTACAACCTTCAGATACGGGGGAATACACATGCGAAATAGAAAGACCGGAACCATGGGGACCCATCAGGCAGAAGCACGCTATCGAAGTTTTACGTAAGTATAAAGCTACGTTCTCATAAGGCGAAAAGATGACAGCGTGGTACGATTTCGATCCCTTGGCTTGAATGAACCAGCGAGGGTCGTGCACTGTTCACACAGTCACGATTCAGTTCGTTTCTTGAAGCCGATCATGCAAGGACTTTCGATTAAAAAATGTGCAGTTTTGAGTTCGGTTCTTAGTGAAAAGCTTGAGCGGGTCACACTGACGAGTCACAAAATTGGAAGAAAAAAACGTTGCTAGGCCACCACCACGTGGTGATTACCATATGCCTCCCTCCCGATCGGCATGACCACGCCTGAAAATCAAACGTGTCTGTTACCGACCGTGAACGGTCGTGTACTCTCCCGATTACTTAGAGAGAGGCAAACGGAGGCAATTCCATGAATCAAGGATTACGGTATTGTAACACGTTCTGTGAAAACGTAGCTTAAATCACTAGAGAACGGAGAAAGTCGCAAATTAACTAGCCTACTGAAAGGATTTATTATGTCAAAAATTTCCCTACACGAGTTTCCTAGCTAATGGTTTTTTCTGATCAAGATTCATAATTCACAATTTAGAATTTACCTTTTCTAAGCTAGGCTTTTTAAGCCAAAATTGTGGATTTCTAAATGTATTTTTGAACAGAGCATTCTAAAGTATCCAACAATCCGTTGACGCTATGATCAAGTTTTTTCGAACTAGGTATACTCAATTTTTTCTTCAAGTGATATATACAGAATATGTCATTGATTTCATTGATTTTCTTCCAGATTCACCATCCGTAGACCCTTACCCACCAACGGGATTTTTACAAGTCAGGCTAGGGGAAGAAGTGAGAATGTCTTGCAAAGGAACTGGAGTACCGTATCCTATCATAACATGGCACTATCAGGTAAAAGCAGATCAAAAAATATAGTGGACTAAATGTTAAACATGCATACCCATATGCCAGGAAGGGAACCTCCCTAGAAATGTGTGGTAATCTGGAGTGCTAGAAGTAGGCGGTTCTAGTTAGGTTCGCGGTCATATCTAAGGTTATAAATAGCTAGCCTGTGGAACACGCAACGCAACATGGTCTATTCGTAAACTACTGAAATTCTACCTCGAAGGAAAAACGATTCGAATCAATACTAATAATGTTTTGTCGACAACCCTGTCAGTACGAACCGGCGTTCCTCAAAGTTCGGTCCTAGGTGCAATCCTTTACTCACTAATTTATTATCAATGTTTAGGCTCAAAGATGTAATGCTGTCTGTTTTATGTATTTAGTTACTATTTAAATTGATTAAACCAAGGAGCATACATTTTGTCTTATTTGCATTAAAATATAAGTAAATGTTATCACACTATTTTTTTATTGTCTTATCACCATACATTTTTGATTATTTTTATTTGTAACTGTGTCTTCCCAAAGTATTATGGATTCGTCAACAAAAACTATGATTTTACCATGTATGTTTAAATTCACTAAGTCGTTGATATACACTAAGAACAGAATCGAATAGTATTAGGCCAGCCATTACCTACGCATTTTTACCCTTGATGCTTCCTTGTCAAGACGCACATGTAAAGTCTTCAAGTCCTGTAAAGCAATACGAACAATTCGCAATGTGTCATGGTATGTCTCAAATGAGTCACTACAAAGAAAGCTTGACATTCCTTGTTTCAGAAATTGTCAAGCTCCAGGCGCAGTGACGTTATAGTCAGGCGGAATCGCACCAGCAATACTCTGCTCAGTGTACTGCACAGTGAAGTAAGTTCGTAAGCATTCGCAGTGTGAGTGAAAATCTTACCGCTTACTTGTGCTACACCCAAAATTTTACTCTTGAAAAACCTTAGTCAAAATTTTCTGTTGCACCTCAGAATTAATCCGTGTACCAAATCACAAGCTACTGATACAAATTTATCCACTCTTCCCTTTTCCTTTCTTGCCCTCTTTCTGTTCTTCTCAACATTGTCTGGCTTCTGGGCAACCAGAGCTGATAGATTAGACCAACGTACATTACGTGAATTGTTATGATTTGTTTGACAGTTTGACCTCCAAAGTATTCTAGCGTCGCCTAGCAGGGGCAAATTTGAACATAGCTATTACTTCATTAGGTCGAATCATTACCTCCACGTTCGAGGAGCATGAAAATTCACTTCTAGGAACTACCTACAAGGGGTACAATCAGGTTGTGCTATCGTTACAAGCCTTTAGTTTTCTTTCCAATAGAAAATAAGCTTTATGATATCTACCAATCAAGGCATGTCACTTCAAAATAACTTTTCTGATATTTTAACAGGGAGAAGAGATGCAGCTACTGGATCATAGAGAATTACTGAAGTTTACCGCTTCAGATAGACGATTGGCCGGTACCTATGAATGTGCTGCTGCAAACGGCGTTGGAGAACCTGCAAGAGCTGCCATCGAACTAAAAATAACATGTAAGTTAAACAAAAAAGGAGGCAAGTGGGCTGACTTTGCACTTCCCATGCATCGCCGTTATCCGTCCATAAAGGATTATGTCTAGCACAAACTAGATGCTCTGAGAAAAAGTCAATCAAGCGCCATACCGGTAGTGCATCTGGAAACGTCAATTCTTCCCGATACTTGACTTGTTCAGACGTGGCACTGCGGTTAGAGCATAGAAAACACTATGCGGTGACCGGCAGGGGTATTATGTAAAAAAACTAGAAAACGTCAAAAAAAACCGACGAAATGTCACTTTTCAAAATACATACTGCACGTGCCGGCAGAAATACGTGTGACGCCGCGGCCGGTAGGTACTGAGGATAGTTTTAAAGGCTAATGTAAAGAGAAATCTACGATGTGTGAAATATGTCTATTAGATGCGTATAATTACCAAGGCAGGAGCGTATAAATGTACGAAACATCAAAAAATGGAGATAAACCCCTCCCCCAAACCCCCTCTTATCACAAAGAAACCCATTAACTTATGTGTTGAATGTCAACGTTAAGGTTTACGTAGACTCTTTTTCACTACTATCTATTACGCTCAACGTGATAGCAAATCATAGCTGATTATCTAGCAACGATTCAAAATACCAGTGCCGGATTTAAATGGGTTCCTCACTAGACATCTGAAGCTTGCTTTTGTAATCTAACACCATTGTGTTACTTTCTGACACATCATGGCGACAGAGGCATACTAACTGTAGAGTTATAGCTATAGGAACTGATCATTGCCATTTTTTGGTATCCTTTGGTATTCCAAACGCTGCCGCTGTCCCTATTTGACATCACTTAGGTTTACAGCATGAGTCTTACGATTTATACGTATCGTCGGTCTCCGCACGTACCGGCGTAACTAACATTTTAAAAATTTTACAGGAGAGCTAGAAAACAAAAATCAGCAATAAATGAGATTGACAATGACGTACTGATTTTTCAGTCTGAACGTTGCTGTTTCTTTTTGTTAGACTAAAGTGATGTAGAACCAGTTTTAACGCAGAGGCATATTTATTAACATATTTATGTTTAAGCCGGTACGTGAAAATTGTTTTCGGAATTTTATAACTTAGGCAATTTTCTGAAAATTTTAATTCTTAGCAGCGAACTGATATATAGCTACGTCACTTCATGAAGTAAGAGACTACAAAAAAATCTGTGAAATTACGGCGTAACTCGATTTTAGATTATTTGTCATTTACGCCTGTACGTGCGGAGACCGACGGTATATACGAGTATTGTCACTTGTGTCAAACTTAAGTCTGAGTAATATATTAGCTATGCAGATTGCACTTAAAAAGTGATTTATGTTCTGTTTGTTGCTCAATAGTAATTTAAAAAGTGTGTAAAGCTTGACTGATTTTGTTCGGAGTTGGTGCTGCAGCGAAGCACTATGTTAGATGAACGCCTAAATTGAAAGTAGACATTTATGAGGTTTGCTCAGCGGTGCGCCTGTAGCCTGTCCAGAAAATGCGTCGATCGATGCTCAAAGTCAATACACACGTCCCGCATCTCTTCCCGCATAAGTGTCTATTTATGTTGCTATATTAAATTCGTTTAGATCACAGAGCTTCTGCACTACACATGAATATTTACAGCCATGTAGTCCTGTACTTATTTCAAAGATACATTATAAAAATAGTTAATACCTAACAGATCTAGCTTTTTCCAAAGATTTCCAACATTTTTACATGCGATCAACACCGAAAACTGAAAAAACAACAACTATGCCGTAAATCTAAGTTTGACAACGAAAGTCTGAAGGATACCTGTAACATCTATATTGAATTTAAAAAAAATGACTATACCTATTCATATTTTTATCACCTGCTGACATAATAGAAGTGCTTGACTGGGTCAGTATTTGCACCAATTACTTGATTTGTTTAATGGGCAGTTTTTTATCTGAGGCTCTAACTTGCATGCACATAATCCTTTATGAAACTAGTGACAGAGTCAGTCTACTTGACTCTATTTATTTACAAGGCTTTTATACTACAAGTATTTCCTACTGATTTAACTAGATCCACCTGAGGTGACAACAACTCGTGCCTGGATGCACACAGCTCCTGGACACAGAGCCCACATAGAATGCAAAGTGGCAGCTGATCCACTTGCTACAGTGACTTGGCTGAAAGGAGAGGTACAGGTACCGATAGACAGCAGAGTTTTAGCATTGGTAGATGGGGATAAACATACGTTGCTTATCAGGAATGTGCAGAGGAGCGATTTTGGTATCTACACGTGTAGAGCCGTCAATGACTTGGGACAAGGAGAGCAGCACATACAACTATCAGGTAGGGAGAGGTACAATATTTCAAAAGATTTAGTTCGGACTTTCATTGTCTATACAATTTTGAGATCACGACGGCGACGATTCGATTGATGTATCTTCAATCGTCTTCAGGTAAACCGGCGAACATGTTCGTTCTGTACCAACTTATACTCGAATCGCTGACATATCCTACACTATCAGAGGAATTTCAAACGCCAGTGCATTAGGTGCTTAGTAAGGATATGAGTGTGCTAATTATCAGTGTCGATGATAATTCCATAGGTTTCTTGTCCCCTAGTTGTATGTATGCAAAGCTAGAAATTAGTTACGCACCCACTTTTTCTTATTCATCCTAGAAAGTACATATGCAAATTTGCTGAATTTAAAAAGTGAAAGAGATAAGAGAAGAAAATCCCTGGTTGGTGAAGTATATTACGACAGGTGAGAAAATATGCCACAGACAGGAATATTTATGAAACGTGAAAAAGTTATTATATTTTACATTAGTTTATCAGCAGACCAATACACACAATCATCCAGATGCCCTTATGCAGAATGCCTCTTATCTCGGCATTCTGCAACCAACAAAGCATGCTGAGGAACTGACTTGCAGCATGGTCATTGAGCGTGTCGTGTCGTTGTATCATTATTCAATAGGTGACGCTCACTATCTAGTCAGCAAGTTGATATTATGTAGTTTTTTATGATAGTATATAGTTTTTTTACGTGTGACAGGAATCATAAAACACACGTCACCACCACCATCGACCACATCATCTACGGCAGGGTAACGCATAGAGTATAAGTAGCCACGGAAGAACATGTTCTCCTGTTCACCCAAAGACGATACCTCATCGATCGAAACGTCATTATCTCAAAAATTTTATAGAACTCCGAAATCAAACTTTTGTCAAATATTCACACTATCTATAAATGTCAAACAACGGTAGATGAGAACATCCCAAGTAGTATATTAAAAACCTAACAAATTTAAAAATTTCTACAAGAACATATGTCAAGATTCTTAAAGTGTTCTCTGTTATTTTAAGGAGACGCTAGGTATCTATCGTTAATTGTTTTTTTAATGTTTTTAGGGGTACCGAATCCAGGTGTGTTCAAGAAAACAGAAGAAAAGAACCAAAATGCAAAAAGTTCGTACACACTCATATGGGAAGTGGATAGCTATACACCAATTATTGAATATAACTTATGGTTTAGACCTTATATGCCGAGGAGTGGTGCTAATAGGTATATCCTAACTGTATCAGTACAATAAGAAGAGTATCTATCAGATCCTTCAACAATTTTGCATAGCCTAAGCGTATATTCTAAAAAAATTGTGTACGACACTATCATTCTTCCTCATTTGTTATATTGTTCGACTATTTTGTTCACTGCAAACGAAACTGTATTACAAATATTACAAAATAAAGCTATGAGAATCATCTTAAATAAAAATAAATATACTAGAATAAATTTTATGCTGAAAGAACTACAACGGTTGAATATAAAATTTCATAACCTAGTTGGTTTTGATTTTCATATTCAAGTTAAAAAAGCATCTTGTACCAAATCACTTAAATTTTATTGTATTGAACAATGAGTGCCACAGTTATTCTGCTAGAGGGAGTATAGACTTTCATTTACAAAACTGCAGTAGCAATATAACGAGTAAGTCAGTATTTCAGAAGGGATTGTGTCAGTTTGAAAAGGAAATTGAAAAAATATCTCATGGAAAACCAGAATTCATAGTAGTGAAATTCTGTATAAAAACATGTAGTCTTAAAGACATAATATATTATGTGATATACTGTATAACGTGGATATTGTAGCACTAATGCTAAATAAATCTAAAACAAACAAGCAAACAAACTATTTGTACGTCGTAAGAGTCAATATGAGAACCATAGCTTAAAATTGTATTCTTGTAATCACTCGAGTAAGTGATTGCCCCAGAATATTCGTTGTGAATAGTGTGTTACTCGATTCGTTGAATTTTGTTCAATAGTTCCTAGAAAAAATAACTCTAGTTGAGCGAATTAGTTTCATTAATTTATTTTATGTAGCATTCGGTTATCTATTTTAAATACACAGTTAGGAATATGTAGAGGCTCGAGAATAGACTCCCTGATGTAGCAATCAATAGCAAAACTATCTGTTCATTTTATCTTTGTATTTGTTTTAGGCCAAACTGGACAAAACTAACCATACCGACAGAATACAGTTCTGGACCAGTATATTCAAAATCATATACGATAAAAGGACTAAAAGAAAAAACAATCTATGAAGCGTTACTGGTCTCCAGGAATAGGTATGGTTGGTCGAAACCCTCGCCGATATTAAGATTTGCAACTGCAGGAGCAGGTATAACTGTATTTTCTTTTCGTATTTTTTGGTATCCTACTGTCTAGTGGTAGCAGATATTTCGCAATCTGTGATTTAGTCACTGATATTTCTAAATCTCGACTGTTGCCAAATACCGTCAAAAAGCGTGACGTGATCATGGGGAGAACTAGCTTCTTCACGGCAACGGCGATTGGCAGCATAAGAGCAGGGCGTTAACATTCCAAGGTGCGTAAGATGTGCATATGCATTAAGGCCTGCAAGCGATATCGTGCCTTATAGGCTTTGATGATTGGCTTCATGCAATGTTCTCATGGTGTTTTGTCCAGAATATCAGTACACCCATAATCTCAACGTTATTCGAAAGTCGAGATCACGTAACTCTGATATCAACAGGTAACGTTGCCCGATATCACAGGTATTCAAAAATAACGATATCTGCCACGGTTGCCCATATCGGATAGACAGAACACCAATTACGACAACACCATAAACGTAAACAGTTCAAATGCGTGTAGCAGAAGAACAATCTACGCTTAATAAATCTGGAGAGCCTATTTCTTACAATGCATAGATATAACCACATAATTTGTTCAAAAAACGTTGATGGATGAAATGTGTAAATGATTTTACATTTTTCTTTCAGATCTCAATGAAGATATGGTAACGACAGTACAAGTAAACGTACAGGACAACATCATTCCACTAGAAGTTATGTCATCAGCCATAAGAAAAGAAATCTCATTGTGTACGTTAACAATACTGTTATTAAAGTTTTTAATATAATGTTTTTCTCACTTTCTGTTTAGAACACTTAAAACCAGCAACTGCTACTGTATATTAAAAACCTTTATTTCAGACTTGCTAGACATCATTGTTAAAATAAAAAAGAACAGCAACATGTATCAACAAGAGCGCCATGCTCAACTCCGTGGGTAATTCAATAATTAAAAACAGTTTGTGATGCACTAATTTCTATCAAGTATGTACCAAAATATTTCAACATAGTTATATATAACATCGATGAAATTGAGTTCGAAATTGAGAGTGCACTCTAAATATCAGTCACTTTACCACTCAGTAAATCAGGCAATGGTTGGGTTGTAAGAGTTACAAACGGCTCTTTATGTTCTGTATGAACATTGCCCTTATCAAGAAGTTTGTTTCCCCAGTTGCACATCACAAAATTTGATATTATTTGAACTAAACTGTTCAGGATACCTAAAAAAAAATACAACTGAGCATGTTCATTTTCATCATAATGTAACACCATTTAATATGTTTACATTAACAATGCACACAAAAACCACATTCTCAATTACCCTTCTTGAATGCTTATGCAAAAATCGTTTTGAGTCATACCCTTAATTAACGTATTCTATCTGAGGTATATTTAAGTGTCCAAAAATTAATCAAGATGGAATGAGATACCGTACCGTCTCTATGAAAATTTTTCATAGCTATGTGTCTCCTCGGTAATTAAAAATCTATTTTGGAAACTATATTTCTGATTAGTGTGGAGAGCGGAAACATAGCTGTGACAAATTTTCATAGATGAGGCTATGGTATCTCATTTCATCTAGGATAATTTTTGGGAAGCTGAAACACAGTATTATATTAGCTGTCTTCAAGTAGATTATGTTAATCAATGGTGGTACATATCACTGTAGTAATGACAATATCAGAAGGTACAAGAGTGCAATATTCTGGTGGATGAGTCTATTATTGGTTGTGGCAACACCAATCCTAAGCACAATTTGACTCAAAGCCACTTCAAATTCCGTACCTGAACACACAAAGACTCCCCCAACTATAGAACACAGTCTAGCCAAGAATACTCCCAGATGATCTCGTTCTTGTTTGACAGTTACTCTCAAAGCTGACATATCGTATTTAAAAAACAATCCGGGTATTCCGTGGCTGCCTTTATCATGGTCAATTGGTCTAGCTAGAGCTTTCACACTGTACTGGTAGGTACTTGTGGATGACATGAAGGTGTTTATGTCTGTTGGAACTACTTCAATGAAATAGTTGTACAGGGTTCTTCCTACAAGATTGAACATATTAGCTGATATGAAATGAATTCATATGGCTTGGAATTCTTAAAATGTCACTGTTTAAATGAAAAATTTAACAAGGCAAATTAGGTGTTCTCACACTATGCGATACTTGAGGAATTACTAAGCATTTTGTTAATCACAAAACTATCAATTGAGATTGAGCGAAAGAAAAACAGGCAAATTACCAAAACTGCTGATGACCTCATCTCCTTCTAGGGGATGTACAATTCCATGGTGAGAGTCTCCAAAGCTGAATTTATTTATCCTATGAGAAAAGTTGTAATCTCTCTCGGACATAAATGCATTTATATGTATATGTCCCCTGGGCAACTGAAGACTTTTGCCAGCAGTTATATGAAAGTTACCAGCTACTTTATTCAAAACAAATGTTCCATATAATCTGCATGCATCATGTGGTCTATTAGGCTTGTCATTTCTGGGTGGCAACTCTCCAAATTGAGTTGAAAATCTACTTCTCCAGAGGAGATCTTTCACGGCATGATATTCTTCTCTAAGGTATGAGTTAAAGTGGCGTTTACTATCAAAGTGTGTCTGTTGATTCGGTGCTAGCTCAAACCAAGTGTCCTCTTCATCTAAATTGCCGAAATTCAATGTGTTTTGGTTTGTTGAATCCAAAATGTCTGCTCCTAAAACTATAAAACGCATAAGTCCTGTTTCATATGAGCAGCAATATTTCTAGCAAGTATGTTGATGGTATTGTAAAAACCTATTTTTATATCCATAGGAATAATGTTTTCTACATACTGCTAGTAGTATAATAACTGTTATTAATAACCAGTTATTAGTTGTAATATTTGCTGTGGGACTAAATAGTCACCAGTTACTAAATTTACCCCCCCTCAAACTTTTCAAAATGACCTTCTAGAAGAAAAAGTTGTAAATATAAGTTATAGTGTCTAACATGAAGTTTTTCATGTATTATTTTTTTTAAATACCGAATGTCTCAGAAAGTGTTATCGAATACAGTTTTATTTTTTTAAAAGGAATACCTTGTACATTTTCAGTGAAAATGATAGTCCTCGTTTTCTGATTACAAATATACATAAATATATGGTTTGTTAAAGTTATTTTTATTACTTTAGTCAAAAACTTGAAGTATGAGTGTCATTTAATATGTATTCCGGCCCTACACCAAATAGCATAGGCGGCTAGATTCAGATGCTAAATTTATGGTCAAATTGATGAAAATAAGTATGAATTTAGGTATACAAAATTTACATGATAAACTTCATATTAAATCCTATAACTTTTTTTGGAGGGTCATATAAAAGTTAGAGGGAGGGTCAATTTATAGCTGGACACCCTGTACATCACGAAAAACCATGTCACTCATTTCGGTCAGTCTGCTTGTCTGTTAATCCTTGACCCCTCTATAACTTGGATAGTACCAGTCGGAATGTGATCAAATTTTCATACAGGAAGAAATAACCAAAAAATAAAAATATTTCAAACTTCGTTTTTGTGGGGTTGAAAATCGGTTCTTGAGGGTTGTGCATATTTTACATTTTACATATCATAGATTTGCCCTTGCATTTGTCTTTAAAACTTTTAATGATAGAGACATGTTTTCGATCCGCATACTCCTGCATGTCTAAGCTCACCGCCTGGCGAACCGGCTAGGTTAATATTTCTGTCCTTACTGAAGCGTAAACACAGCGACAGCGTTGACATATGGACGGCAACTACAACTACCAGTAGGGCAGGGTAAAATGTAACTGTTTGACTAACATGTCAGTAACTGACTTTGTTCTCAGAAGATTTAACTGATGATGGCATTGCAGAGGAAGCAACCAACTTGGCACCATTTTTTTATACCTAACCCACCATGGAGGGGCCATGGGGCTATAACAGGGTGCACAGTCACTGGGTGGAAGAACATATGCATGGCTTGCACACATTCAAGCCATACCTTAGAGATCTGTTAGATGAACAATCACAACATCCATAGCCCAGCTATTGGAACCTAGACAGTTCATGGCCATTAGGTAAACAGACACACACAGCATCTTCTACTATGCCACGACACTTTATTTTATTCACTCATTTAATGTTCATGACTTACTATTCTTATTATATTTTTATTAAAAATGTAATTCATCCTCACCCGCAATATATCAGAATATTGGACAGTCCAACTTAGCAGAGTTTGAACAGTGAAAATGAAGAAGTACGCACAACATGTTTGACTCAGTCATTAATATAAAATGAGTAATGCATCACAACAACTCATGTATTTTGTACATCTTTGGCACCTGTGGTGCTTGACCTTATCCAGCGATATCCCTCACCTCACAAATTAATATTGCCAATTTCAAAATCTCTAATATGGACATTTTATTATATCAGGAGTAACTGAAGGAATCAACCTGCAAATACTGGTACTATACTGTGATTTAAACACATGAAGTCAAATTTGATGGAGCCTCCAACAGGCCATATTTTCATTGCAACATTTGGCTACAATTGTGGGGTCCAATACCTAGTCACCACGAAAAGATTGCAGCATATGGCCCAGCTATATCGAATATATCAGCTATATCTCATCTATTTCTTAGCAGTATTGTCTGCAATGTATATACACATAACACTTTCAGAATTTCTAATCAAAAGGGGTATAAAAACAGACAAGAATGACTGACTAAAACAAACAGGACGCAGCAGCTTATATTTCATTGCAATAAGTAGGATTCCAATAGTTTGGCAATCTGACAGCAATATATGAAAATAGCTTGGGAGTGTAAGTCATGAGTAGCAGTATAGCAGAGCTTTACTAAGAATATTGCCCATTGTTGCTGACTCAATTGCAGCTAGATAATGAAATAACATATTGTCCATTTAGAGGCTCCATAAAGTAGGTGTTTAAGCTTTCAGTAACTAAATAAAAGCTAAGTATGAGGTATTTATGGACAGCAATAACTATTATAAATGTTATTCTAAAATAATTGTTTAGGTCATCAGTATACCTTAAATACTTACAGTAACAGGGCATTCCTACAGTAATATCCACGTTAATTTTCAGCTTTTCATCTAATGCTACATCAGGTGTGAATTTAAAAATGAATCTACTGTTCAAATAGTAGTTCACTTCTGAGAACACCAGCCAAATTATGAGTAAAAAACTGATTATGGAAACTGGAATTAGAGTCTGGAGTCAATATCTCAAAAAGAAAACAAGTATTAAGACGTAGAAGTTATTTTCAGTACTTACATGTACCCCCAACTGAAGAAGTTTCTTTGAAAGGCTCCTCAACTTTTGGAAATATGTCGAGCTTTTTTACAGTACTGAATTTCGACCCCCTATATCTAAGCATTGTTACTTTTTCGCTGACCATTTTTGCGAGGTTTATGTGGACTTGCTCATTCAATAATTTTTACTTTTCATTACATTTGCTTATGTTGACAAAACATTTTAACTGTCACAAGATAACCTAAATTTCCCAAATTTAACATTTGTCAATCAGACGCAGGGCCGATAAGTGATAATGATGACAGTTGTGAAACTCTATAGAATACCGGTGGTACTGGAAATATTCCTACAGATCATATTATCTGTCGTCTAATAGACGAAAATACCACTTGTTTGCGAAATAATTGTAAAGTCTGGTTTTGTTGCTGCAATTTGTTCAAGGGGGTATTCAAAATATGGACGCATAAAATGGCAACTGTGGGAAAACTTTATTCGACAACAAAGAATGAAAAAACGTGTTTTTTGGGATTCAATCGAAAATGTTGGCAGGGACGAAAAAACTCTTCATATAAGGTGTTTAGGTATTATGAGACCTACAAAATGAGACCACACGTAACAAGATCCTACTAAAACCAAAAAAGTTATGGGCGAAAAACCGAGGCAAACTGCAAGTTTTGGCACTTGGTAAAGCGACAATGGTTTCTCGCAGATATTTGAAATTCTTCAAATTGGTACTTCTAAATAACAACAACAAAATTGGAGTAGATTAGTCAAGTATTGGTTGAGAATTTCTAATTGTTTATCCCAAAACACCCTTTTTCCGGCCTTCGTTGCGATTTCTCCTTTCAATTCAAACATTTCGTATTTGTGTATAATTCGCAGCAAAAGATAGACACATCCGCTTTGTTTTAAAATGTGTATAGTAACGTATGTTTTTCGGATATCGTAGCGCATTGGTTCAATTACTCGCAAACACGAAATGTTTGAATTTGTTTAGAAGAAAAAACCTTTATTTTTTGCATAAAAGTAACATTTATCTTTCGGAATGGTTTGTGATTCATATCGGCAAGGTAAACACGTGTATTTTGCTATTAGATGCTCTTTGAACGAACATTGCTCAATAAACTAGTAGTGATGGCCAGAAAACAGGTGTTTTGGGATAAACAAATAGAATTCTCAAAAACCTACATGAATAATATACTTCGATTTTGTTATCGTTATTTAGAAGTATGAATCCTACGCATTTGAAGAAATTCAAGTAATTGCGTGAAACCATAGTCGCATTACCAACAAGTGCCTTGACCTGCAGTCTGCCTCGGTTTTCGGCCATAGCTTTTTTGCTATTAGTCGGATCTTTTCATATGTGGTCTCATTTTGTAGGTCTCCTTAAATACCTAAAAATCTTATATGACGAGTGTTTTCGTTCATGCCAACACTTTCGATTGAATCCCAAAAAACACGTTTTCTCATTCTTTGTGGTGGAATAAAAGGTTTTCCCATAAAAATTGGTGTACCCATTTTATGCGTCCATGTTTTGAACACCCCCTTGAATAACTTTCTAAAGATGCTAACATTTTTTTCTAGAATTCTCTTTGTTTCGGTGCTTCAATGGAAGATGTTCCGCAGTTTTTTGTTGCTTTATATAAGGTAGTGCTGTTGTGCTTTGGCTCACGTTCAGAATAAGTTAACAAAAAATTCGGGTAATTATGTTTATGTATTATGTCATGTCATTAATGTTATTTTTATTACTTAGATTGATCAAAAATATTGTGACTTGAAAAATAGTTTTTAGACTCTACGTCGCTGATTGGCGATTCTCACTTGTCGTTCTGTCTTCGTCATAGCATAATCTCAATAAGCCACTGTGCCGATTTTGTCAAAACTTAGAGTATATAGAATTAGCAGAAATTTGAAAATTTGTGTAAAGAGTATGGACAAGTAAAAGAATAAACCTTCTTTTTTTAAATGTTAATGTTTTCAAGATTTTGTTGTATGAAATTGTATATATTTCGAAAACTTTAACGCTGCAGATACCTATGCAATCGTGAATCTCCATAAAGTCAATCCTCAATACAGCCATTTATATTCGTTCGGAATTATTTTTTGTCCTTGGCATAATAATAATAATAATAATAATAATAATAATAGGTAATAATAATACATTTATTTCCAACAGGTATACACCCAATCACAGGAAATTAGTAAAATCAAAACAAAATGGTACCATACATACACATATATATACACACATATACAGTAATGGACAAAACTATATAGACAAATATGAATATGTACCTAAATACCATTAGAAAATGAATTCATACTTCATTGCTCCATAAACAAATGCGTTATTAGTAGAAAAACTAAATTCATTGTTTTTACATTATCTGCAATGAACAAAATCAAAGTCTGAATATAAGCACCTTTTTATGAGGGACAAAAATATGTAGACAAATTCTTTTCAACATTAGTTTAGTACAGTTTCGTGTCAGAAGAGGATTAGTTTGTGTTCATCAAGTATTGTGGAATAAGTTGAGTGATTTTAAGACCTTGCCGCGTGGTCCACCAGGTGAAATACGTTAATCAGTGGTAGAATACAAATAATTTTGGAATTTCTGCTATTAGTAGTAAAACTAAACTTAAATTTGTCAAATTTCGTTTTTGACACTGTATACTCATGAATTCCTAGTTAGATGTAGGGCGGATATCCTCGACCAGACCTCCACTATGGTAAAACGGATTCCAAATATCTTGGATTAACAAACGTTGCCTAAAATCATCAGTAGGGCAACGAAACATCGGCAACTTATTACCCTTCTTTGTTCTACATTCAGGCATGCTACACCACCTTTTGTCATCATGAATCGCCCTGTACAATACATACAACAGTTACGCGACCCACTTCCATTCGTATCGAATGCCAGCCATCGACCACCTGGATAGGGTTTAGGGTGCCTTTTTTATTTGTTTTTTGTCATGCTTTATAGTTCATCGCATCAAAAAATATATTAACTGTTTTCGTATAATCCTGTTAAAAATGAGCCATTTTAAAGAATCTACATGTTGCTAGGCCTAATATTGCCCCAAACATTGTTTCTTTTTGATTAAGGTTATCCAAAACACCTAGTCAGGATACGTTTTTACAACGATGTGGCTGGTAACTCTGTATTCTTTCATATTATGAGGGCGTAGAGTACACAACACATAACACGAAAAGTTCTAAAATGTCCCTTCACGGAGATATTGTCTTTTCCATTTAAGGTAGAGTAACAGCTGATCATCTAGTACTATTTCAAAATTCCCTACATCGACAAATGACAACAGAGCCGAAAATTGTTTTGGATTTTTTGTACGCTACAGATTCATTTTTTACTTGCTATCATCTCTTTTATTTCGAAAAGTCCATTTGCATACAAAAAAAACGGTACAAGAAAGTTTTGCACCCGATTCATTATTACAGACTAATACAAAGGTGTTACTTGCTGATCAGCTATTCACCTCAGTAGACGTCAAATCGTGATGGATACTCATGAAATATTGTTTACAGGATGTTGGAGGACAGATGTGCATCATCTGCTATTAATTGCCAAATTTTTGCATCCGGAGAAATTTTTATATTTTGGCAAGAAAGAAGGCAATAATATTATAGAAGCTGAACCCGAGGGGTCTCCAGGCGACCCCTCTACTGCTTTGAGTGGAGTTGGCGAGGAGTGCAGCGCTACTTTGGAACATATTCCAGAAAACCAAAACGAGATGACGCCAATGATGACATCAGGGATGACAGCGATACTGGAGAAGGATAACGAGAACAAGAGACTTTTGAAGATAATTGCAGACCAAGCAGTCCAGATTCAGAGACTGACTGACTATGTGGAGTCACTTAATGCCCAGGTTTTTAAGCTTACAAGTATCAAACCCGCCATTACTCGCGTTAAAAAAAGTGAAACCATTACTCGCGTATGAGCGCCGCGCTCAGTTTGTGTAATTGCTTAATAAATAATGTATATAATAAAGAAAACTGATTCTGTGAATAACCTTTATAAATTTGAAGTATATTTAATAAAAAATACATTATAAATGTCATAAGCAGTAAAAATAATAGAACGTAGAACGCATAAAACCCAAACTACGGCTATTCAAATTATAAATTTAGAATAGTGCCTAAAAACGACGTACTAAACAAATAGAATACAAAAAATAATATGATACATTTTGGTTATTGATTATTATCATAATCTTCATTTCCACGGCGACATGCTTGGCACTGAGTGATGGTATGTTCACCGCAAATTACTTTTGAACAGTCGATGCATCTGGTCGTTGTTTTTCTGTTCTAACTACGTGGACAGAAGAAACATTTGATCCTTTCGCTTGAATCTGCAACTTCGACTCCTGGTTCTTCAGCTGAAAGACCTGCAACGCGCCTAATTTGAAGCCTAAGTAGAACGGGCAAGGTTCTAATTGAAGCACGATTTATCAAGTGAGGTTTAATCAGCTCGGTGCTCAGTGCTTTTAGATAAAGCCGCCGATCCATTCTATTATTTGTATTAGAATAAAAAATTATTTGACTGTTTATTCCTGCTATATTCATAAGGGAAAAGAATATTGTCAATGGCCACCGGCAACTTATTCGGGAAACCGAATAGGTACTTTTCATCTGGTCCACTACATCAACTGCGCCTTTTGTAAGGTTGTAGAATGTTATAACTTCAGGTTTACATTCATCACCCGATTCTATGTCAATAGCATCAGTTTCATGGAATGTGGATAACAAGAGAGCGTTTTTATTTTTCTTTGGAACGTATGATAAAAGTATGCAATCTTTTCTATAGCCAAATATGCTACTTTTCGGCTTTCTTCACTTGGGGGTAATAAAAAGAGGTGGAATTGCCGCCTTATTTTTTCTAAGGGTTCCTACCAACGTTGTATTATAATTTTGAAGCAAGTCAACAGCTAATGGAATAGAGGTAAACCAATTATCGCAGGTAAGGTTGTGCCCGGTATGTGCAATAGGCTCTATGAGGCGCTTTACTACACTAGATGGTGAATTATCTAACTGATAATCACCTTCCGGCTGCTTTCCGGCATAAATTTCCATCTTTGAAGTGTAAAATGTGCGGGAATCCACAAGTGCAAAGATTTTGATTCCATATTTAGCCGGCTTACTAGGAATATATTGCCGGAAATTGCATTTTCCGCGAAAGCCTTCAAGCATCTCATCAATACAGCAATATTCTCCAACTTGATAAGAAGAAGAGCACCTTTCAACAAATTCACTAAACACCTTTCTTATTGGAGCCAGCTTGTCAGACTTCTGCCGTTCTGCTCTATCGTGAATATTGTCAAAACGTAGCGCTCGAAGCAGGGTGTAGAATCGACTTTTCGACATCACTGTACGACAACATTCCGGCGCTGTTCCATCTGTGGCCCAAAGATCTTCAAGGTTCACATGGGATGCCTTTGAAACGCCGGCAAGATATAATAAACCAAATGACGCCATTACTTCTTCCATATTTGTAGCACCTACATCTCGCTCTCGTGAATATTTACTTCGCATTTTATCCAAATATGTATTTGTGTGTTGAACTATTTCGGCGATTGTTTCGTTAGGAAAAAACAAACTCCAACAGTCACTTGGCGTATTTCGATCCTTAGCACTTCGCATGACCCCTGGTAAATGCGTAATCAAATTATGCTTTCGTGTGCGACTTGTTCCTCGTTGTGGATGGATATCCCATTTCGTTTTACCGTCCTTTCCAAGATAAAATAGTGTGCTATTGGAAGAATTCACGTCTGTGGCATTGGGTTCATCGGGTATTGTTCGGTATAATTTCCGTCAATGCCACTGACCTCACTGTCTTCATCCTCATCTTGCAAAACACCATTATTTGCTTCTCCTTCAGCTAACCAAGCTAACCCCTGTGATTCTTTGGAAGAATACATAATGTCGAAACAATACTACGACTTTTACTCAAGACCGTACTAGTAACATACCTTAAGCCCGCTTTTATGCACGCGTTTTTTGTCGCCTGTCGCGTGGCGACAAAAAACGCGGCGTTTATAGATGAAACAAAATGAAACTTTTGTCTAACGTTGTTTGTGGCGTGTCGCTTTCAGATAGATCAGTGGCCATCGTATCGTCTAAACAAGGAAGTGTGGTGCATTGATAAATAATGGATCCGTGTGTTGTATACTTGGCATACAAATATATAATCAAAAAGAGACGCAAGAGACGTTGGAGCGTTCACCCAATAAATAGTGCAAGAAATCTCAGAGGCACATATTATACACTACACAAAGAACTATGACGAGACAATGACAAATTCTTTAATTATTACCGTATGTCGATAGCTTCCTTTGATGAGCTATGTGAAAAGTTAAAAAACACTTTCAATAAAGATAGGGAGCTGATTCAAGGATTTGCATTCGAAGCAGAAGAAATGTTATCAATGACGTTGAGGTAAGTTTATGAGAAAGTTGAAGAAATAAACCATTTATTCAGGAAATAAGAGTAAAACATCAAACACTAACAAAACAGTTCATACATATTATTGATTTGATAACAGTGATATTAGTGATTCGGCTTGTGAAATTATTGAATTTTCCGATTCCGTCGGAGAAAATGGCGTTTGTGGTGACGTCACAGCAAGTGATTCAGTAGTATCAGTATTAGGATGAGGCAAATGAGGTGTGATCTCAGATGATACTGTAGAATATGATGCGAATGGAGGTGCTGGCGTATTAAAACGTATATTAGAGATGTTGGTCATTACTGGATATTGCTGTGGTTGGTAATGGGGTATATGATTTGGAAAATTGTGTATATACTGATTTGGTTGTTTGTTAGTATATCGGCTTAATAATTGCATGACCTCTATTCGAAAATTCAATTTCTCATTCGGAGTGAGCGTATCTAAACTTGCTTGTAATGATCTAAAAAAGGCCATGTCATCAGTTTCTTGTGGTTGACTTTGTATAGCTAATGCTGGCTGTCTGTTATGGGAATCAATATAGCTTGCAAGTTTACTTTCTAAATCTGATTTCTTTCTTCTATAGAGAGTACTTCTACTAGGAGTTCGTCCAGTTTCCATTTGGCTGTCGAACTGAGTATGTTGGACATCTGATGAAGTACTTTGCATGTCATTTATGTCCTCTGATACATCCATATCTTCTTGGCCCTCTCTTGATGTACTTGGTAGTGAGCTCTCTGTCTGACGGGAACCAGTCACCTTTCGTAAAAATCCTAATTGTTTAGCATAGATGTACGTTTTTACAGCTTTAGCAGACGCTCCTGATTTTTTACCCTTAGACTGTCGAATGGTACGAACATAAGCATCCCTCAGACTTTTCCATTTAAGTTGAACTTCTCTACCTAAAAAGGAAAAACAGATAACATGTTAGATACCTAAATGTAAATTTTTTTTAAAAAAATGTGTTTCTCATACGAGCCTTGACATCTATGTATATGTCGTACATCCCAATAATATAAAGTAAAGGTTTTAGATGCACTACAAATAATGAGAGACCTAAAATTTGTTGACAATTATTCGTATTCTTTGCATTTAACTAAGCCGAAACCCCGAAACATAGGAGATTGGCCATGATATTACTATTATAAGTAACTGTATTGTTATACTAAATGGCAGTTTTGTTTTACAGGTATTTAGGTTCAGGATGTACCTATACAGAGCTGCACTACAGCTACAGATTAGGGGTCACAACGGCAAGTCTTCTAATTCCAAGAGTTTGCGTTGCCCTATGGCGTACATTACAGGAAGAGTGCTTTCCTGTACCTACTGAACAACGTTGGCGCCAAATTGCCCAAGATTTTGCAGAACGTACCAATTTTCCTAACTGCATTGGCTCTATTGATGGTAAACATTGCAGGATAATCGCGCCTGCACATAGCGGATCACTGAATTATAATTACAAGAACTTTTTTTCCATTGTTCTATTAGCTATTGCCGACAGCAACTGTTGTTTTATATACATCGATGTCGGGTCCTATGGTAAGGAATCGGACTCCATGGTGTTTAGACAATGCTCCTTGTTTAGAAAATTGGAAGAAGATACCTTACATATCCCAAAACCTGAGAAAGTAGCAGAAACAACACTGCCATATGTACTCGTTGGGGATGAGGCGTTTGTACTAACAAATAACTTAATGCGACCTTATCCTGCAAAGAACTTAACAGAAAAAAGAAGAAATTTTAATTATCGCTTGTCTAGAGCAAGAGGGAAAGTAGAATGCTCCTTTGGAATTTTAACTAACAAATGGCGTATACTGCATCGACCGATGAATGTGATGGAGGAAGTCGCTGTATCCATCATCAAAGCTTGCTGTATATTACACAATTTTGTTCGTGTGAGGGATGGCATCAGATTTGAGGATACTTTGACAATAACAGGGCTGCATGATAATGATAGAGCAGAACCAGAAGGACGTGGACGTAAGTCTGCTTACAAATACAGAGATGCTTTCGCTGACTATTTTAGCAGTCCAGCAGGGGCTGTGCCATGGCAAAACACCAACATATGATTTAAACAAAATATAAGTGTATGTATTAAAGTAATTAACATGAAATGCTTACCAATTTCCTGCCTTTCTTTTTCATCTTTTTCCCCAAATTTTTGGATAACAATTTCGCACACTTCCTTCCAATCGTCTCTTTTAAGCTGTCTGTTTTTATAGTCTCCTGACGATAAATCCCACAAAGATTGTAGCACACGTCTTCAGTCTTTAGACAACACCCACCAACTGAGAATGAGTTCCTATCATAGCATCAGCGACAATAAACGCGTTGAATAAAAGCGTAAATTCCATTCAACGTACTTACAAAACGCCTGTCGCCACGCGTTCTCAAATTCCAGGCGACCAAATTTGAGAACGCCGCGACACGGGCATCGAGCGGCTCACCGTCGTTGATGCATAAATGGCTACATACAAGACAATGCGTTGAGAAAACGACGCGTTTTTTGTCGCCACGCGACAGGCGACAAAAAACGCGTGCATAAAAGCGGGCTCACGGTTGCTCGCGTACTGAGCGCGTCGCTCAGTTTGTTGCAGCGTCATAAAGAAATGTTTGGTGGGGGAACCCATTGGCGTACCTCCGGCGATTGATATTACAATCTGAATTAGTATAACCTTATAGAAGAATACACAAATGGAAGAAGCCAAATGTATTTTTTTAACTTGTATGATTCAAAGTAAATTTCAAAATGATCGCTGCGCTCATAACGCGAGCAATGGCGGGTTTTAATAAATCAGTTCCCAATGTTGATTTTTCCAAAACAGCAAAACGTAACATTCATTAGAGTGACCTACAAGCTCTTTTGGATGAGAGCGTAGATGTGGCTCTGCTGCAGGAAACACTGCTTAATCCGGGAGATCGTCTAGTGAATATGACGGAAGGTATCTCGTTGAAAATCACATCGGTTTATATCAGGTCTGGTGCCAGGCTGCAAGAGACGGATCTGGAAGTCCTGTTTGACTGCTCGGGTCCGCTTATTGTAGCAGGGGACTTCAACTGTAAACATCGAGCATTGCATTCTAGGTTAAATTCCACCAGTGGGATTCGACTTTACAACCATGTGATACGAAACAGCTACCTCATACACAGCACTGAGGAGCCGACTCACCACTCATTTAATCACCTTCAGGCACCAGATGCCATTGACTTCGCGATATCTAGAAACTGAAGATACAGTGTCACTTCTCGAATCATGTATGACATTTCGAGGGATCATCTTCCTATCGTACTGGAAGTGGGTTATGAGCAAACCTTGGAAGGGGAAACTCTTCCAAGGAAAAGGGTTGATTGGTAGCTATGCAAGTCGCTCCTTAGAGAGTTCCCCAATATCCCGATCATAGATGATGAGAACGATATAGATGCTGCTCAAGCGGGGTGGACAAGTTCCGTTCAGCAAGCTCTGCAGACATTCGTCAGAAAATTTCTGACAAAAGAGCTGCAATTAAGCAAGTGAAGTGGTCTTGTCACTCAGATGACATTCACAGAGCAACGAAACTTGTTCATGAAGTGAGAAATGCTCTTCATGAATTCCGTAATGAGCAATGGATCGACTTTCTGTCGGGGATGCTTGACTCAAGTATTCCTCTCTGGAAAGTTGCAAAGTCGCTCAGAAACGGAAAGCGAGAACAACTCCCGCTCATCCCCGGTCCTAGGGGCATAGTCTGTAGGACAGGAAAAGGTCGAGGTTTTCGCTGATGCAATGGAAAGTCAAGTCTCTCCCAACTATGACCTCGACCAGGAGCAACATATTGTAAGATCCGTCAGGAGATATTTTAGGGCCAACGGCGTCAGTGACAGTAATGCCTCCCTTAGTGATTTTTCCTCAGAGGAATTTTCAGAAGATTCCTCAACTGAAGAGCTGCACGGCACATCAGCGAAATCTCCTGAGACTCCGTATTGCACACCAGCAGAGCTCCAAGGTCATATTAAAGACCTCAAGGTGCGTAAAGCACTTGTCTCGTGGCAATAATCAATGCCATGCTGAGGACCCAGCACTTCCCAACAGTGTGGAAGACCGCTGATGTCATAATGATTCCAAAGAAGGTGGGTTCGATTTTCCCCCAGGATTACCGCCCCATTAGTCTACTGTCAGCTCCTTCTAAGCTCGCTGAAACGGAGATTCTACGTCACCTTGAAAATTTCTCGGCAGACCACAATTTGATTCCTGACGTGCAATTTGGCTTTCGGTCTGAGCATAGTACGGAGCTACAGGCATAAGGCTTGTTGAACGAGTAACCAGGGGGTTCACCCGTACCGAAAGTACTGGCATCTTGCTTCTGGATGTCTCAAAGGCATTTGACAAGGTGTGGCACAAGGGCCTTCTCTACAAATTGATCCATAATGGCTTCCCCTTCTAGCTCCTAAAACTTCGATGGTAGGAAATTTCGGGTCAAAATTAATAACGTTCTGTCGACAACACGGCCCATCAAAGCCGGTGTCCCTCAGGGTGCGGTTCTTGGACCAGTCCTTTATTCACTTTTTATTCATGACGTCCGTTGCCCCAGCAACTGTGAAACCTATCTCTATGCTGTCACTGCCCTGGTGGCCCAGTCGTGCTCTGCGGATCTAGTTCACGACAGGCTGCAAAGTGCAGTGGACAAAGTATTGGAATGGGCGAATCGGTGGCTGATCAAAATTAATCATTCGAAAACGCAGGCAATCTATTGTACTAAAAAACGTAGCGGCGCCCCGTCTGAGGTTTCAGTGAATGGAGCTCGGGTACCATGGGAAAGCTCTGCTAAGTACCTCGGTGTCACTCTTGACAAGGGGAACTCTACCCTATGCTATCAACATCAAAATTAAGTTTGATCGAAAAAGTTCGGCTATACAAGATGGTTATTAGACCAGCGATCACTTACGCAAGTGCGGCTTGGGGTATTCTCGCCTAAACGCATTTGCGTAGCCTGCAGGTTTTGCAGAACAGAACGTTGCGTACAATCACTAACGCCTCATTGTATGTTTCCAATGAGACCCTTCACAGAGACCTTGACATTCCATACCTAAGGGACTACATCAAACAAGCGCAGTTAGGTTATAGTCAAGCGCAATCGCATAACAATTTGTTGCGCGAGTCAGTAGACTACACAGTCGAGCAAGTTCGCAAGCACACAAGGCCGCGACTCGCGCTGTGTACAAAATTAAATCGTTCGACTTTAGGTCAAACCAAAATTATAATTTTTGTTCAACAACCAATCCCAAAATTAATTTAAAATTGCCGAATACTAACTAGCAATGCCAAGGCACCCCTTAAATTGATGCACTTGTTTTTTCTTTGCTCTCCCTCCTTCCCTTCTTATCCCTGACTTTGTTTGGTATCTGGGTAACCAGACCTGAGAGACCTACTGACTTGCAAGACTTCAACCAAGAGCAAAGGTCCTACGGACCGCTCTGACAGACAATGACGAATAGAAAAGGATGTTGGAATTATAATTTTGAAATCTAAAATAATATCTTTGGTGTGGATTGAGGCATTGACTTAAAATTTTGTACATCATAGTCAGTACATACAAATACTTTCGTGTCAAAGTATGTATCAGCGGGTAAAAAACTGAGTAATTTTTACCCCCACAAGAAAAAAAATTCTGGGCCACTGACCCTTTCGGAACATAATATTGCATTTTTAAATTCTTCTCGCCTCTCTTGAGAAATTTTTAACATACTATTCCTTTTGGAGAAATATTGGTTTAAATATTTGAAAATACCCTGAACTTGTGAAGTTTGACGATGGTACTTGTATCTAGTGTACTAGGAGAGTTTGTATACTCAGCATTATTTTGTGTACACTTTTGAGGATTATTAGGACAAACTTCAACAAAGATAGCCTTCTCACTGTCGAGATTCACGGGGTAGTTCCGCCTCGATCATAAGAAAGCAATTTTTAAAATAAAGTACACCGACGTATATTATATATTTATTTCTTGCAAATATCACATTCACTAAAGATTTACCAAGTAATGTATTAAAGCAAGGCACATGTAAAGCCAAATGCAACTGAAATGTATCTCAAAACAATGGTGTTAAGTGACGATTATATAAACCAATAATAATTTAGTCAAATGCACGGTTATAATGACGTGATGATAAATACTCTGATTTAAGAGTCTGACCCAGTCAGAGCTAGCACTGTGAAATTTATGTCATCTGAATCTCTCTCCATGTATGTTTTACATATAGCAGCCGCATCCTGGAAAACAAAGAAGTTATGGTCATGAATGCGTATTTTCTCCAGTCCGTATTTTGGTGAGTTTTTTAGTAACTTCATAAGTAGAATTGAATAGGTAAGGCAAGAACCTCGTAAGTCACACATTTTCAGTTTTTCTGGAGGCAATAAGACTGTACCAATAACAAACCAGTTTCAAAGTACATTTTACGTCAATTGAAACACGTCCTAAATTGAAAATGAAGTGTAATAATTAGAGGCAAATCTGCAAATAAGAAAACTTCTTTTTTCAATTTTTTAACTTACATGTACAAATTTATCTTTATCAGTAGCTCCTCTGTACACTGGATGCTGTCTTCTACCATCTAATTCATATAACTCGCCATCTTTCTCCAAAATGGCAATGAAATGGTGGTTTACTTTCTCATCGGGGTTAACCTATTGAAAGTCATTACATTAGGTCTTGATACCAAATGATTTGAACACAAGTCACCTCTGTCTGCCCTTCCATGGCTAACTGTTGATGGGCTGAGATTAGCTTAAAAGCTTCAGTGTCATTGCCACCTTCAGCTAAGAGGACGCCTCTTTCATCAGGCGTTTTATCCTTCACCTGCTCTAACCATTTTTTGAAAACCCCATCTTTCAAGTGCAGTCTAAAAACACACACATATATATATATATATATAAATTTCCTCAATACTTTTCATACATCAGTTCTGTTTACAATTTTGCACATTCACAAGCTATTCATATCTTAAGCATTCTTTGACCAAATACTAATAGATATCGATTTGAGGCACTAAAAAAATTAAAAAACAATTCTGAGGTTTCTAAAATGCTAAAATTGGTTTTGTAGAGCTAAGGAGATTAGCGACTTCCAAACATTCCATTTTCGAGCTACTATTAAATTTTACAGACATTTTTACTGGCTATATTTGGGAGGTGAAAAAAAATTTGTTGCTTTGTATTTCTTTCATAACCCTTGTATATTTGAAAGTTATCAATAATTTGCCCCCAATACTCTGCAATTGTGACTTACCTATCACCATTATTTGCAATGCAATGTAACAGTGCTATAGTGCCACAAGCATTTGACACATGCTGTTTCATGAACCAAACATTATTTTCCTTTGGTGGCTTCTTAGCAATCTCTTCATCTTCCTTTTTGCAATGCTCATAGAACTAAAAAAAACCTATTGTATCAGGGATAACCAAGTAATACAGTACCAGACAAAGCCAATTTTTAATACAATGTTTATGAAAAACTATCTGGCCCATGACCATTTTGCTGAGCATCAAGCATTTTTACTTGTACTTCTTACTTGGTATTTATGTTTATTTATGGTTGGCTGCTAGTATATATTGGGCGAGTGTATTAATTGTTTACGACTTCTCTGTATACTGTGTTAGACGTCCCATGGGAAAATACTCCTTTCTCAAGTCGATACTCACCAGAGAGAATAATTTTTTTAAGTTTTTTTTTCAAATAAACCATAAATTTTTTTGATTTTTTGTAATTATTGGAAAATTGACTTAATATTTACTGTAAATGGTAGATTTTAACCATATATAAACAGACAACCCCCTAACAAAACTATTATTTTTTGCATTAGCAACACTCCAGCTGGCGCTTGATACAATGAATGCGTTCGGGGGGGAACGAAAAAGTTGTTATGTACAATGTTGAATAAAACCACCACTAAGATTTATGTGATTTGCGATATCAGTAAGCATTTTCGGAACTCTAAATCAGCATCCGGGAACAGGTCGACTGCCTTTAATATGGGACCTCGGTTGGCCGCGTGGGTCAGAGTGTCGTGCTACTGATCAGCCGGCCGGCCGGGCCGCGAGTTCGAATCTCGCCTTCGCCATGGATGTTGTGTGTTTGTTTTAGGCAGCAGCGGTGGCCGCAGTAGTAGACTCTTCGGTCTCCTGATCAGTCGCCGTGCGCTGTGCGGGTTCGATTCCCGTCCCAGGAGAAATGTTTCTCTTGGCCATGGATGTTGTGATTGTCCGTAGGTGGTAGATGGTCTCTGACTGTCGAACGCGGAGGTACCACCCGGCGGTTCTCGTAGGCGGAGCCAGAATGTGTGCATGTTGCATGCACACGTGTTCCCTCGCCAGAGTCCGTGTGGCGTCCCCCCTTTCCCATGTATCCCCCATAGCCCCACGGTACCCAATGGGTGCTTAGGCCTTAGGCCTTCGTGGTAGTTGGAGTATAAAAAAAAAAAAAAATGGAATTTAAAGAGTGATCCATTCAAACAAGTAGTGTTAGCAGCGAAAATAATAAAAAATGTAAAACCATTGAAATGATGGAAAATATAGTTGAGCCCGACAGATGAGCATGAACAACTAACGCCTATATTCTAAATGAGGAGGCCGCGAATTTGATATTCCTTTTCAAATATTATAATAGATGACTGAATTTCTTATTCATTAATAGTTTGCTATAATAACATAGTTTACATCAACAAATAAAAGCGTGCATTTGAGTAAATGTTTTTCTTTTATGTAGCTGATTTGATTAAGTATTCCATGAACTCTCATGAGAAAAAAATTAAATTTCATTTAAGTACTGATTTTTATCAAAAAAATCACTTGATATTTGAACGATATTGGTAAATCCGTCAGAATCATCTGTATCCGCAGAATATAAGCAAGTTGTCTCACCACTGGGCCCGTGAGGATGGTCGCCACGTTTATATTGTCCCACAACAGTTTTAACAGTGGCCTTCGATGAATGGCTGTGCCGTTCTGGTGCTATATTTATAGGTAAGTGGAAAATTAGGACGGACCAGCGACCGAACGCTCGCAATTCATTGCGCTTAGCAAATATTGTTATTCCACATTAAGGAATATTATCAACCACAATCATATATAACTATGACAGTTAAGAATAAAGTAACTTGGTGGAACAATTTTCAAAATTAGTTCAACATTTCCAGAGATTACTTCCCACAAACTCATAAACTTTACCACTTTATAATATTAGTGTAGATTAGACACCCAGTGAGAATAAGATAGCCCAGAAAAAATGCTGAATTCCAGCACCCCTTATTATGGAAAAAATAATATAATAATAAATAACATCTGTATTGGGTGAAGTTCAGCTTAAACTATTCTATCCCTTAACATGTAATATGATAATGAAAATAGTGGTAGAAGCTAGACTCTACGACAAACAACAGCACAGCAAATTTTATCAAGAAATGTGTCTCTTTCCTCAATGTCAGAATTTCTTAAGGAAGCTTCACGTTTATGGTCATGATCGGAATAAACGTTTGCCACTCAGAGTGGTTCAGAAAAGCAAAGACATACAGCTCGGATACTAGGAAGTTAATTTATTTTTCCTTCATAATGCTAGTTTTGCATTGTTGCTATTACTACCTTTACAACATGAAGAGTTCTATAGGTTTTCCTTTTATCCCCTGATTTTCCCCCCAAACATACAGAATGGAGCTCATTCCTGGATAACCAATATCACAAGTAGTCAAAATTGGTCCCTACTTTGTCCAAGGAAAGCTATTGTGATGTATCTATGAATTCAGATAATTACTTCACTATGCCATGAGGGTTTTTCCTGCTCCTGGGGTAATGCAATTACACAGGATGTTGCCATTGCATATAAAGGAGAGAGTTGTGATTTATGCTTTAACACAACAGTTTCCTGAATGGCTCATCATGACCGATCTGTAAGATAACCAAATCTAGCCCCATGCATTTTTTTACTTGAGGGATACCTGAAGTTGTTGGTGACCAAACCAATACTCTGGTATACCTATAGAACAGTATTGAGACTAAATTTGCTAGAATGCAAGTTAATTTAGATCTTCCCATATTGTAAAATATAAGAGACATAAAACATGAGATTTTAATTGTTTATAATTTTTTTTCATTCTTAAAACTGCACACATTCTCACATTTCAAACTGTATGCTATTTGACATTGATTGAAGAGTGAGTCATACTTAATCAGAAATATTTCAATTTACTTTGATAAGAAGCACGAGTCATTTTGTATAAGATGAATATTGGGGTATGTCTGACTATACCTAAAGCCCACAATGTACCGAGGCTAGAGCAGCGAGATGTGTCTCTTGAATATCTGGGGTAACTCATAGAGCCAATAAAGACAATGTTGTTGAGACATCCCTCATCAGTATGTGCTACTGCATGAAAAAAATAGCCAAATATCATACATACCTTTTCACTGCAAGGAAATAGCAGAATAAATGCAATCACTGGCCTTGGTAACCAGGATAGAGGTTCATCATCAAGCCCATATACATCCACTAGCTTGAAGTTATCAGGCACTCCAAGTACATGTATGAACTGAAATTATTTATTAAAAAATACCACAAAAAACTTGAGTCTTCACTTACCTTGGTCAAAACCTAAAAATACAAATATTTAGTAGATGTCAGTCGATTTATGATTCGTCAACTCACCTCAGGATTAGATTCTAGTGGAAATAGATCCATTTTTCTATGTATGTTCCGATCAAAAAGCAATGAAAACTCGAAGAAAATCAATGAAGAATGAGTCCTAGAAAGCCGGCGTTTGATAATTAATTGACAGCTACCAGCTACAAATTTTTCATCATAGAGCACGGAACAAGCAGTTTAGAAAAATCGCATCGGGCATGGAACACTGAAACTGACCGGCACAGATTTATAGAACGCAGATTCACCGAGCGGGTTTTCGGAATTAGTTTACGAGGGTCGAACGAGATTGATTCCACGAAGTCTCAGGATAGTCTGAGGCATTTCAATCATAAATCCGGCAATAAAATGAGAACGTAAGCCAGCATTTAAAAGCAACATGTGTCATTTCACAATATCTGGGTATTCCGGAGGAATATAACATTTTACAAAGAGTATGTGACTTAATTGTTTTATTTGACCACCGCTGAAAACTGAGACATGCAATAACATTTTAACTGCCTGTGTGAATACGGACGAACAATCTTTTCAACTTCAACAATAGGCATAGATACAGCGAGATCCAAATGGTAGCATTTTTTAAGCTTCCCGTTTTAACGACTAAAATGATAAACCTAGTTACAAGTTGCGTTGTGGAGCTAACACTCTCACTTCCCCTGATCAGCTCGAAAAGAGAAACAGATTTTTTAAATATACAAAACTCTAGATCTAAACGTTTTTGTTCTTGTTACATTCCACGCCTTTTTGTAGAAAACTTAATCGTCAGTATATCGGTTCCAAAACATCTGTGACTGCCTTTATATACAGGGTGAGTTTTTAACGTGGGAAAACGTTCATTACAAAAACTATAGCCAAGTCAGTAGCATACTGTTGGCTAAATTTTTTTTGTATTCAGCTCTTTTAGATCCTATGCGTAATAATGGAGTCATAGACCGAGTCCGCACTCAAAGCTCGTCCCTTATCTACAATAATAAATAAAATATAAACCACCAGTAACAAAATGGCGTTTCTAAACAGTCAAACAAACAAAAATCAAAAATTTTCACTTCCTGTCAGTGTTACATCAATTTTATATGAATTAAAAATCTAGTTTTTAATTTGTGGTAAGTACTGGTTCTAAATTAATACTATCATTTGTAGAACATTGAGCCGTATTCATAAAACAAAGGATATCCTTGTACTTGCAAATTTTGAAGGAAATCCTCCAGATGGTATTTAAAATAAGTTGAAGTAAATGCTTTTGCTTTTTGAGTATTAGCATATCCTTCAAAGCAGTGACATAGGTAAAAGGATATTCATAATCTTCACCTTATACTTGGCATACGAAGCATATCCTTAAAAAATTCTGAGTGTGGTCAGTATCAGACTCAACTTCGTAACGAAAGGTGGTCAAACGATGATGGCGGAAATTGTGGATGTTAAAACGTACAAACCTCGTTTACCTTCACTTGGTCGTGACTTCAAAAAATTATATCGGTTCGACGAAGCAAATGTACAATGGTTTGCGGACAGAATTTTAGTTGAGAATGAGGAAACTCGAGGAGGAGCACTTTCATGTAGGTATTCATAAAATGAAGATATGTCTACGCTGTCTCGGTGACCCTGGATATCAACAAGGTATTGGTCAGGAACTTGGTGTTAGTCAAGCAACGGTATCTCGGACTGTGGATAGAGTTGCGAACAGCATAGCTGCACATTCGAACGAATGTATCAAGTTTCCAACTGCCAATCATGAACTGATGGAGGCCAAGCGGATATGGCAAAGTATGTATAAATTTCCTACAGCGATTGGTGTAATTGATTGTACACATATAGCAAACCTAAAACCAAATCGCCATGGAGATGAGTATATCAACCGAAAAGGGAAACCTACTTTAAATGTGCAAGCCACTTGTGATGCCAGAGAGATGTTCACAAGTGTTGACGTCAGTTGGCGTGGATCAGTGCATGATTCCAGAATATGGAGAAATTCACAGACTAGATCATAACTAATAAATAAAGCAAATGTTGTACCACTTGGCGATGACGGTTATGGTATTGAGCCCATGCCTTATGACTCCCTTCAGAAATCCTACTCCAGGTGCAGAAATAAATTTTAATAAGCTTTTAAAACAAGAAAGAGTTATAATTGAATGCTATTTTGGCCAACTGAAACGCCGGTTTCCTATCCTACAGTATGTTTGCCGCGTAAAGTTGGATCATGTGCCGAAAATAATTATTGCTTGTATTGTAATCCATAATGTTGCGAAGAGCTTGGGCGATCCTGACTTTGAGTTAGTTGAACAAGACGAAGGAAATCATGAGAATGACGAACTTCCTCTCCGCCAACTAGGTCAACAAATAAGAAACTTGAGTATTATAATAAATAGTTTTACTGATTAAAGTGTATTTATAAGTTATAATAAATTTTATTTTCGTGAACATCATAAGTTACAGGTGGCTTCTGATGCCACATCATTTCTAATTTAGTTTTATAATACTCTTGTTGTAAAATACTTATTTGGTACTGCTGTAATAGCACTAGACGTTGCAGTTCTTTTGTAGTTAACCCTTTGGTGTCCTCAGTTTCAAATTTCTCTGTTGCTAATTTTCTTTTTGGTGGCAATGTCTTCTGAATTACTGGCGCTGTAATACTAACTGTTTGCTCACTGCGCTCGGTATATAGTTCACTTCCTTCTAATTTTCCCAATTGTAGGATTACAGTCAACTCCCATAGTTCTCAGCAACTTTCTTTCCCAATCGAACAATTTAATTGCTTTATTACCAGTTTTTTTAGATCTGTTTTTTTCTTCAATCTTCATCAATTTCATGTTGTTGATTTTTTTTAATAAGCCTTTAGTATCTGATGGTTTACCAAATGTTGATTCGTATTTTTTCAACCTCTTCAAGGCATCGTCCTTTCTCATTTTTATTTTTGGAACTTGTGACTTTTGCAAGATAATGGGAGCAATAGCAAATTCATCTGCGATGAACTGCAGGTCGTTGCCATTATTTTCTATAGTTTCCTCATCACTTGAGGATGGCATGCTTATTAATTTGATAAAAAACTGTATCCAGTAAAAATACGGAACGGTCTGTGTAAGCTCTGGAGTACAACTGTCAGTGATGATGAGTGAACGAACTCCCACGTCAACTACAAGTCAGGACATTTCGCTCAGGATACAAATACCAGTCAACCATTTACTTCTTCTTGGAGGATATCCTTGCGAGTATAAGGTAATTAATCATTATGAATACGAAAACAAGGATATGCTTATACTTCGACCTTTTTCTCCGAAGCAAGACCTTATACTTTTACCTTATGCTTCCGAGGATACGCTTCTCTTTTATGAATACGGCTCATTATAAGCATACAGGGTCATTATTTGTTACAAATGAGTCCGTTAAGGAATAATAATGAATGTATACATAATATTTAAATATAACATTCACGTCCATAAAATCTATAATGTGTTTCCAAAAAAGTTTTGAATAATAAAATTGATCAATGTAACATCTGCAACTCATCCTACGGTTGCTCTACTGATGAATCCCATGTTTCACAAGCCGCCAAGTTAGACTACAGATGCAGAATTGAAAGATTTGCAAACGTTTAGGCCACCTTGGTGGCTAGAGAAGCATGCTCATCCAGAATAATTGATATTTGTAAATTCTATAGCACATGCAGGCATAGTTTCGCATTTTCACTTCCCAGGCCCCTTCAAGTATTGTGATCGTAAGAAATTCGAAAATGATAATTACATTTTTTTGGATCGTATATATGACATCTACCTCACAAAAAAACACGTCTCTCATTTCCGTCAGTCTGTCTGTCGGTTTGTCCGCCTATCCTTGACCCCCTTTATAACTTGGAAAAGTCACCGTTCCGATTAGGATAAAATTCATACACAAGGTTACTTCTATGCTAAGGACGAAAAAACTTTGTAGTTTTTGAAAATCGGTTCATTGACGGTGGAGAAAAAGGACAAAAACAAAAAAAAGATAAATCGATCAAACCTCGTTTTTTAACGTTTCCGAGGAAATTTTAGGGGTAAAAAATTGGGGGGAGGGTGTATCGCAATTATTTGATGTCACTATATTAATTACATTCCCAGCCCCGGTAATTCAATGCATCTGTTATACATATTTCACACATCATAGATTTCCTTTGAAACTCATGTTTTCCTTTCTTGTGTTATCTTAAATTGTTTCTATTTTCTAGATCCTCTTCATTTTACTTCTACCGTCTAGGAAGTATTGTAGTCGTAAAAATTTTCAAAAATGAGACACTACATCATTTGGATCTTATATGTCATGTATATCACAAAAAACACATCACTCATTCTGTCTGTCGGTTTCTCTGCCTGTCATCAGTCTGTCTGGGTCCGCTAAGCCGCGTGCCCCCTGAATTGATACAATTAATGAGAATATAACATAGTTTTTCTCATTTCGATAATCACGATCCTAATTCACTTCAGGCTTTTTCTCTGATCGGCTGATTGATTCTTCGGCAAATTAGACCGATGTTGCCAGTACGGTGATAAATAGAGTATTTTTTTGTGTGGGCTCAGTCGGTTGAGTATTTTTTTTTTCGATAGATTGTCCAATACCTCAAAAATTTGAAAATACAATCGTATAATACCATCATATCAAATTAGTTAGGCTGAAAGGGCGTATCCAACTTTGTAATAAAATGTAGGCTTTTTCAACTTAAAAAATGTAAAGAGCATGTTGTTGGCTACAATTTTTAAATATATGTTAGATACCATGCATAATAACGGAATTATCGACCGATACCATACTAAAAACTCACCCTTCATGTATGTGCACATCGGTCGATCCCTAGTACTGACCAGTTCGAGACAGACTGAATGAAGGAAAAAGCCTGACGGGTCTATATGGTATGTCTAGAATGTATCAAGGAGGAAAGTCTGCTGTAATATCGGTAAAACAGAAACTCCCATTAGGAGTAATGCATGGATTAATCATTAGATGCAAATAGGAATGAATGAATAAATACACAAGCAAAAATTATATTTTTCTAGTAATAAGATCACACAGACATGGATCGTGTCAGTTCAGAGCCCGAATTGGTTCGGTCCCAATCTGACTTTGCAATAGCTCAGATGGAGGCAAGACAACTAACAGCAGGAAAACGAATTAGAGCTAGCGCTACGTTTTTAGCCATGCAGGAAACTGTAAAGGAAAAATTGGTGAGTAGCATTTTTACGCAAAAAGTTATTTGCCTTTATTATTAAAGTTCTTACATAAAGTCTCATGGTGTTTATTTACGGAGACACAGATTCCTGAAGGGAGTTTCTTCCCTCAGAAGAATAGGAGGTCAACAACGGAATTTTTGCGTTAAGGACTGAATAGTGGTGGCAGATATTTCACTGTGATTTAGTAACTGATATCTCTACTACCGAATACCGTGACGAGATCGCGACTTAGAGAACTAGCTTCTTCCTAGTAACGGCAAATGGCATCGTAGGATCACGGTGATAACGTTTGAATGTGCGTGAGATGCGCATGCGCGCTAAGGTCGAGAATCGTATCACTGCCTTATAGGCTTTGGTTGTTACTCCCATGCGATTTCATTGCGGTATTTCGGGCAGGTTATCAGTATACACATATTCGCATCGCTATTCGAAAGTCTTGATTACTCGACGGCTTTAAATCACCTATATCAAAAAGCAACGATATCGGATATCACATATATAAAAATAACTATATATAGACCATCTCCAGCGCTAAAGGCCAGACACAAATTCAAATTGGAGCACTTGTGCTATTTTATTTCTTGAAGACATTACTCGAAAAATTTCAAAAACTGCAAGGCGACCTATTTTTGCAGCAAAAAATGAAAGAAGCTCGTGTTGCCCGCTACTCAGACCTACAACTGCCCCAGCGACACGTTTGCGATATGGTTGCAATGTATTTGGGCCTGGAACCCAACGATGTTATGGAAGGGGTCGTAGACGACCAGCTACAGGTTGACTTGCTCAACGCCCTGTTGGAGAATGGGAATGTGAAGTGCATATTTTTTTATTACCAAGATGGACCTCCTTATCCGATTGGTAAGAACGCTAGTAGATTCGGAAAAGTCCACTGGACAAGCTTTAATAAAGAAATGGCTTCAAGTATATTCAAAACGGTCTTCAGTATAAAATAATGCACAAACATCTCGAGTACTACTCTATTAACTCTAGTTGATGATAGCCCTGGATAGTACTTAGGGTGTTGCATACTTAAATAGACACAGTGAAACAGTAGGTAGTATATCTTCGAATTAAAAAGGTCGGAATTCAGTTTTTACGGATATACGGATTTATGTAAACATGCCAAATCTTTAATATCACATATTTCAGGCACCACTGAACTGATTTTGTTAAAGTCTTGCACGATGAGAACGTTGCTTGTGAGTAACTTACAACTTGACGGGCAATTGAAAAATCCAGGGCCGGACCCAACGTTTAAACTTTTCTGTTTTTTTTTTCAAAAAAATCAATACCTTTTAGGGGAGTGTTGAAATGTTTGACTATGTACAAAATAGTCAATAATAAGCAAAATAGATAATTTTCGCCTTTTTAAGTTGTATATTTAAATAAATATTTATTCGAGTAATATATTTTTTAGTAATTTATGTGACACAAAACTCAAGATTTTCAAGGTTATCACCTTAGTTTCATCTACATTTTTCAAAAGAATGCCTGAGATTGACCTAATCATGTTTTGGAAACTCAAAATTCCAGGGTCGAATTCATTGTTTTTATTTCCTTGTATTTTAATTAGTTGAACGTCCTGCACGTTTACTCTGAATTTATCATTATTTCAGAGAAAACAGCAATACATGATATAAATAAAAGGTACAATGAACGTACCCCGTTTAGTTTTTTCCAGGGTTGAATGAGTAATTTCTTATGATTTAATTCTCCCAATTATACAACAATATGAGTTCTGCTTAAAGAAAAACGACTTTTAGTGTGCGAACGTAGTGAACTTGACTGTCCAGGCCAATCCATGATGGAAAAGTAGAAAAACCAGCATATACAGGTCCGGACTCATCTCTAATGCATTTTCAACATGCCCATATGGTTCACCACAAAATTAAATTTAAGTCTGGACCTGCCCAGTACGTTTTTGTGGATCTTTACCTTAATCTCAAGCTGGTCTGGAAGGTCAAGTTTGGAAGAATTGCATATTTTAACACTTTCAATGCTAATACATTGTTGACAAACTTCACCGACGGCGGTGGGTGCATTTGTTTGGAAATAATACCGTTAAAATATTGCTAGTCTATATCTTCTATATAATTAAAATACAATAAACATCCCCCTCAGGTATTTTTTTTCTGTGACGTACCGGTGCGTCAAGCGCACTGAATGTGTTGAACGTCGGTTCCTTTTTAAGCAGAACTCATGTTGTTGTACACTGTCAGTTGCTAGAATTGAATCATTAAGAAAAATACGGAAAAGTATAATAATAGGTTGCATGACATTTATGTTCCCTTTTATCCAAATCATGCATTGCTCTTTTTTCTGCAAAATAATAATTAATTCGTAATATAACTTACAGGACGTTGCACTTAATAAAATATGAAAGAATAAAGAAATCGAATCCAACACTAGAATTTTAAGAACCCAAAACACCTCTGGTCCAGTTTTAAACATTGCTTTGTGAAATTTCAAGGAAACCATGTTGAGAACTATTGAGATACTTGATTTAATAAAAATGCTTAACTGAAAAACTAAAAGAGGCGCAATCAATCTATTTTGCTAATTAATTAACACCACTCATTGGTTTTTTGGCACATAATCAACATGAAAAACCCTCTTGGGCAACTTTACTGTGGTGCAAGATTTCAACTAAATCGGTCCAATAGTGCCTGAGATATGTGGCATTAAAGATCCATAAAATTAAATTTATAACTTTTTTGTGTTGAGATATGAAAAGGTTTCAGTTTATACTACCTACCATTTGACTATGCTCATTTAAGTACGGATCACCCTGTATACGTAATGTTTCGTATTTGAATGTCAATAATTGAGGGGCCGATTTTTGGGTCCATTTTAAGAAGAAAACTTCATATGAACGTATATCCTAAACGTCTCTGCTTTTGATGTACCTACAGGGTAGTAAGGTTTTCAAAAATAAATCACTTATTAATATCTGTAAAAACCTCTTTGATATTTTAATGAAATTTGGAATACGTATACTACGTATCAAAAGACATTTTTTAACGTACTACCTATTTTTTAATTTCCACCAGTGCAGTGGAGCTGGCACGAAATTGCGCCTCTATTTCGACAGACATTGATGGTTCTTAAGTAAAAAGTATTATTTTTTTTCGGATTTTTTTTCGTCATCACAGTAGCTCTACAGCTGACGTGGGAAATAAAAAATAATCAAAATTGTATTATGTATCTCTAAGATCCTGGGGAACCCATTGCCCAAAACTGACAATCCAAACGTCGATTGTGTGAATATGAAAAGTAGTGTAGGAAATACAGACAGCAAAGATCACAGCAGTGCTTAAGAAGATGTCTTGGATTAGTGTTCGCCAAAAGCGCGACTCCTTTTTGTTAAAAACATTGTTCACGACCCCTTATTTTCCCCTACTCATCATCCAAACAGCGACAAAAATAGCGTGCCCAACTTACAAGTGACTGATGGTTTCTCAAACTTTATTTACTGTTAAAGCTCAATACTTTAAAAAGTTCTAAATTTATTTTAATTACTGCGATCTGTCTCTCTTAAGGTTTAGTTTTATGTTCCGTTTGATATGTAGCTGTTTTTATTTACGGCAACAAAGTGGTGTTTTTGACTCATTTGCAAAATCTCTATATCAGGGGGTCGCGACCCACACTTTGGGAAACACTGCCTTAGATAATGACGCCGAAATTTATAAAATAATTAAAAAAGCTCAACAAAACATTGTTGACTCGAGTGTGGTGGTTTTGACTTGAGTATTTGGCAATGGTTCTTGGATCTGGAATAACTTTACGCAGCAGCGGTGGCCGCAGTAGTAGACTCTTCGGTCTCCTGATCAGTCGCCGTGCGCTGTGCGGGTTGGAGTCCCGTCCCAGGAGAAATTTTTCTCTTGGCTATAGATGATGTGATTGTCTGTAGGTGGTAGACGGTCTCTGACTGTCGAACGTGGAGGTACCACCCGGCGGATCTCGTAGGCGGAGCCAGAATGTGTGCATGTTGCATGCACACGTGTTCCCTCGCCAGAGTCCGTGTGGCGTTCCCCCTTTCCCCTGTATCCCCCTATAGCCCCACGGTACCCAGTAGGTGTTTAGGCCTTAGGCCTTCTTGGTAGTTGGAGTATAAAAAAAAACTAAATGGTCAATGGAATTTTAATTTTTTATGTACTTCACAGAAAGTGGTCGCATGATTGCTAGTCTGAAGACTGAAATTAAACGGATTTTTGTCACTACTGGTGAACTTTACCAAATGAAGGAACGAGCTGTGGCTGTGTATAAGATTAATAACGCAACATTAGATTTAAAGAATATTAATGACGTAAGTATAAGCTCTGAATAAACCAGAATTACTTTACTTTGAACATTAGCAAGTTTCACGTCAAAATCGAAAAAAAAATAAGCAAACAGTCGTGGCTGTCAGTAGTCAGTACTGTCGAATTATTACGGTTGACTTTAATGGACATAAAAACTCTATTTTCGTCGACATTCGTTATTTGCTATTCCTTGTCAAAAATAAACTAACGGAATAATTAACGATTTGTCATACTTGTTGCACTAAAAACTCTCAAATGAATGTTAAGTTCCGTTTTCCGATTCACGTAACAAAAAGTTGTATTTGTCTTCAATTCCATGATTTAATTATCTTTAAACTTTGTAATTTATATTAGTCCGCGAACTGGGTAGTTATATCGTGCTGATATTTATATCGGAAAGCTAGGGCGATATTGCCGATATATATGTAGATATTAGTATCAGTCGATCTCTATATACAGGTAGAATGATATAGCAGATAAATATATGTATTTGCTATGTCGCTACATATCAGTACAGCATTTATTAAATATGTCATTTTCAGGAAGTATTTTTTATACACTTTGACATGGATAATGGCAAAGCCAACACTGCCGAAGTACTTTACAACCTACTGGCAGATCTTGTCAAAATACCCTTATCAATTTGGAAGGAGTGGGGAGACCTACCTAAAACCGAAAACGGCAGATTGCAGAAGATAAACTTTGACGGAGACTTTGCCGGTTTTGTTACATTTTTGGACAGTAAGAAAATACTTTTGTCTACAGTATATTGCCGCTAATGATATACAACGCATGCATCATAGGGAATATAAATTAGTATACATGGAAGTACTGGCTCGATGCTGCCCGTCTACTGCTGGGCGCTTTGGTATTTCCACTTACGCAACCTGTGATACTTGTGCAACATCAGTGATACATACTGTATATGTGGTATATTTGAACTGAAAGGGGATTTAAATAAAACCAATGATTAATGTATTCTACCTGAAGATATCCAAAACCATATACTGTATCTTGGCGTCTAAAAAGGGATCCGAAAGGTACTAGCGCCATCTGGGAGAGAGTAGCAGGAATGAAAAATGAATTCAGAAATCTACTTTGAAAAGACCAAGAGTTTGTTTCTGCTACTGCCTCGTAGACGGCATTATGATATTCATTCTCTTTTTGGTGCTCCACTAACGTACACTTCAATTGGATGCCTTCATGCTTTGGTTAACCTATTCCACTTTTAAAGCATTAAAGAGGCGCCGAAACGGATTGAAGATTCCAGTGGCAGAATCAAACACAACTCTTTTCGAAGTATATTTCTCAATTCATTTTTGTGTTCTACTATGGTTTCATAGATGACGTTAAGATCTTTTAAGTCCATTTTTGGGCATCAAAAATACAGTCTATTTCTTACACAAAAAAACATTTCATTGTTTAGAGACAAAACAAGATTTGAGTGGCGTGGTGTATTTCAACTGGGATCAAGACATATTGACAGAAATAACTGAAAATCGCGAAAAATCGTTTTTCAATAAAGAACTTATACAAAAGCTAGAGATGAACGTTCGTGTATGGCATAAACTTATTGAGAGGGTAAGTTTTTTGTATTTTCAAAGTTTTTCTAAATTTTGATTAGCTTACAGAATGGGTTTCGCATAAATGGCAAGCATCTCAAATACATATAACAAAACACAGATCAATTGGAGAGGCCTAGCGCTAGAGCAGCTCGAAAGTATAGGGATGAATGCCTTTGAAATCTAACTTATTTGTCAATTTATAGTGTTTGGTCCAGTTCCAACAGCTACGCAGAGAAGACGAATTCGTTGGACCCGAGGTTGAAATAGAATTCTGGAGAAGACAACTGGCAAGATTCACCTGTCTTGTGGAGTTTTTGGAAACACCAGAGTGTTCAGAGTATATAGAATTTTTGAGATACATTAACGCTCGACATATTTTGAAGGTAGTTAAAAATATTTATGGTGGCGAGCACTAACTAACAGAATTCAAAGCTAAATTAGTAACTTATCTACACATATATTTAAGTTTCTGTTTATTGTACGATGTTTCGGTAAGCTACAGGACCGTTCAATCTATTGTCTCAACACACTGTATAGGAATGAAGAGAAGAGAAATGGCGTCGAGTACGTTGAGTCTGCACTCCCCACGCAACGTTCGTAAAGGATTATGCTCAGCACAAACTAGACCCTATGAGAAAAAAGTCAGTCAAAGAGGTCCATACAGTTAGTCCATAGACATTCTCCCTGTTCTAGCGGCAGTGCATCTGGAAACAAAAATAATCAAGATCCTCTGAAACGTCAAGAAACGCACTAAAAGCGAATCTTATTCTATTTCGTTTTTGGCCTTTCTCTTTGCCGTCACTGGACCAATTTTCAAAAACTACAAAGCTTTTGCGTCCTTGTATAGTCGTAGTAGTAATATTGTGTAAAAACGGTACTTCTCAGGTTATAGGCGATTGTAAGATTAGCGGACAGACGGACAGACCGACAGAAAAGAGTGTCATGGTTTGGAACTGTCACCTGGAAGATATAAATATATACTGTCGTTATTGTCATTGTAGTCGAAAAAGGCCAACCTGACGGCCAAAACATCGTCCAACAAGTAAAAATCTGAACATATATATATATATATATATATATATATATATATATATGTGGTTTGATTCGACCAGACAATGAAGTACTATAAATCAGAAGTACATAAAAGTGGTCATTTCAGGAGTTCTGTATGCAAAGAATGACAAGTCTTCTCTACAATATTTATATACGGAATAAATTTCACCTTCATTTTCATATATATATATATATATACAGGGTGACTTCGAAGTTGAGTCATTTATTTTAACAGTGCGTAGATCTGATCAAAAGAATGTTTTTTCCTTTACCATTTTTCTGGTAAAATTAAAGTAACAAAGTTATAGCCCTTTGGAAGTTTGAGTACCGCTCTGTCTCAATAATAATATTATGTGCTCGTGTTTGGCAACAACGGATATAATCCGCCTTATCGGTTCATCGCATCGGAAACAAAAAAGCGAAAGAATTTGGAACGATGTTTTTACAATTATTTTATTCAGTTGTATACAGTCAGTGTCAGTCGATAACGCGTGAGTGAATAGTGGTGTCTGTTGCGTGGCTCAAACGAAATCAAAAATAGCACATGTTTACGAAAATGCTGAACTTGTTTACATGATTCTTATTTACGCGGCATCACGGATTTATGTGGATCGGTTTCCCAATCGAGTGCAACCAACCCCTCGAGCCTTTGTTAATGTAGTACAAAGGGCTCGTGAATCAGGTGACTTAAGACCTCACAGGGTAGAGCATGCCGGTCCTCCAAGACCGCACGATCAAATACAGGTCCGCACTGAAATACTTGTCGGGAGGATACTTTATAAAACAAGGTAACATTTTTTTTTTAATTTTTATTTTATTTTTACACACATATTTTGGTTTATCTTCCTTCTACAATCATTATCTGAAAATTAATGAGTCAACTTCAAAGTCACCCTGTATATACAGTATGGACAAAAGTATATAGACAAATTAATATTGTGCTGTATTTCTTTTTTAACTTGTTTTATTAATACACCAACCTGTATACATAATTCAATAAAAGATTAATTGAAAAAACTGGAACTATGAAGGACATACATAGAAAAAGCAAAACAATTATAGAAAAAAGAAGCAAAGTTCATTGAATTATAGAAAACCAACCATATTTGTGTTAATATTTTGTAGCATAACCATTATTATCAATCACCGCCTGGCATCGTCTCGGCATAGATTGTAGAAGTTTATTGATATAAGATTCATCAATCTGTCTCCACTTTTGCTCTAAGGCGGCAAAAAGTTCATTCATGTTTGAAGAATTTTTATCTCGCATTTGCTTATCTAAGTATTCTCATAGACTTTCAATGGGGTTTATGTCGGGAGACTGTGAAGGCCATTTGAGAACTGGTTTTTTTCACCCAGAAAGAATTTATTTGCGAGATTTGAAGTGTGCTTCGGGTCATTATCGTACTGGAAGATTGATCTTAAGGGCATATTGTCTTCCGTATAGAGTAACATGAGCTACTTTAGTATGTCTGTGTGTACAAACTTATCCATAATGCCATCTATATTCTATATAAAGGTCCCATTCCAAACCCCGAAATGCCCAAACCATAACAGACCCGCCTCCATGTTTGACAGTGGGCAAAGTGTACATGGGGTTCAATCTTTGTAAACTAGGACGTCTAACGTAATGAACACCATCTGATCCAAACATATTGAACTTGGATTCGTCACTGAAACATACCCTCTTCCAGTCACAGATGCTCCAATCAAGATGTAACCCTGCAGATAGTAATCGGTCCTTACTCGGGCGACGTGCAAATAACTTCAAATCATTTAATCTTCTACTTATAGTTTTCGTACAAACACTGACAATTCCTTTTGTCTCGATTTCGGCTTTTATTTGTCTTGGGGGTTTTAAACGGATCTTTGGACGAAATTACTTTTATGAATCTAACTGATCTAGCATTTAGTTTTCTAGGCCGACCACTTCTCTTAGAGGCTTCTAAGATACCTTTTTGTTTATATTTGTTCAATATTGCCCAAACTGCTTTACGCTTCAGCTTCAAATTTTTGGCAATGTCGACTTGACGTTGACCATCTTTGTATAACTTAATGATCTTAGTTTTCACATCGAAAGAAATTTCTGGACTACGCGGCATGGTCTTAAAATCACTCAACTTATTCCACAATACTTGATGAACACAAACTAATCCTCTTCTGACACGAAACTGTACGAAACTAATGTTGAAAAGAATTTGTCTACATATTTTTGTCCCTCATAAAAAAAGTGCTTATATTCAGACTTGTTTGGTGTTCATTGAAGATAATGTAAAAACAAGGAGTTTAGTTCTTCTACTAATAACGCATTTGTTTATGGAACAATGAAGTATGAATTCATTTTCTAAAGATATTTAGGTAAATATTCATATTTGTCTATATACTTTTGTCCATTACTGTATATACAGGGTGGCCCATCCATGTGTGGACGGAATATTACTCATAAACAAATACATTTTGGGAAAATCTATCTATGGCATGTTATACATGACATTTGAGGGCACACTTCTAAAATATTGGCAATTATACAGTGTGTCAAAATTTTTACCTACATATCAAAGTTGTGATTTTTTAAATGGAATGCCTCAAATTTTATTGCATATTTGGATACATCAATTCAAAAATAGAAGATTGATATTACATACTATGGGATTGTGGTAATTACCTACTGAGATGTAAGGTGGTTTGTCCAAAGAAAACCGTCCACTTCGGCAACCCCTCAATCCGCCATTTTGAAATTTAGGTTGTTGAATTTTGTATAAAAAAAAATTATACACACCTTAGCTTTTATCTAATTTCTTACGTTTTCGAATTTTTATTTTTGCTGATACAAGGTGGTCAACAACGCGAATTGTACATTTTCTCGAACATTTCGAATGAATCACTCTGTATATTTGTGCAAGTTTGGATTCAATTTTTTATAAGCTTCTTTTGGTATAAGGTTTGATTCAGATAAAAGCACTAGATTTTGAGCTATTGAGCTTTAAATAGAACAACACACCAAATTAAGGAAAAAAATCACATCAGTCATGGAAACAAAAGACACAGACACAGTGGACTTGTTCCATATTGCCACTAATAGTACAGATTTGACGTAAACACTGATAACAATCAGGACAGTATAAATCAGCTCCAAGCGAGAAAAACAACTATAACAACAACATAAACAAACAACTATCACTACTCAAGACCTAATCTACAAAAACTGCTCGAAAATATCTCCACCATGTTGAATACACAGACGTAGTCTTTGGATAAATGACCGTTGCACATCCCTCAGCATGTGTTCCCTTATGTTCTAAAAAGCATCCTTAATCCTTTCGTTCATATTTTCCGGGGTAGAAGGTGGATATCTATAAACCTCTTGCTTAACGTAGCCCTATAGAAAGAAGTCCATCGGTGTCATATCTGGTGATCTAGGAGGCCACAATACAGGCCCGTCATGACCGATCCAACGATTGTTACTCCAGGTGTCCAAATAGTTACACACACGATTATGATAATGCGCAGGTGCGCAGTCATGTTGGAAGTACATATGCATCCGAGTCTGCAGGCAAATGCACGATCAAAAAATTCAAGTACCTGTTGATCTGTTGTCCAAGAAGAAAGGCCCGATAACTTGTCTGCCAATAACTCCTCCCCAAACATTCAAACTCCATTTATTTTGGAAATCTATTTGCCTAACCCAGTAAGGGTTTTCCGTCGCATAATAGTGCATGTTATGCCTGTTCACAACAACTATGCTGTTAAAAGTTACCTCATCGCTAAAAAGAACCTTATCCAGGAAAGTAGTGTCTAAGCATAGGTAATATGGACAGCACCTATGCTTGTGAATAATCCTTTGGACAGAAGTTCTGCATATATCAGTTTCTGCTCCAATTTGCGGTGCACTTAAATGGGGATTTTCTTGCAACTTTAATAGAACCTCCAACTGATTCGCCTCATTGGTGACACTTGGATTATTTATACATTTTTTTACTACCTTCCACTGCTCCACTTGATTCAAATCGTTCTCGTAGTGTGGCAAATGTTTCCGGCCTTGGATGTCGCATATTAGGGTACCGTTGCTTATACATTAAATGCGAGATGCTAGGAAACTATTTCTTTGGGCTTCGCCCAAAACGAACATCATATTTCTTCTTTAGAAAAATTCATTTTCAAACGCGTTTTTATTATGATGCTCACAAAGCTAATTTTGACAGTTTTTAACTAATCAACAAGGCGATAAAAAATTTAATCCAAACTTGCACAAATATACAGGGTGATGCATTTGAAATTTTTGAGGAAAACTACAATTTGCGTTTTTGACCACCCTGTATGAGCAGAAATTAAAATTCGGAAAAACAACAAATAAGATAAAAGCTGAGGTGTGTAAGTTTTTTCTTGAAACAAAATTCAACACTCCAAATTTCAAAATGGCGGACTGAGGGGTCGCCGAAGTGGGGAGTTTATCTAGACAAAACACCTTATATCTCAGTATCTAATTACCAAAACTCCATTGTATGTTATATCAATTTTCTCCTTTTGAATCGGTTTATCCAAATATGCAATAAAATTTGAGGTATTCCATTTGAAAAATCACAACTTTGATATGCAGGTCGAAATTGGGACAATTGGAAAATATTTTAGAAATCTTAAATGTCATGTATAACACCCCATAAATAGATTTTCCAAAAATGTATTTGTTTATGAGTAATATTCCGTCCACACAGTGATGGGACACCACCCTGTATTTTCGGAAACAAACTAAGTTGTGAGTCCTGGTTGGTGCTCGCCTCCCTTAATGCATTGCAATTTTTGTACTATAAAAATATGGGGGAATAGAAAGTGGTAAACCTCGAGTATACAAACCTTAAAAGCTTATAATATTGGATATTCTGCTTTTCTTCGTCGATTTTGAACAACACATTATGATTTTTAGATATGGAGGAAGCATGTAAATGCGGTATACGACACAAAAAATGAATGTAGTGATAACGTCAAGTATCTATACTCACTAGAGAAGTATTGGGAGCCTTTCTACAGGTTGGATCCGCCAGACCTGGCAAAACATTTGCCGTCATTACTCTACGCGGTTCGAATGGTATTTACGACTTCGAGGTACTACAACAGTACCGGAAACATAACCGCGCTTTTGGTGAAGGTTTCTAACCAGATGATTAAGAAGTGCAGGGATTATCTTGACTGCAATGGGACTAAAACTATTTGGAACCAGCCGAAGGCGTTGGTCTTAGAAAAAATTAAGGTAATGATAATGAATCCAAAAATCTATTTTTTACAATCTGCACCAAAACCCGTATTCTATGAAAAATAAAAGAACACTATCATGGTGCTAATACACCAACAGAAACTACGGCAATGCTGTAAAAACGACCACGAAGCTGGTGTACCAGTGGGGCTTTGACAGGGTTGCTATGTTGCGGTATTTTATCCAAATTTAGAGGATTTTTACTTGGGGATTTTTTAGAGAATATAATGTTCTGGGAAAAATCAAAAAAATAGCAATACTGAGAGATTTTTGTGCTTTTGTCCTGAAATCAAACGTCTGTCCGACCGATTTGGTAATGCTGTATTCGTTATTCGAGAGACTCAAGCCTATACCGTGCTGAGGAGTGGCCAAACAGCATGAAACAGCTATCCGTGGTTGGCTGTGTTTGGTTGGGCGAATGGAAGGAGATCATATTTATTCTGTTCAATGGCAAGCAGACCACATCTACTACACAGCTAGAATAGTCATCATCCAGCGGTCATGTGGTGACTGGGCTTCCAATTTGCGGACTAAGATCTATACAAGCCCTAACGTAGGTTATGATTGACTGTTTTGCAGTTGTCGATTTTAGTTGTATGGCCTACTTGAATACTTCGCTGACAAGATCGATTTCCGGATCATCAATCACTCAGCTTCAGAGGCAGTTCTACTCAACGATTTCTATGCCCATAATGAGTCATGGTTGTGTTCAAACAAGACCGATGCAGCAGATCGTACTGTTGAAGCGTTGGCTACTACTCAAGGACCGATCCAGCTGGAGACGAGCCCTACTTATTTCCCTCGCGTTCGGTAACACGCCAGTAGCCTGCTTTATCCCTTTCTGACGAAGCACTGCTGCCCTGTCTCCCCTGGTTAAACCAGACCACGGTATTGTAGAGGTTAGGTTGCGGTTAGAGCCCGTTGTGGTAGCCGAAACGCGTCCAGGCCGTAAAATTTGGCATTACGGACATGCAGACCGATTATCTGTTCGTCAATGACCAGAATTATCCTCATTTTGATCGAGGAATGTATCACTCATACAGCGCCAGGCTCCAACTGCCGGTTAAATATAACGTGCGACACTACTCGCCGGCAAAAGATTAAGGCACACAGAACCTCTTCCCCCAGAAACAGATATAACGAAGGGATTCGCAATGCCAAAAAGCAGCACTATATAAAAGTTAAGCACAGAGTAATGTCACAGCGCAATGGTAGTCGGTCCTTCTGTACGCTGGCCAGGCAGATTTAATGGAACTTCTGAAAGATTAGCCTTTCACCGTCTACCTGTCAGGATGGAACGATTGTAACCGAATCAAAAGCTGGAAGTGCTTGCCAAGATCATTGCTGCCAACCACCATGTACGTCCTCCCAACGCCCGAATGCCGTCGGGTTCCCGGGAAGTAACCTTCAGGCATAAGACCGTAAGATGGATGTACTTGTCGCTCGACATCAACAAGGCTTCTGGTGCGGGCTTAATTAGTGCCGTTGTATTGGAGAGATGTGCAGGGAGCTTGCTCCAGTTCTTTCCCTTCCCAGAACAAAAAAGATCTAAGATCGACCCTTTCAACTACAGGCCTACAGAATTGCTTGTTGTTACGAGGATAAGTAAGGTGATGGAGATGTATGTACGTAAATCATGAGCTTCTGGAGTACTTCGAACGTCACAGCTGCGGCATGTCTCCTTTTTATGCAAACTTCGATATTATTGCCTCCCAGAGAACCTTTGCAGATGGGTTGCTGTCTGGCCGCAAGATAATCGTCGTAATTGATCGGTACTCCTAATCCCACAAGGTCAACCTGGTTGTACCCCAGAGATCTTGACTCCGATATTGTTCCTCTTACATATCAACGCCCCCTTTCCTGTACGATCAATCCTATCTACAACTTTGCTAATGAAAGCACTCTACATGCAGGATTTCAGAGTGATAAGCCGATCTTTGCTGATGAGCTGGAGAAAAGAAGACTGGCTGCGACTGTCTCTCTGTTAGAGACCTAAAGGTTATCATTGCTTGGGGACGCAACTCTGGTACTACAGTTTCATGCGTCCAAAACACACCACTGTGCACTGTGCACCGACGGGCTTTGCTCCTCAGAGCTCTCTTCCATGATGCTGCCGCGAGAAGTGCCTGCCTGACTTTCGTCTTGGCCGTGTCGAACGTCGTACATCCAAAACTCGTCGATTCGACTGCTCCCTCGTCCCTAGGTTATCGAGTTTATGGGACAATCTACCTAATAAGTCTTTTCCTAGTTTTACTAACCTTAGGTAATTCAAAAATCGGATTAACAAAGTTTCTTTAATCTCCTCATAGCAGCCGCGGTGCACTGGTATTTTGGCTGCGCGGCTACTTCGGTATAAAAAAGCCTTCGCCTGCATACGTGTGCATGGAATAATGGAATAGGATCTCGATTCTATTTTGTTATTTTTCGGAAGTTCGAGGTACCCATTAATAGAAACGGATGGGAGCTGTGATAAAGTTTGCGAGGAAGTATTGTAATAGCGAGACATTTATGATTTTATATGACATGTACATCAGGAAAAACCGGGTCACTCATTTCCGTCGGTCTGTATGTCTCTGTACGGCTCAAACATTAGGGGTGAAAAATTGGGGGGAGGGGGTTGTAGTGGGATGGAGGAGGGTGTGTCGCAGTTTCTTGATGTTAGTATGTTGATACACTTCCAACCCCGATAAATCTACGCACATATTAATATATATTTCACACAGATTGCCTAGTACATTTGCATTTAAAACTTGGAAAGATAGAAACATGTTTTCGACAAGCGTGCCTGCGTCTGCTGACTATACTACAACTATTTAAAACTGTAATGACTCATACGCGTGATCAACACGTGATCAGAGCTCGATCCCGGCTTCCTTCCAGTACAGCCGTATAGCGTACGACATAATGTCGTTTCTGTGGCTTTGCGGTGGTCAACAGCACAGACAGAGATGAAAATAATGGCTGATTGTTCTCTGCCGGTAGAACCAATGAAATCAAAGACGCGCCTCGACCGGCAGACTCATAGGCGTCGGCAACGCATTGGAACGTGTTTCGTTGAGCGATCGCATATTGTGTGTTTTTATAAGAATTGTTGTGGCACGAGTGGAAGTACTGAAAGCCAGGGAACAAGTAGACGGCTTCGTAAAGCACTGAAGAGGGACGCGAAAGAAATCGTGCTCAACGTGTTCAATTATCTGAACAGAACTATGTCGCAGGGAGATGCACTCGCGCGTTGTGAAAGTATGACAGGCGTTGCAGAGTGGACCATTCGCAGGGTGGTGCATGAAAAGAAGAAAACTGGAGCTAGTACTGATCCAAAGTTTAATTTGAAGGGACGAAAGGCCGTTAAATTGGATGACGATAGCAAAATGGCGTTAAGGCGAACCGTACATTCATTCTTCTTTAGGAATGAGATACCAACCCTCAAGGCTGTACATGCAGCGATCAAGGAAAATAAAATTATACCCCAAATGAGCATCGAGGTAATGAGGAAATCCCTGCACGAAATTAATTTTCGTTACGAAACGCGTAATCGGAAGTCAGTATTGATAGAGAGACCTGAAATAGTCGCCTGGCGTCGAAAATACCTACGCGAAATGATTGAATATAGGCGACAAAGCAGAAAAATCTATTATTTGGACGAGACATGGGTAAATGCAGGTCACACAGTTAAAAAAACCTGGATAGACAAAAGCGTAGTGAGTAACCGACAAGCAAGCATTGAAGGTTTGTCAACAGGTCTTCGTGGACCGTCAGGGAAAGGTCAAAGATTGATCGTAACTCATATTGGTAGCGAAAGTGGCTTTTTAGAAGAGTGTGACTTGATTTTCGTCTCTTAGAAAGGAGGTGATTACCATGACGAAATGAATGCCAGCTGCTTCGAGAGCTGGTTTCAAGGGGTGCTTCAGCGAGTTGAGCCCAACTCTGTGATCGTCATGGATAATGCTTCCTACCATAGTCGTCGAGCCGAACGTGTACCGACTATGGGATCTCGAAAAAGTGACATGCAGCAATGGTTGCGCGAAAAAGGAATCCCGTTTGACGATTCATGTGTGAAAGAGGAATTGAATGAAAAAATTAAACAGCACAAACCTGCGAACATTAGTTACGTGACTGATGAGATGGCCCGTCAATGTGGTGTCACTGTGCTGCGGTTACCGCCCTACCACTGTGAACTGAACCCAATAGAGCTCATCTGGGCTCAAGTGAAGGGTTATATTGCGCGCCATAACACAACCTTCAAGTTACCAGACGTTAAGGTTTTACTTGAGACTTCCATACAGCTAGTAACGCCCGAAGCTTGGCAGAATGCCATCCGTCATGTTGTGAAGGAAGAAACAAAAATGTGGCAGCTTGACCACCACATCGACACCATCATAGAGCCAGTTATAGTCAATTTCAATGAGGAAAGCGATAGCGACAGTGTATTACTGTCAGATGTAAGTGGAAGCGACGATGAATAAAGGTAATTCCCAAATTTTTGACTTACAATATGTTTCAAACCACGCTTTAGTAAGCATGTGACAAATCTAGTTCACCCATGTTAAACATTCATACCCCGCCTATGAACAGCCGACTACTGGTAGTTAAGTGATGTTCACGTGAACATCGATGAGTCATTACAGTTTTAGATAGTTATAGTATAGCTGCCGCGACCAACGTCCGGTGTTCGTATATGTCCTGCATCACTGACACTCTGCGAGCGCTCTGCTCACTGTGATCCATCATGCTTTCACATATTGGGGAGAGGCGACGCGACGGTGCTAGATGAACGGTACTTTAGCTAAGGCAGGGAAAGAATGTCTTAGACTAATTGTACGAACCTGTTAGGCGGACTTGATCCGCTTAATTTCTTTATTATACATGTTCATAAGTAACTTATTTCTTAGATGGTCTTCCTTGAACATGGAGCTTTCGTCTGTCCAACCAAAGACAGTCATCTACAGACAGCTGTTTCGTGTTGTTTTTGCAACTCATCAACACGGTCTAGGCTTAATCTCTTAAACATCGAACGAGGGCACAGCAACTATCCTCTCTTCAAGATATAGGGTCTAACTTGTGCTGAACATAATCCTTTGTGAACTGATGAACGCGTTGCGAGTCAACCTACTTGACGCCATTTTTTAACAATTGAAAACAAAGTTTTACGGTGATAGTACGATTTTTGATTTTGTTGGTGGATGTTTGAAGAATGTCCAGGAACTTTGGCAACATCAGAATTTCCATTTTTTTATATTGTATTTCAAAGTCGAAAATGACATATTTTGCACTTTTTGAAATATTAAATCGCTTATATCTTCAAAATCCACAACTTCAGAAAGAAGTTGCTGAATCCTATAAAAACACTGAAAACGGAGCAAAAAACATTTCTCCAGTTTAAAGACAATTTTTTACGTACTTTTGGCCATGGTAACATGCAGATTCCTGAAAGATTATGCAAAAATTCGAATCTCAATACTTTTCCGAGCAGATGCAAAGATACCACCTGGACTATCAACGGAAGGCGAAAATGCGAATTTTCTAGTGTTAATTTACAAACCGGATGGTCTGCGTTTTTAGATAAGACTCGATCAATTAGTTAATTATTAAAAAAAAATGGTGGTTGCAATATACCTGTATGTCATTAGCGATATTGATTTCTATTGCAGGTTTGCCTAGACCTCTACCTAAAATACTACCAATGCTTCAAAAAAACCAAACGTCAAATAGAAGAACGCGGTGAGAAGCCAATGGAATGCTCTGAGATGTTCATCTTTGGCAAATTCGAAACGTTCAAAAAGCGTTGCGAGCAAATCGTTTTCGTCATCAACACCACCGTCAAGTACTCGATTTTGCAAAAAAGTACCATCGAGGGAATCGACGTTTTCGCCAATAAATTCATCGAGTTCTTCAGCAACATTTCTAAGCAAAAGTACGACGCTTTGAATCACCGATTGCCGTACTTCGACAAGGACTACAAGGAGTTTAGACAGAACGTTGTGGATACGGAGTGGGAGTTAGAGGAGTTTGTAGGAAGTTCGCTGGAAAAGATGACGGATGTCGATAATGTGTTAAGGTTGCTGAAAAGATTCGAGAAGTTGAATTTGGAGTGCCTGCATTTAGATGAAAGGTACCTTGGGTCAAAGAAACCAACCTACGGTTTTTACTTTTCACGTCATACTGGCGAGGAAGTATTGTGATTGTGAAAAATTTCAAAAACGTCATATGTTTTTTGAAAGTTATGTGTAGGTAATCCTAGGACCGCCTACAACTTGGAAAGTACTGAGGATTTGGATGAAATTTTCAAACAAGGTTACTACTATGCCAATGACGAAAATGCTTTGTAGTTTTTGGAAATTGGTCCAGTGGCGGCGAAGAGAAAGGCCAAAAACAAAAAATGTAAAAATCTTTGAAACCTCGTTTTTAACCTGTCATTTTTGAAAAAATGTTTAGGTATAAACAATTTGGTGGAGGGGGGTTGTAGGAAGCTGGGGAGTTGTGATGTTAGTACATTTATTCCAAACCTTGGTTATACCCAACTATTATTCGTATTTTACACGTCATAGATTTTATAAACTTGTCTTGGGGTTTTAAACGGATCTCTGGACGAAATTACTTTTATTAATCTAACTGATCTAGCATTTAGTTTTCTAGGCCGACCACTTCTCTTAAAGGCTTCCTAGATACCGTTTTGTTTATATTTGTTCAATATTGCCCAAACTGCTTTACGTTTCAGCTTCAATTTTTTGGCAATGTCGACTTGACGTTGACTATCTTTGTATAACTCAATGATCTTAGTTTTCACATCGAAAGAAATTTCTGAACCACGCGGCATGGTCTAAAATCACTCAACTTATTCCACAATACTTGATGAACACAAACTCAAGTATGAAAGGAATTTGTCTACATATCAGAACAATATTCTTTTCGAGTTATCAGTGGTATATGACATGATGTGCTGTGATTTACAAATCAGCCAGGTCCGAAAAAACCTCATTTCTGGATTCAGAACGATTACAATATTTTCTAACCAGCTGACGTGAGAAGCAACAAGCGTCTTGCGGTCTTTGCTTACTTTATGCATTATGATCTTTAATTTTCGATTTAGGGACAATTGAATATGGCTTAACGGAACCCTAAAAAATAATGAGGAGTAATGAGAAAAATGCTCTGTGGCTATCCTACGAATCACTGAAATTCCAAATACCGTATATTTACCCATATACATCATCAGAACTTTCAGGCTTTTGTCTAACTTTTTTGGGATTATTATTGAAACAGGCCTGTTTTTCGTAACAACGGCCCATTTTATCATAATCACACCAAATAGGTTTTTAAATAAGCTACTAATTTTTAAAGACACATCACACCCCCCAATGTTTTTAAAAGGTATCTGGAAGCAATGATAATGTTTGAGAAAGAAATAGGAGAGTTACGAGACAGGTACAATGAAGAAAGACAATCCCCTACGTTACCGAGAAATATGCCACCAGTCAGTGGAAGGATCTACTGGGTCCGCCATTTTTATGACAGAATCGAACAGCCTATGAACGTGTTCAAAACCAAGAGCAGGGTAAGACACATTATTCTATTTTACAGTAGAGAATCACGTAGAGCTGAGTGAAGTAAACCGTCTTGATCGTCTTCCACATACACATACGATCACATGAGCAAAGAAAGAACCAGGCATTTTCCTTATGGAAAATTGTTTTCGGCTAATTTTGTTGAAATTTTGCATGGAGGTAGCTTTCAACGTGGTGATCAAAAGTTTCAATGAGGCCAACCCCCTGACGGAACCAAGAAACCCCCAAGGAGGGGTTATTGATAGATATGGGAGGACAATTTTTAAAAGTCGTATATCCTACTTTTCACCAGAAAAATGGAACATCTACTTTGATGTAGTACTTGGGCATTTCGGAACATTCAAAGGTCATGGTCAGAAAACCCCTTCCAGACTTCCTATAGAACCCACAAGCATATTTATAGGTGTGCTAGATAACGACGGACTAGCGTCTGAAAGTCTGAATTCTTAATGTCTTCATGGGTGAATGTTCTTCAAAGTTGATAGAGAGGTATAGTTCATTATGCGCTTTCATTTTATGATTATCACCATTCTCGTAAGCTAGCCTAAGTCTTCAAATATTGACATTACGATGATCAAGTTAAGAGATTTCAATATTTTGATGTCTTTGTGTTTGTACACAATACAAAAATTTTCTGTATTGCCCATTGCAAACTTGGAGGATGTTAGCTATAAGGATTTGTTCCGGAATATGAGGATTTGAAAAGGGAATATATGTTGAAATATGGACTAAGAGGTAGGGTTTTTTAAGTTACTGGGTAGGGGACTTCCGGCCTTCTGTCTGTGCATAGTACATAGACATGAGAAGAAGGGCAATTTTGGGGCCTAAAAAGTCTGTCCGACTAGTTAAAGCAGTACCCATTACCGCTCAGTCAAAATAAGCTACTTCACTACACAATAGGATGTTTCACTTAAAAAAATTGACACAGTCAAATCCATGTTTAACATTGACCAGTCTGGAATAAATCTTAGCAACGTTTTGTGTTAATTATTCTCTGTCTATATTATATGTTACAATAATCATATATCAATTCGCCCGTATCTGGGTTCTGTACGAGGTCGGGGAGGGGTTTGCTGATCATGATCTTCAAATAAAGCGTTTTTGAAATGCTCAAGTACTACATGAAAGTATATGTATCGCTTTGTCAGTTTTCCTCGTGAAAAGTGGGATGTACGACTTTTAAAAATTTCCTTGCACTTGACCATAACTCTCAAGGACACTGTCCAGGTCAAATCTGTTCCCAAAATTGTTTAAAAAAGTGGTTATTCGACTAAACGAACTATTCCCACAGCAATCCTAGAGCTACATGCAGGCTTTTATTTTTAAATCTTGATGACTGTCGTATCATTGTTTACTTCAGAAACAGCACTTCTTATTTTTTAAAATAAATCTACAGATTACAAATTACATTTGAAACATATAAGTTACGATATTAGATGAAAACAAGATCTTAAATTTGTAGTACCTGCATCAACACTTGTAAATGATCACTTGTAATCGTCTGAAAGATAACATGTATCTGCTATTAAAAGAATTAACAATTTAAAGATATTCCGCCGTGAACTTAAAAAAAATTCTAATACGTAAACCATATTATACGAGTACCGTGAGTGAGTTCTACAACTCATTTACTTAAGATCACATGTAATTGTTTAGTTTCAAGATAGGTGTGTCATTAAGAATGATTTTATCCTTCAGACAATATACCATATTTATGTAACTATCTAATTACAGGTTATGAGGCACAGAAAAGTGCAAAGATGTATTCAGCTCTTCAATGCTATGTCAATGGTTTTTGTGCAGTTCGAAAACATATATCATGAAGCATGGTATAAGTTTTCTGGCCAGGTAAGCTGTCAAAAATATCAAAGTCCACAATTATCTTTTACCTCTTACTTTTTGAAGCTCATGTCTGTTTTGTACAATTTTTAGGTACGAAATGTTTTGATGGCACCTATTTTAACAACGCACGAGCAGACAAAAAGGTATCAAGTAAACTTCCATAACTATATCACTGAGGTTATAAGAGAAGCAGAATATATCTATAAACTTGACTTGCGTGAGTATTTTGAAAATGTTTCACGTGTTCACACACAATTGGAGAAGACTGATTCAGAAAACTGTAGCAATACGCAATATACTCGTATCTATAACAGAAAATACATCGGAAAGCCACACCAAAGCTTAAACATTATAAGATACCCCCTTACCGAGATGCAAAGTATTCATACAAATGTCAAACTTCGTTAACTTCAGCTTATTTTCAAAGTCGAATAGATTTAACTTTTTCATGCAAAAAAATTAGCGCTAGTCGCCCCTGGCTTAGTTTAGAGGATCTTTTTGTCTATTCTCACTCATATAGAAAAATCCTAAAACTAAGGCGAACGTCAGACGAGCAACATTTATTGAGGTCCGTATCTACCACTGATAATTCCGTCAGTTTTAGTGGATTTCCACCGGAACCTTACACATCAGTAATAACGTCCTGGTTACGTAGTCAATAAATATAAAATTTCCTGTTAAATATTACAGACATTCATACATTTATCCTTTCCTATAGAGGTAACATTCATTTTTTCACAACGTGAGTACCACTTCAACCCGTGCGCCATGCTTTAGGAAGCTTCCGTACAATTTTTGCATACAAGATGGGCTGAGCATTGTGGATGTCCTACATTTAATGTGAACTAGCTTAAGGCCGCGGCTCCGTTCACGTGAAACTAGTGTAACGTATAGATAATACATCTTGTAATAGTTTGAAAAATATTAGTTCCAGAGAATGAAATGTAATACTCAAAGTAATGCAATAGATACTTTGGTAATAGATGTTTTTTATTCAATATTTTAGTGTAACAATATATAAATGAGGATGTCTCACCAGTTTTTGAGCATCAGTAGTTATACCCGAGAAGTGTAGGCATAGTTTTACCCCGACAACTTAGCAATCATGCATTTCTTTGAAAAAAAAAAGGTTCTAAGAAAGGTTTTAGGATAACAAAAGTACCTAATTTGTCAATGATTTCAAATATGATCCAAAAATAATCTCTGCGGGAATTGACACTATCACTAACTATGATCAAAGTAAGTCTTTCTTTCACTCGCACATATACATTTTTGTTTATTGTTTAGAAAAAGTCGAAGCTGGCCTTAATTATACATACATGTCCTACTAAACTCAGAACATCTAAGCTTGTTACCCGTGCTTGTGCTACAAAACACCAAACAAATCTAAATCAAGACGAAAGTAGCCTATGTGCTATTCATCACTGTACCAAATTTCATAATTTTTTTAGATATTTCTTTATAATACTAGTAGGGAAATAGGGCACGCGAATTAATCATTTTAGACACAAAGAACAACGGTATGTGACTAAGGCTTTTTCATCATGCATCTCGCTCTAACATACGTGTTTCTCTATCTTTCTCCTGCACATTAAATATGGGACACCAATGATTTTCTGCCGGTCCTGTATGCTTTCTGCCTTGTAAATGTCGCGACTATTTTTAGTAAGAGTATTGTTTGTAGCTGTTCCCGACGTTGGTCAAGTTCTAGTATTTTGCAAAGAGAAACTTTTGAATTCGTACGAAGTTGTTAAGGCACTGGTGTTGAGGAACGATGGTATCAGAATGAACATTCCGACTTTGTTTTTGCCGATGATGAGACCGCAGTTGGTAAAAATGGAAAATGCTTTTATGGCGGGATTTTCGACGATAACTTGGACGTCTATGAAAATACCAGATTTTTGCAACAACGTAAGTATCATGCTATTTTGCGTGTTGTAATCTTAGCTAGCTAAGTTTACCTAGCTTGGCGGGCCATACCTCATATCGAGTTTTTTTGTGAAGAGTACCTGAAGTGGCATGGCTTTTGTAAGATTTCAGGGTCCTATGTCGAATGGTTGGGTCTAGAGATGCACTCAAAGTTTCAAGGTTCGGAAAAAGTATGCATTTTAACGTTTCGACAACGTTTACATTTTCTCGCGACCCCTGTTCCTGGAAAGTATTAGACCGCACAGTATATGACTATTTCGAAGCAAAATTGTCTAAGAAACTCAAAAATCACATCCGAATTGCGGTCATATAATTTGTTACGTAGATATTTCAGTCAAGACACTTTTTCACAGTTCTATTGGGCTGAAAATTCGAATGCCTTCCGAACCAAATCCTCAAAATTAATTTCTTCCGTAAATTAAAAGGATCAATCTATTCCTATATATATATATATAAACTGAATTTTGTACTCAGGTCTTAATACTCTTCAGACAGAAAAAAAAATTGAGCTTAATCTGAAATATAACTCGAGCTAAATACTGTATCGTAATGTATAGTAAATATTTAAAAATCGCGCTTGATCTTTCATTTCCAAAGTATAATTGGTTCTAAATACCCTTCACCCCTAACTACCCTAAAAGACTCACCGCTTAGCAGCCGCTCTTACTCTAAGAAGCCTAGAACAAATATTAATAGTTAAATATTGACATTGAATATTCACAAAAAAAATGATTATAGTTGTAGTCACCGTTCTTGCCGGGTGAAAGTACGACTACCAGTATCTCTTGATATATCTCCATCTTACTCATTCATATATATGCAACCTAACCCTGTGTGTGAACGTTTGTTCGGTAAGTTGGTTCGGTAAGCTCAAAGACATATGTTTCTTAGTGTTGTGTCTGCGTCTCGAATACTTTGTCGTTACGTATTAGTGCCCTTCAATCATATTTATCAGAGTGACAGCTTACTTGACATGGGCGTGTGTAATACGAGTTGTCCTGTTATAAATATTCAATATAAAATTGTACAAATACGATCAATGGAGAAGGCCGACAGCTCGTGCTAAATTTATTAGTATATTTCCAGGAAGAGGATGAACACAGCGGTCCATTGTTACCAACTTCATGCGTACTGGAGAGAGTAGCAGATGCGCTAAAGATCAGTCTCGCAGTGTTCCGCCCATGGTACGGAGGCTCGGTCTGCTTACTTATTTCATATGGCGTTGATGGCGTAACCGCCAAGAACGGTGACTACAACTATGGTATCCAAGAAGCATGACAATTGAAGCATTAAGCAGCTTAGCAGTATAGAACCTAACAACCTCCCTAAAATAGACATTTTCCAGAGAAGGGAGCATGGATTAACTAAATTTTTACTACGGTTTAACGTATTCTAAGGAAAGCTATAGCTACAGATCTTTCTATGAGGCACTAAACTTTTCAAAGTAGATCGCGAAGAGGAGAAATGTAGCTGTGAAAAATTCTGATTAATCCCTTTTCATCTCGGATTATTGTTCGGACGCGAACATAGTATTAGGTTGACTATCATCAAGTAGAATACGTTAATCAATGACTTCCACGCTTAAAATTAATTTCGATGTCGTCTTACTGTAATGCGTAAGATTCGCTATAATTTCGTCATTGTCTTAATAATTTCGATACAGAAATCAATTAGAGCCAGGTATCAAAATTATCATGGATGATCATACCTATGGCGTAATGATGACACCGAAATTAATTTCAAAATTACAAGTGTCTAAAATCCGTTAGAATCACACTTCCGATTTATTTGCTATACACAGGATTCCATATTAATATCCCCATCTAAATATTCCGAAAACTGTGCATTCTCAAAAAAATTAGAACAAGACCTGTAGGATAGGAATAGGACAAAATGATGGTGACCCTCAAAATGACCTTGACTACAACCAATAAAGGTTTTTTGAAGGTCAAGTGAATATTTTACAAATAGAACTTTCCTTATTTCTCATCGGAATTGAAAAGAGTTGCAAATTTAACACCTTGGCCATTACCTTGACCATTGCCTTTGAGGCCATTTCAATGTCAATCAAGACATCGAAAACAATTTGTTCCCGCAAAAACCTTGAGCTTTCTGGGGATCACCCAAATGTAACCTTCACAATGACTCTCAAGGTCAAGTCTAAATTTCCAGAGAAAAAATCTCATTCTTATACTGGAAATGGAAAACGTTGGAAATATTATGTCCGAATGTGACCTTGACCTCAATTAACATTTAAGCTCGACACAACCTTGACTTTGAGGTCAAGGTCATGTCTGGACGTTTTCCTGCTTTGTCCAATTTCTTTGTAAAAATGAGAAATTTCCTTTGACTTTTGAGGTCGTGTTCAAGGTTATTGTCAAGGTCACCGTCATTTTGCTTCCTCGAAATCCTACGAATTCCGTTCAATTTTTTATTAGAATTCACAGTTTTCAAAATATTTAGGTGTAGGAGATTAAAATGGCACACCCTGTATAATTTGCTTCACTAGGTACCCACTTTCCTGGTGAAATGGATACGCTGCCCTTTACAGCAATGTAAGACCAACATAAAAATACTATAAAAGCGGAAGTACCTGTGTAGATCTAGAAGTTGCTACCTAGTACCAACAAGCTGGAAAGTCATTGTAAATTGTGAATCGTCCAACAATGAATTAATTACTGACGTAATGGTCATTAAAAGTTGATCAGATCAGTTAGGTGCTTAGTTAGGCAACATGGTACCTACAATTAATTTGTTTGAATGACATTTGACAGGTGCATTTCTAGTTGGACATGATTAACCGATCAACCACTCTTTAAAAATCATTATCACTATTTTAACGTATATTACACGACGTACCAAAACTACTCGTATATTCATACTGGATTCAATATTCTGTTGAAGAATCCCAAAGATAGGTACTTACCCCCTTACTTGTCGGGCTGGTTGTCTTTTTCGTCTAAGTAGTGGGGTATAGTTTAAAGTGTACCTGACAATCTTCAAAACATAGTAGCTATATCATGAGGTTTGAAACTCTTTCAATCAGCGCATCCTTTGCTCATTAGAAAAGAAATATTGAGAGCACATCCCATGTTATAAAAAACTTACTGATCGGGCTGCCCCAGGATTACTATCTTCTAACTTCCAAAACTGCACTTGATCATGGTCCTTCACAACACTGGCGTCAATGTCCCGAAATCGCGAATATACATACACAACCCTAAAATGTCCGAATATCTTAAATTCTTCGTTTCTCCAGTCAGAAAGCATATAATTTTATTTGCTATAACTGAAATGGAATATTCATATGTCACCGGCGAAATCGTTTTTCACAGCACTCTAGGTTTTTATGAATTTTTGCCGACTTTTTTGCGGCGAAAGCCGAACCGAGCCGACGGACACCCGACATGGTGGAGGAGCCGTGTTGAAGTGTGTATACGAGGGGCGCTCGACAAACTCTATTTAAAAACTTGAGGATTTGCTAACTTGATAGTCGTTATATGTTTTTTCGTACAGAGGTCGGTTACTTGTTGGCGGCGGTGTCTGGGATCCGGCCGTGTGAATTCCTTCTGAATAGCGTGACAGAATGACGGGAATTTGTGTGGCGGGACCTTGGTCACGATCACTGACACTGGTAGCTATACGAACAGGGCTTTAGCCGCCTAGAACTGCAACTTATGTAATCGTTCCGTCAAGTGATACGGATTTCTAGTCATTTATAATATTATATCTTTTTTTCGAAAACAAGAACACTAATATCCCAAGCGAAAATATGGTATTTAAAATTTGTAATGTCAGAACTAATATTCTAAGTGAAAATTCGGTATTTAAAATTTGCAATGTAAATGCAATAACCAAATAGAGTTACTGTTGGATGTGTCAAAAATACTGGTACTAAATTATAGGGTAGTAGTTAACTTCTCACCTTTCAGCTATATACGGGTACAACTATGGTACTTGATATGAAAAACTGTATAGAACTTGTTAGTAGAATTTCCCTTGCTGCATACAGACCTCCTGATGATGACATAATCTTTTTTGCTGCTTCATTTTCTTCAGCTATTTCTTTGCGCACATGTTTATAATTTACACATTTATTGACACGTATTGTTACATCTTCATTGATTATTATATATATATACTAAGTGACATATAAATCCGAATACCCAGTTTAAATGGTTTTATTTTAATAAAAGTTGGTGAATGTATTTATCTTACTGTAAATAACAAGTGAAAAAATTTTCAGCCTTATCAGTTGGACATTCCGGTTTTTATACTGCTTTTTTTTAATTCACTAACGCTCTAAAAATGAATATTTCAGCCGCAGTAAAGAATCAACGTTGGCGGATTTTGGTTCTTGACATCCTTTACGATGGGTTACGATGCCTAGAGTACGGAGACCTGTACGATTTCGTCAACTTAGTGAGTTTGATAGGGGCCATATAGTGGGACTTCGGGAAGCTGGACTTTCTTTTCGGGCAATTGCAGTTAGAGTGCAAAGAAGTGTAGACACTGTGGTTAGGTGTTGTCAGGCATGGCTTCGAGAAGGCCGTACGCAAAGAGCAAGGGGCACTGGACGCCGCCGTAGAACAACAGACCGTGAAGATCGCCGCCTAAGATTATTGGCCTTAAGGGACCGTTTCTCCACTACCAGGTCCATTGCAAATGAATGGTTTGCAGAACACGGAAGACCTATTGGCATGCGAAGTGTTTACCGACGAATGAGAAGTTTTGGCTTGTTTTCATACCGGCCACACTGGGTCCTCCCTTTAACTCGAGAACACCGACGAAATCGCCTTGAGTGGTGCGGACAACGGTCACTCTTGGATCAGGAATGGAACAGTATTGTCTTTAGTGACGAGTCTCGATTTTGTTTAGGCATGCACGATGGTCGTGCCAGGGTTAGAAGGCGACGTGGTGAAAGGAGGAATCCACAGTTTTTTGTTGAAAGACATGTTCATCACACTGTTGGAGTTATGGTTTGGGGTGCTATAGCTTATGGTTCCAGGTGGGATATGATGGCTAGGAGATTGCTCAATTTGCAACGGCCTCCTCAGACTCTAGAAGCACTTCGAGAGGAGTTGGTGGTTGCCTGGAATGAGATACCACAGGAGGACATTGACCACCTGATCAGAAGCATGCCTAGGCGCGTTAGAGAATGCGTAGCACATCAGGGTGCATCCACACATTATTAAAGGTCAAAGGGCTTTAAAGCAGTGCAATCGTTTTGAAATTTTTATCATTTACTTATTATGCATCATTAAGTACTTATACAAAATTTTATTAAAATAAAACCATTTAAACTGGGTATTCGGATTTATATGTCACTTCGTATATATATATATAAAGAGAAAATTATCATGCGGAGAAAGGTATATAACAAAAATAGGAAAATAATGGGCAAAATCCGCAAAAAGTTGATTCAAGCAGAAAATAGGATAGGTAACCCGAGCGATACGTATTTCTGCTGGTTGGCTTCATCAGGCCCGAAATGAATGCACATATGCAACTACAAAAGTAGATACACATGCCCACACATCCGGATACGGGTGTAACCTCAGGAAACGAAGTTGAAGGAAAAAAAAGACACTCGAAGTCCACAACAAGAGCCAACCTACACATTGTAGTATAAAATGGCTACAAGACCTAGAATTTTCAAGGCGACAAATAAGATCCTTTGGGATTGAAGTACCACAACAAGTGGCTATAACCGGCCGCGTGGTTGTGGTTATTTGTCGCCTTGAAAATTCTAGGTCTTGTAGGCATTTTATGCTACAATGTGTAGGTTGGCTCTTGTTGTGGACTTCGTGTGTCTTTTTTTCCTCTCCATCTTCGTTTCCTCAGGTTACACCCGTATCCGGATGTGTGGGCATGTGTATCTACTTTTGTAGTTGCATATGTGCATTCATTTCGGGCCTGATGAAGCCAACCAGCAGAAATACGTATCGCTCGGGTTACCTATCCTATTTTCTGCTTGAATCCACTTTTTGCGGATTTTGCCCATTATTTTCCTATTTTTGTTATATATATATATATATCCTTTAATTTCATTGGGTAGAAGGCAAAAGATTGCTAAAGTACACTCTTGTAACTTAAAATCTCAAGCTTTCGAAGAATTCTTTCGTCATCGTCTGGAGTAAGTCGGCGAGATTGTTGCTGAAATTGTTATTTAAACAACAGTGAAGCGACACATAGTCGACGAATAAAAAACTGGATCGATGAGGTTCGCTTAGGATTAACCAACACGTGCCGGCCGACTGACCTGTGGAAAAAAAGATAAAATCTCGGGGGAATTTTCAATAGTTGATGGTTTCAAAATCTGAAAATTTCTTCTAAAATCAATCAACGCCTAATTTTAAATAAATCCTTTCAAAATGATTTGCCATTTAACAATAAAATAATTCCGTCCTAATCGAACCTCATCGGTCCAGTTTTTTATTCGTCGACCATGTGTTCCCTTCACTGTTGTTTAAAAAACAATTTCAGCAACAATCTCGCCGACTTACTCCAGACGATGAAGAAAAAATTCTTCGAAAGCTTGAGATTTTAAGCTATAAGAGTGTACTTTTGCAATACTTTGCCCCAAAGAAATTAAAGGATATCTTCTCCTAACAGTTAAGGCAATTAACTATGAATAATATATATATATATATATATATATATATATATATACAGGGTGACTTTGAAGTTAAGTCATTAATTTTCAGATAATGATTGTAGAAGGAAGATAAACCAAAATATGTGTGTAAAAATAAAAAAAAATTATAAAAAAATTTTACCTTGTTTTATAAGGTATCCTCCCGACAAGTATTTCAGTGCGGACCTGTATTTGATTGTGAGGTCTTGGAGCACCGGCATGCCGTCACCTGATTCACGAGCCCGTTGTACTACATCAACAAAGGCACGAGGGGTTGGTTGCACTCGATTGGGAAAGCGATCCGCATAAACATGTGCCATTTTTTATTTCGTTTGAGCCACGCAACAGACACCTCTATTCACTGACACGGACTGTATACAAATGAATAAAATGATTGTAAAAACATCGTTCCAAATTCTTTTGCTTTTTTGTTTCCGATGCGATGAACCGATACGGCGGATTATTTCCATTGTCGCCAAATACGAGCACATAATATTATTATTGAGACAGGGTGGTACTCAGACTTCCAAAGGGCTATAACTTTGTTACTTTAATTTTACCAGAAAAATGGTAAAGGAAAAAACATTTCTTTTGATCAGATCTACTCACTGTTAAAATAAATGACTCAACTTCGAAGTATATATGTATCAAAAGTGCTGAAGTTGATAGAAATTCTTTTCATCATATTTTTTTTGTAGTTTCCCAAGACTTACACATTATTATGTAGGTATATTTCCTTCCAATGGGCAGTTCTTTATTCACAACCCACCTAACCCTATTGAAATCGAAACATTATTGATGAATCAGCTTGACATCAGTTGTTTGTCTAATAAATTCCTGTTTTGAATATTCCATAATAAAAGGTCTAAAGAAACTCTACCATACAGCTTCCTTTCTGTAGGTTACTGATACCCTAGACAACATAGAAATGTTTGTAAAAGAAGTAAGAGATATGAAAGAAGCTAGGATAGATGAAGTATTGGAAACTATTGCTGCTACTTGCCTAGTTTATTTGCCAGACGAACCACTCAAGCCTAGCGAATTTTTAGACCGCAACATTGAACATAGACGAAAAATTGGTAAGAATTGTTCCTAGGTCATTACTAAAAACCAAGTCGACGGAACCTTTAGGCCTGATTTTGCTATTGGGATTCAAATTTGTGCCTATATCACAAATTTGGCTAATCCCAGAGCGTTTTTGAAGTAATGCGTCCAATGAAAATGGTCGATTTGTTGTAAAACGTCTTTCAAACTACATGGTGTTTGGAAAAGACGTGTCAATATTTATAGAGTACTAAGTACACCCAACAATAACAAAAAAGTCCTAATAAACATATGCTCAATGTTGCTCCCCCGCGATACCGGGTGATGAAGTTTTATTTACAAAATTTCAAAAAAAAAATTGTCTACGGAGCGGGTAAAGACACTGAGTAGGATTTTTTCTACGTCACTGGCCTTTTCGGATAAAAAAGTGCATTTGACCAAACACCATTTAATTTTCCATAAATTTTGTCTTGTAATGATTCTTTGTCAGAACATTCGTTTTGGAGATAATTAGGTTTGAATATTGGGAGCAAACTTAAAACACAAAAACATTGGGTAAGAACTAAAGAGACTAACTAATAAGAAGTAAAATCCTAAAATATTGTCATGAAAAGGATTAACCTCCCCTATTCTAAAAATACCGTGAAACTTGATACTTGAAACGCTATATGTCACCTCATTACAACATTTATTGAATAATATGCGTGTATCATCCTCAATCGGTAGTGTAGAGGATTACCATTCATTAAACCTTATCTGTATTATATGATTTCTGTTACATGCCCCCTGATTCCCATATTAAATCAAGAAATATTTCATAAATTGCCTGGTTTAGCAACATTATTTTCTCATTTGATCCCGGACACAAACTTTGGGACTCCGGCACAAACTCCACCAATCGGAAATATGTTCCATATCTACCTTGTAAACAATATAACAAAATTGAAAACAATTATAAAAAATGACAAAAAGAAAAATATTATTAAATATTAAATAGATATTTAATGAATATTTTGTGCTATCGGGGTTCATATCTTTATATCACATTCGGTCATGCGTCGAATATAGAGCAAATGTTCTTTTTGATTCGTATATTGTGTCCAAAGCCACAACCTATGTTCATTTAGATAAACGATGCGATTCATGAATTATTTCTTTATTTAATTTACAAATCGAATAATTTCTCTCTAGTTTGAGAAATATTCCACAAGAAATCGACTATATTCATCAGATCCATTACCTAATTGGTCGAGTTTGTACCTAGGCGCAATTTTGTTCATCAAATTATTAACATATAACATCTTTCTTTATGTCTTCTGTTAAATTCATTTGTTAAATATATACAGCATTTGGGTGTAAGCAATGGTAAACCACTTACTTATGCTTGTAATGACGATAAATAAATAGTTGCTAATGATATTATCAACTTCTAGCCCAGGATATTCAACTGAAATCTGCGACAATAGAAAGATGCGTGATAGATTTGATAAACAAGTTCTTGGGTCTACTTGAACAACCAGAAATTCAAGATAAAAAGTATGACTGGTTAGATGCAGATAAAGCCCTGAAACCTGTTGGCTCATCGTCAAGATTATTGATGACTGAAGACGCAGGTCTCTAAATACATTTTATACACTTTAACATGAGTAATAATGCAGCGATGTATTTTATATCGAAAATGAAACGAAACATTTATACCAATCTTTGTTTAACACGTTAAACGCCACGGCTGTCCGTATGGACCGCTTTGTATTTAATTTATTTGTACGGTGACTCCAGTGTTCCATGTTTAAATTCATTTTAGCGTTAGATATGGACCGCTGTGGCTTGTATGGATTATACCCTTATGACAAATTTTTGGTGTATTTTTGTTTTAAATAGAGTTATTCATTTTTTTTTAATCAGATACTGTATTTCCTACTAAATCTACATTACAATTTTGACAAAAACGAACAAGGTTCCAGTGAAAATGCTTTTCTTTAATGTCCCCCTCCCCTTTGGTTTTTTGAACTTGAGGTAGTAAATTGATGCGTAGATACCATATTTTACAGTAAAATTGACAGATGGAAATGTCAAGATGGCCGCTGGGCGCCATCTTGGAATTTTTTTTAAGAAAAGGGGGTCTTGTGACATATCATTTTGAAGCTCCTGACGAGTACTTTATAACCCTAGAATGTAAAGTCAATACCTTTATCTACTACAAAATTGTGGGACATTTAATAATTACCTGACTATATTGACATTTAACTTGATAATTCGAATAAATACGTTGAGTTCAGTTTAGATGATGCTGGAAATGGTTGCTTTGAACTTCTTAAAACAATAACAGCCGGTCCGTAATTTCGCGTCGAACATTTTCAAACATAGTAACATCGATATTCCTACAAATATTTGTTATTCTCAGCCGTATATCCAATATTGAACCAGGTTCAGTTTCTTACACCTTTGGCTTCAAATAGCCCCATAAAAAAGTCTAAAGGTGTAAAATCTGGCGAGCGAGCTGGCCATTCCACAGGACCTCGACTTCGATTGTAATCTAAATAATTCCTAACTTGTCCGTTGTAGTGTGGTGGAGCACAATCGTGCTGGAATACAATGTCAGTATCGAATTCATTCGACGATTTCGGTGATTAGAGGGTCAATAGTATTTTCCAGCATATCCAAATACAGTTCTCCGGTTAAACTTTGTTCGATGAATAGAGGCCCCACAATGATTTCCCAATATCCCAGCCCAAACGTTAATTTTTTGTGGATATTGAGTATGAGTTTTACGGAAGACGTAAGGATTGGTGTCACTCCAATAACGACAATTTTGTCTATGCACATTACCGCTGAGAAAAAATATTTTGGATATAGGTAGGATGCCGTGCAATGGTTTCAGTCATAGTCTCGCAGAATTCTGTTCTTTGATCGTATGGGTGATACTTACTCTTTCTCAAAAGTCTCCATACAGTAGAAGGACAAACCTCACATACATTCGCGATGGAGGAAGTAAACCGCTGGGGATTTACTATGATCTCACCAATTATTTGAACTTGCATTTCTTCCGGGATGGTCGGATGACGTGAGGGCTTTTTGTTGTTTACACTACCAGTAGCTGCAAATTTAGATACAAGTTCCCTTAAATATTTTTTACAGATAGGACGATTCGGGGAACGATCAGTAAAAATCATTTCGGTCTCGTGAAAGTTACGCGTCGCACCATAAATAAAAATCGCTTCGATTTCCTCTTCGAATGATATTCTTGTCACTATCAACAAAAACTAACAAAACAAGTTTTTATCGCTGTTGCTGCATGTCAGTGGGTTTGTGTTCAAGTAATTATTAAATGTACCACCATTTTGTAGTAGGTGAAGGTATTCACTTTATATCCTAAGGGTATGAAGTACTCGTCAGGGGCTTCAAAATGATGTGCCACAAGACCCCCGTTTTCATATAATTTTTTTTCAAGATGGCGCCCAGTGGCCATCTTGACATTTTCATCTGTCAATTTTACTCTAAAATATGGTATCGACGCATCAATTTCATTACCTCAAGTTTTAATTTTTTGAATTGATCTGTTCAATAAATCAAACGGGAGGAGGACATTAAATAAAAGCACTGTATATAAAATAAGTTATGATATAGGTATACCAAATATAAGATAATTTGATTTATTTATAACTTGTTCCGAAACAGTCAAGGCAAAAGTGGGGATTTCCTTCACAACTGTCACAATATGTAGTAACTTTCGGATTTTTATTTTTGGTATTTCGCCCACATTTTTTCTATTATAACATTCTTTACAATACCATCTGACTTCATGTGATTTCCCTTCTTTCTTTCAGTACATGTCGTTCCCGTCTTGTGTCAGCTTTTGACCTAGACGGTAGATTAGACACATTGTTTATTGGAAACAGGACTTTGGCTCTTCAGCCGGATGGACATTTTTCTAATATGTTGCTTGGCGCTTAACGTGTTAAACGCTTCTATTTAATTTTAGCATTTAGAGAAGTTGACAGATCGGCTCAGCCAGATTTGAGCTCGATCCATGCCGATTGCATTGAAATGTTTTGTTTCTTCAACATGAAACTCGTAGATGCTCTGATTAAGGCTTCAAAAATGTCTCTAGAGAAGCTTAAACAACGAGCTACAAGGTACGATAAAATAATACTTAGCCCTCTAATATTGAATGGAGAAGTGTCAACCACAAGACGTGTCACGTAAATACGTGCTTAATAAAATACAACCTTGTAACTGTTATTTGAATATATTCATAAATAATTGATTCCAGTTTGAGCGGAGAGCAGGTTCCTCTTATGAAGTCAGCGATGATCCTTCAAATACCTCTGGCCATCATAAATCCCACCTTAGATGAAGTTCAAAGCATATTTTCGCAAGTATTAAATAATATCTTGGATACGCATAAGTATATTGCTATGTGGGGACAAAACACCGGCAGAAAGTCAGCTATGAAGAAAGGTTTGGCCGTATTTAACTGTAATACTACGTTATCGTTACAGCTTCTCATTAAATATTGCGTTTATTGAAGTTATTAATAAGAAGAATATTAATATTTATATGGAATAGCTTGGTGATTGCCTTTTTATTTCAGAGAAAGTTAATGACATAAAAGCAAAAAATTACCATAAAATAATTAGCGAAAATAAGGAAATCGTACGAATATACATGAGCTTACAAGGAGTTTTGTACATGGTCCAGCCGGATGTTGTTGAACTAATAAAAGTACGTTGAACAACACTTTCGTGAAATAATACTGCTTATTCACACCAATTTATAAACAACATAACACAATAGTAACAATGAATGGTCCATGGGATTGACAAGGACCAGAAGAAACTGATAAAATATAAATATAATATAGTGATTTTCTATTGTAGACCAGTATATTTTCTTATAATAATCAAATTATATAGTAATTATTATAGGGATATCTAAACTACGATTACCTCTGGGCAGAGGACAGAGATCAACAAATGGAAGACTTTTGCGCTACAAACCCTTTGATTGTTGAAATTTCTGAGAAATTTCAGGAGTATGACGCTAGAGCAGAAGCAATTCGACAACTGCCTGATAAGCATGACATATCGGCACTTCAAGTAACAATGGGTAAAATATGGTCTACGACTCTCTTTATTACTCTTTACTTCAAAAAGTTACTTAGCACTCAGTTTTCTTTGTATAATGACTCATAAATTGTTGCAGAGGACTTTAAGTTGGGATTACTGGTTGAATCAGATGCCTGGAAATATATTTTGGGCAAGAAATTGGGCAACAGATATAAGGAAAAACTAGTTGCTATGGTAGATTTTATAAAGGCCCAAGAAAAGATTCTTAGCAAGCCTATCAAGGATCTCGATGACTGTAGGTAAGAAAATACACTGTTTGGAATAACTCTTTTATTTATTCTGATACTCCTTGCACGCGTAGGCCTCACCAGCGGTAAACATGTGGTAAATCTTTTTCGAGAATCCCTCCAGCCTTTTTTACACTGAAGCAGAAGCCTAAATGCTATGAGAAGATCAAAGAAACTTGTCTTAGGTTAGTAGAACTGGGAAAAACCTCCGTATGTAGATTGTTCAACAATCTCGATACCGTAGGGGTAAAGGAGCGGTCTTCTTGGCCAGTTCTGAATGTACGAACTTCGATATGTTCTTTTCTCCAGCTCACTCTGAATTCTTGCGTGCACAGTCGTTGATATACTCGTATGAGAGGAATAATAATAAGGCAGCTTCCCTGTGGAGCACCCGCATGGAAATTGTGGGATGAAGAGGAGAACCAGTCAATTGCGATGGATATCTTGCGGCCAGAGAGAAAGTCAGCCACCCATCTGCAAAGCTTATCTATAGGGTAGCATGTGACAGTTGATCTAAAGATTTCTTGATAACAAAAGCAACGACAAGAGTCTTATCATAATATTTTAGGAGCTACGAGATCCCTTGTGGATCGCTGGTGTCGGAAACCATACTGCCTGACGCTAATCAAGGCGTGACATTCGAGGTATTCCAGAAGCTCCCGATTTATGCACCTCTCCTTCATCTTACTTATAACAGAAAGCAGAGCATAGGACTGTGGTTGTGAGGGTCGCAGTTAGAAACTCAGATGGATTGGACATTCCAGTTTTCTGGGAAAGTACCGGATTCGACATCTGGCACAGACGCGAATGAATTGGAACGAACTCTGCTGCACATCTCTTCAATACAACGGCAGGAATTATATTCAGACCAGAAGATTTGTTGACGTCAAGCGATAAGAGCACTCGTCTTACATTCTTAAACTTGAATGTTACTTTCCGTATAGTGTAGGGCACCCTTTGAATCGACGCCACTCAGGCGTTGATGGGGTTGGCAGCAAAGATCTTGGCAAGCACTACCGCCTTAACTCTTTAGTCTATTAACAAAGATAGAGAAAGCCATGTAGTCATTGAATGTGTTTTCGGAAAATTGATGGTCAAGCAGTTTGTCTAGAAATTCACTAAGAATGCTTATTTATTTTTGTTTTTAGAAATGCAATGAATTGCTTAGAAGTAATCAGGGAACATTTCATCGAAATGGATATGGACCTAGGTTTGATGGAAGAAGCATACGCAACACTAGCAAGGTTCAAAATTGACGTTTCTAGGGAAGATATTGAGAGAGTTGAATCGCTAAGATTCAACTTTGAGAACATGGTGAACCACGTGAGTGTCAACATCTAACAAAAATGTCCATCCTTTCTTGAAACGCTCTAACAACTACTGTGTAGTTGCATCAACTCATTGAAGAAATTGCATAATTCTAGGCGAAAGCTGTTCAAGAAAATATTTGCAACGTCCAAGGACCTCTGTTGGAAGAGCTGACAGCTGGTGTGGCTAAATTCAGGGATGAAGTAGAAATGTTTGACCGAGATTTCGAAGAAAAAGGTCCCATGATTCCAGGCTTGTCAGCCAGAGAGGCCAGTGATAGAGTGTTGGCATTCCAAGATAGGTTCGATGAGTTGTGGAGAAAATTCGAGATGTACAGCAGTGGTTAGTTGAAATTTTGACGATTCATAATTCTAGACTATCTTTTGAGATATGGGAATAATATTTCTGTTACAACAGGTGAAAGGCTCTTCGGCCTAGAAGTAAACGACTACCCTATTCTTCATAAGCGCAAAAAGGAGTTCAACCTCTTAAATAAACTGTATGGTCTGTACTTGGCTGTCAATCACAGTATTGATGGATACTTCGACCTACTTTGGAGCGATGTGGACACCGAAGTCATTTTCGCAGAGTTGCAAGAGTTTCAAAACAGGTAGTTTCATTTTGAGCAAAGCGTCTTCGGATCCAACTCTTCATTCTCTAAAACAAACATCATATCATGTTTATCAGACTCAGCAGTAATTTGTTTTCACGCTAATTTAGATGCCGTAAGCTACCTAAGGGAATGAAGGACTGGCCAGCCTTTCTGGATTTGAAGAAGAAGATTGATGACTTCAGTGAAACCTGTCCGCTATTGGAACTCATGGCGAATAAGGTATCGGAATATAGTCGCCAGCTGAACGAAAATTCACTCTACTTTTGTGACTTAGATCATTGTTAGCAAATGCTTCCAAAACACAGTACCTGTCAAACAACGCTCACCCGGTTTCGATTAATGGTCGAGGTCTATCAAAGAGCTGTTCATTTCAGCTGATCGGGGTCTAGATCACCGGTGGCTTGATCTGGCACGAACACATCTCGTCCATCCCGACAGCTGCTGGGAAAAAGCTAGACTATTTCTTTAGGACTAAGCCTCTTGTCCACAAAACCTCCTCATACTTTACAAGACGTAGCCTCGAGTGCTGCTCACATGTTTGGGGTGCTGCCGTTCCGACTACTTTATCCATGCTCGGTACTATTCAGATGAGGGCTGTTCGAATGATCGATCACCTTTCTCTGAAAGTTTTCGTACAGACGGATCTGTCTTCTACCGCTTTGTCAACGAGCTTTGCTCCAGAAGTGGTCGGTACGACCGATCCCTTGCCCCTAGGGTATCATGATTAAGGAACAGTTTACCTTAACATGCATTTCCCAGTTCAAAAGTCGGATTAAGAATGTGTCTTTAAGCCCCTTATTGCTGCCGCGGTGTTTAGGCATTTGCCTTCGCGGTTGCTTCTATCCAGGGTGTTCCTTAATGATATGCGAATATTTAAGGGTGTGAATCTACATGAAAAATTAATGTTAGTATGTTTTATAAACTATGGTCCAAAAATGTTTTCTTACAAACACTCGGGGTGTTGGAAGTTTTAGGAAAAAAAAAATAATTAATATTTTCAGAACCGCTTCTTCTTATTACTAATGAAACATCATCAAACAGCAAAGTCCGTCTGTCCCACAAGTGGTTGCCAATAATTCCTGCCCATACGTTAGCCGAAAATTGGTGTTGGAAATGGGTTTCAGTTACGGAATATGGGTTTTCTTCTGCCTACAAATGATTCTTGTGGAAATTCTGAATGGCATTTCGAGAAAAATTTGCTTCGTCCGTGAACAAATTGCGGATTTTGTGTAATTCTTTGAAGATACTACTGACAAAAGGTCACACGCCTTGGAAAATCAATGGGAAGTAATGCCTGTACTCTTAAAATATGGTAAGGATATAACAAAGAATTCACTAAAATGCTCCAAACAATTTGATGGCAAATATTTAAGTGTCTAGCGATCTTCCTCGTATTCGTTTCAGGATGTTCTTCGACTTCGTGCAGCACTGCTTCCTCAATTTCAGGTGTTCTCACACTTAGAGGTCTACCTTCAGATGTTCCTTTTCGGTCAGAACCAGTTTCAACAAGACGACGATGAATATTACAAAAGGTTCAACTATCTGGCAAAGCACGATCGGGATATCTCGGGTGATAAATCCATCTGGCTTGCTCACCATTACCGTCGGCAAGGCCATATACGTAATGCATTTCCGATATTTCTGCATTTGAATAATTCACCATTATTAACAAGATTGTAAAAACTAAATAATGAAAAAGATGTTACAGCGAACAGATTTGAGTAACAGATACTTGTCAGATGTCAAAAGCCAGTGACATATTCCAGAGCAACTAGATACTTATTGCTAAATTGCATTCTTCAATTATTACATTAATTTTCTCGGACAATAGAACGGTTTTTATTTTTTTACTCAAAAATGGCGCATCAAAAGAAAACAATTCAAGAAAGATAATTTGTTTTAAATTGAACGGGAAATTTAAAAATAATTTTTATTTGGCAAAAAAAACAATGGCGTACCATTTATATTTCTTAAAAAATATAGAAGTCAATACCCGTACGCACACCACTGTTAAAGCTAAAAATTATTTTTACATTGAAAAAATGCCACTTTATTAACTTTTACTACGTACTAAATATCAGTCAAATATATGAAGCGGTTCTGAAAATATTAATCACCTAATTTAAATTTTTTTCCTAAAACTTCAACACCCCGAGTTTTTGTAAGGGAACATTGTTGGACCATAGTTTATAAAGCAAACTAACATTAATTTTTCATGTAGATTCACACTCTTAAATATTCGCATATCGTTAAGGAACACCCTGTATAAAAAATGAGGATCCTGGTAAATTTGAAAAATACTGAGCTAATGATACGTTTGCCTCGCATTAGGTATTTTGCTTTCGGTAAGAGTGGTACTGAAACATAAACATCGTGAATACAATTCTTTTGACTTAGGCCATGAAAGAGAGGCATTGGAAGCGCCTGAGTAACCTGACAGGTTATTTTTTCGACGTTGAGTCGCCAACATTCACTTTGAGAAATGTTATGGAAGCGCCACTACTGCAGTACAAAGACGATGTTGAAGATATCTGTATCAGTGCCGTTAAAGAGAAAGATATTGAGGCAAAACTTAAACAGGTTTGTAGACAACTGGGATACTTACCACCAATGAATATACGGATACTGCTGAAAAAAATTCCATATAACAGTTAAATATTTCATATTTTGTTAGGACCTAAGTATCTAACTTAAATTGTTAGATATCTGTTATTGGGCTTCCATTGTGTGGTCGAATCAAGCCACATAGATATAAATATACCAGACTTTTTAGTGACCATAACCGTAAAAGGTTGTATAATAGACGTATCAAAATAGACTTGAATGATTGCTTCCTTACTTAAAATCCCTTCCTAGCATTTTATGAACAACTCGTAAGAATGCCTTACACTATATGTTAACTACGTTATGACGTATATAAGCAAGTCTTAGCTTCCTCAAAAGGACTGATTATAAACAGAAAATAATAAGTGCAGGAAATAAAACCAAGGAGGCATGGAAAGTCGTAAATGAATTAAGAGACAAACCTCCTACTTCCACCATCTATAAATCTAGATGTACCAAATAATTATTACTGCACAGTAGCAAAAAAAACTAAAAAATACTATACTGTGATATTTATGAATTGCGATTAGTATTAAGATCTATCAAAAATAAAAAATCATCAAGCATTGATGAAGTTTATTTAAATGTTGTAGCTAATCTTTCACTTGGTGTTCTTGATATGTTCACAAAACTTGTATTTCTCTTAACACAGATGTTTGTACAGAATTTTTAAAAACATCTATAGTTATTACAGTTTATAAAGGAGATCCAAGCTATTTACCAGCAAATTTAAGACTCATAAGTTTAATTACTGATATAGCAAAAATAATAGAAGAAATAGTAGAAATTGGATTAAGTTTTTGTTGTTATTGTTGAAGATTTATATTTCTTTTATTTAATGCTACAGAGTCAATTTTGTATAATGATTCGGTTACATATTTTATTTAAATTCATTTTCTGTAATTTTAAATTCTTGTCTATTAAAATAAAAATTAAAATTACGTCACTATGCATTTTGATTATTCATAAACTGATTCATTAATTTCACCTTAAACATTTTTAAAATCGAGCTCTGTTTAATATCATTATTCAATTTATTAAATTCAAATACTCCCTTTTGAAATATAGATTCACTAGTTATGCTACTATTACAATTTTGCAGTGAAAATCTATACTACCTCTAGTTTCGTAGTTATGATAATGACTATTTAATTTTGTGAAGTTCTCTAAATGTGGTGGTAATAAATGATTTTTTAAATTGAATATGAAAAGGAGAACTAAATAATATATGAAATTTTTCGCATCCAACCACTGCAGTTCTTCTAACATAGACTTAATCCTAGCATATTTGTGTTTATTTAAAATGATTCTCATAGCTTTGTTTTGTAGAATTTGTAGTTTTGAAAATATGTTTTCATTTGCTGTAAACAAGATGGTTGAACAATATAAAAAATGGGGAAGAATTATAGTGTTATACACAATTTTTTTTTTGGAATACATACTAAGATTATGGGAAACTCTATAGAAGTAATTCATCTTTTTCGATATTTTTGAAATAATGTATTCATAATGTTCGTGAAACAGGTTACTATCCACATATATACCAAGATATTTAAATGACTCGACTACTTCAATTTTTTCATCATTAATCATGAGCCTAATTGTATTGTCACCTAAATGTTTCCCTATTGACATACAGTTTGTTTTATTAGTGTTTAATTTAAGTTTATTGACATGTAACCAATTCATATTTTTTTCAATATCACTATTTAACAGTTCAAATGCTTTTGTGCTATATATTTGAATTTTGCAGTGTTCTAAAACGTCAGAGATATCACTTATATAAATAATAAATAGTAATGGCCCTAATTTGCTACCCTGTGGCACCCCTACCGATATATTTTGAACACTTGACATAATATTTCCAACTTTAGTTTTTTGAGGTCTATTTACTAAATAATTTTGTAAAATGTATAATACTGATCCTTTGAAGCCTTTCTAAAAACTAACAAAATTATAAGTGACAACGAATTTGCGTTTCAAAAACAAAAAAATACCAGGGATGCCATTTTCTCATTACTTTGACTCAGATTCAAACGATAAACACATTTCAATAGCTCTTTTTTACGACTTTTCCAAAGCTTTTGACCGTGTAAACAAAAAATAATCAATCAAATACGGTTGTACTGGATCTTCACTCAATTGGATTGAGCATATTTAAATGAATAATCGATCCCAAATTGTAACATTATCAAGACATTATATTCCGAATACATTAAACTTAAACGCAAGGGTACCTCAAGGATCAGTACTAGATCCGATCCTATTCTTAGTCTATATCAACCATTTATTAAACTTAAGCATAAATAGTAAATTCGGAGTTTTTGCCACAATACCTTGGCAAGACAAAGATATAAATGGAGAATGCACTGTTAATAAGACAAAATTTGTGACATTCAAATGCTCTATATTTTTGTTCATATGTTATTGTGATTGTACTTGAAAAAGGTAACTGTGCGGGCAGGAACGTACAATAAAGAGAAATTTAAACATATATGTGGATTGATTCAGTCAAACAAATGAGTCCTATGAACATGAAAACCACACGATAAGTTTCAGGAGTTACAGTACATATATTATTTTCCTACTGCTGCTTTAGGTGATAGCTGATTGGGCAGTTGTAGAGCTGTCTTTCTCAAACTTCAAATCCCGAGGTGAACTGCTATTGAAGGGAAATGAGACTGGTGAAATTATTACTACACTTGAAGATAGCTTGATGATTATGAACTCTCTACTAAGCAACAGGTCAGTAAGATAAAATCACATATTCAAAACATGCCTTTTATACGCTTATACTCTGAAATTGGCTATAGGGACAGCTGAAGTTTGTCTTCAGGTTTCTAAGAACATAATTTTCCAGATATAATGCTCCATTCAAGAGAGATATTCAGCTGTGGGTTCACAAATTGGTCGATACGTCAGAAATTTTAGAGAAATGGCTTATCGTCCAGAACTTATGGGTATACTTAGAAGCAGTATTTGTAGGTGGCGATATCGCCAAGCAATTGCCTGCTGAAGCAAAACGGTTCAGCGTAAGTATGCAGACAAATATCTTTATGAAGAAAAAAGTACTGTGACATTACAAGAAATAGCGTAGATAAAATACAGCGAACGACATTGCAAGTTTGCAAAAATTCCCACAAATCTGAAAATTGGTGCACACCTTAAATACACCATTATTAATCGTAGATCAAAGCTCCTCATATATCGGAGTGGAACCTTGTTTTATTTGGGTTGGAATGTCAAAAACAACACGTTTTATCGTATTTCTCGAAAATGGAAAGAGATACCACAAAAATACCTCGCATAAAAATTGTAGAGGATACAATTGTATAAGGAAGTTGTTATAATACCTTTATTCCTTGTTTAACCGTTATGAGGTTTAGTAATCTGCGGACGTTCAGATACTATTGATACGAATAAAAATTATTTTAGGCCTTCAATATGTTATAGCAGATAATATATAAATACTTCACATTGATCTTTGGAGCGAGGTCAAAGTTATCATATTTTATTTTTATTTGGAACGGTAGGAGTAACAACAACAATAGCTCTCACCAAAATTGTAGAGGATGCAATTCTCTATAAACGTGCTCAACTGCTTTTTTGTGATTCGCTGGTTATGCGTGATATATTTGACGTTCCTGTCAAAATAAAACAAAGTTCCAAGGATATATGAGGAGTTTTGATATATTATTCATAATGGAGTATTCAAGGTTTGTACCAATTTTCAACTTTCTGGGAATTTCTGCAAGCCTAATTTTTATTTTGAATGGATTAATATGCGAAAAATATAAAAATAAGACTCAAGATCATTCTACAAAATAATTAATTTGGTGTCGTCGAACAAACTATTAACTAATTTCATCAGTCTTGTATCATTACTAGCCATACGTAACTGCTCTTCCAGAATATTGATAAGTCATGGGTCAAAATAATGATAAGAGCCCATGAAATTCCAAATGCGGTTGACTGCTGTACCGGTGACGAAACTATGGGCCAGTTGTTGCCTCACCTCCTGGAACAACTTGAGACTTGCCAGAAGAGTCTGACTGGATACCTGGGTGAGGCCATTCTCATAACTCATATTATCTAGCAATAATTAATGATATATCTTTTAAGAATCCAAGAGACTATGCTTCCCAAGATTCTTCTTCATTTCCGATCCGGTATTGCTGGAAATCTTGGGACAAAGTTCAGATCCAACTTCTATACAATCACATTTGCCTAGCTTATTCGATGCTGTATATAAGGTAAAAATCATATTCGTCGTCAAGTATACTAATAGCGCACTTCCACTTACTCCAGCTACCATAACCGAAACATACCCGCCTTATTAAGCTAAAATATCTATGATCTGAGAGAAAACAATTGTAATAAGCTGTTCAACAGTGTTACATTTTTGAGGGTGTTTGAAAATGCGCCTAATCGACAAGTGAAAAAAAAAATGATGGGTGACTTTCTTATTTGGACTCACAGTTGGAATAATAATCTTTTCGCATATATTCAAATGGTTGTGAATATTATTGGCTGAAGTGGTTCAAAAAAGTTGTGGAGGCTGAGAATACCTTGAAATGAGACCTTAAATGACCAATTTGTTATAACGGTTGATTTGTTATTACAAAAAAAATGGCGTCAAGTAAGTTGACTCTGTAGTTTCTCTGCTATGCTGTCATCAGTTCGTAAAGGATTATGTTTGGTACTAGTCAGCCCTTCTGAGAAAAAAGTGATCGACATGTATAACAAAAATCAAATAAAACTCCTCCTCCCCTGAAAGAAATTGCTGCAGGGCGATATTGGCCTTCACCATGTACAGTTCAGGCAGCCCCCAGAAGTGCCGAAGCGATTACCGACTGTGACGTACGACCTCAGAGACGACACTCGTCATCGGGGGACGACGTCGCACGTATTGACACCAGACTTTAAGGCACATGTTTTAAGATGAAATGAACGGGGACATATACGATGAGTAAAATATGCCTAATATGTGCTTAAAATTACTAAGGTTGGAGGCGTATAAATATATCATCGTCAAAAAATTAAGACATATCCTCTCCCAAGCCCCTAACCCGCAATCTTTAACCTCTCAAAAATGTTTCCGAAATATATCTTGACCTCAAGAAAGTTTGAGCGATTTTTTAGTTTTCGGTCTTGCTCTCCGCCGTCACTGGATCGGTTGTCAAAATCTACAAAAGTTTTGCGTCCTAGTAGTAAAATTGTGTAAAAATTTTATCGAAATCTGAGCGGTACTTCTCAAGTTACAGGCGATTATATTAGCAGACAAACCGACAGACAGACCGAAGAACATGAATGTCATGACATATAACATCCAAAAAAACTAATATCTCACTTTCGCCAGTAGGCGTGGCAAGTAAAAGGTCGAAGATTCTAGAATTCTACATTAATTTACTTTTTCCTTTCCTCCGGATTCTTAAGATAACTTAGTAGGAATTAAAATGCATTTAATCGAACTGCCAAAGTTTCGGCGTTTATTTCACACCTTCCAGAGGGCCACAAAAGATGTGAAAAAAATATATTCAAATATTCAAAATTGTAAATGGAAATTTAGTGAAAAATGTCTGTTAAAAAAGTCAAAAATAAAATACACAAAAATATAAAAACCATAGAAGAAACAAGTAAAACCGATAACAATAATCGTGTGTACGTATTAAAAGTTATCATATGAAAATTCAGTCTCAAATAATTTAAAAAGGTTTCCTCTAAATATGGGATATTACAAATGAACATATGAAAGACCAGATTTAAGAAAGCGAACAAATATACAAATTTGTAAAACTTAAAAGCATCCGTAAATATTGAATGAGACACACGCACCCCAAGGGAAACAAGCATCCTTAGGTTAACTGTGAAAATAAAGAATAGAACATGCAAAACAAACAAAACAAAGAGATGCAAGTTCAACTAACACTGCTTAGGGTTTAAATCTGATAAACTCCTTAAGGAAGAAGAAATCTGACCTTGCTTCTTCGTTCACAGCATTGCTATGTAAAAAATGAAGATAGTTCCGCTAATTAAGCGTTTGCTGTAATTGCTTTCATTATCTAATAGGCAATTTCTGATTGTTACTAATTTTTTGAGAAAAATGGCCTCCTTTGATGAGCTGTCCAGGAACGAATCAATCAAATGTTCTCTTATTGGGATCATTTCTCTTGCTAGCGACATAGTTTGACATCATTCAAACAATATACTAAAATTTCTTATACAGTCACATAAAAATGAATCGCCCACCGCACATCTATTTTTCCGTTATAAACAATTAGAATACTTCGGTTGTTTTTTGACAGTCGTATTTAGGATGCTCACCACTGAAAAACTTATGAAAATTTAATGAGAACATCAAATTATTTGGACTATTGAGCACCTAAAGAACGATGAAAAAGTAATACTTTAAGCATGGTTCAAACAATGGTTCGAACTTATGTTTAATTTCGTATACTAACTAGCAGTTGACACTTTAAGAAACCCCGGTTATTCCTTGTAAACAAATTACAACTACTTCGTGGCACTAAAATTGTGGGTTATGTTCTCAGATTTCAAAAAATGCTTATAAATATTGAATATGAAATTTAGAGAAAGGCATGTCGTATAAGAAAATCAAACGTGACTTACTGCTTCGAAAATCCATGATATCTCATGAATTTGGTATGTCATGCCTCAATTGTGTAGGATATGTATGTAGTAGCAATATTACACGATATAATTTAGAACAGTCAGCTCAAAAAACATAACTATTTGAATACATGCAAAAAGTAACTCTTCCAACTTTGACCCACAAGAATATAATTCGGTTGTAAAACAGCCTCCTACAATTGTTCTTTCTCAAATTCTAGATATCCTTGCCTTAAATATGGAAACAATTAGGTGACAATACAATAAGGCCCAAGATTAACGTTGAAAAAATTGAAGTCGTCGAATCATTCAATTACCTGGGTATATATGTAGACAGTAAGCTACTGTCCCAGGGGCACTATGAATACAGTACTTCAAAAATATCAAAAAAGATGGATTACTTTTATAGATTTAGCCATAATCTCAGCATGTATAAAAAATGGGCTTGACACCATAACGTCTCCCCATTTTTATATTGTCAATCATTTTAGAGCAGATGAGAACAAATTGCAAACTGCAGAAGTAATTGAATGTAGAAAAATGTATATATGTTATTTAGTTCTGACCTTCATATTTAAATTGAAAAATCATTCATCACCACCACGTTTAGGGAACGTTCACAGTCAGTATCATAACTATGAAACTAGAGGCAGTATAGATTTTCATCTGCAAAATTGTAATAATAGCATTAACCACATCCGTATTTCAAAAGGGGGTATTTGAATTCAATTAACTGAATAATGATAATAAACAGTATTCGAGTGTATAAATGTTTAAGGTGAAATTAAGAACTCCCTTTTCGGATACCCAAAATGAATAGCGAAGTAATTTTAATAGACAAGAATGAAAAATTTCAGAGAACTGGATCAAAAGCTGTGTAAAATAATAATTATACAAAATTACAAAAGTAAATCTTCAGTAAACACTGCCGAAGTCTGCAGATGCATAGAACACTTGTCCACAAAATACTATTAATTTGAATAATATTTTTAGTGGAAATCGAACGTATAACCCTGATGTTTCGAGTATCACAAGATTATTGAAATTGATTCTATTCGAACTTCCTTGACAGGTCGATTTCGACGAGAAGAAGGCAGACATGATCATAGCCATGAACTCAGACCTGGGTGAGAAAGTACCATTTGAAAAAGGTGTTATATGCGCTGGTGGTGTTGAATTCTGGTTAAACAGCCTTTTGCAAATGGTCAAGGACACTGTCAAGAACGTCATCGCTGCAATGGCACAATGCTTCAGTGATCCAGATTACGATTTTATTTCCGGATTCGTTGGATTCTGTGGCCAGGTTTGATTTCCATACTGTCTATGAATTAACACGTTCCTAACAGTGTACCCGTTGAGGGAAGCAAAAGCGGAAATAAAAAAACGAAGCTCCTCCCTTGGGATCCATTAAGCCTGTTCAAATAAAAGCTGACGTGACGTGTCACGTTTAAGAGCCGTCTTAAGAGTATTGTCGCCCAGGTACGAGGATCGATCCAGAAATAAAGTTCCCAAAGACCTCAAGCTACACTGGAAGGTACGAGATATGAAACCCGGCAACACCGTCCAGTGCGAGATTTGATCCATAATTCGCCTGGAACGAACCTCGCACTTGGAGAGCTCGTAATGGGAAGCTCCATATCGGAAGGCTGCTGATCCAAAATTGAGCTGCAAAGCGGAGCACGGTAGGCAGGAATCGAGAGTGGAGAAATAGCAGCGTGCAGCGGTGTTGCCGAATTTCGACTCGCACCTTTCAGTGTGGATGGAGCTCTTTGGGGACCTTTTTAGGGTCAAACCACACAGGGGAATTGCACCAAGACCAGTATTTGCTTAAAATGTGATAATAGTGATCAACAGGTTCAGAACTGTACATTATCAAAAGATGAAGTAACATGTCCAAATTGCAGGGAATCAAATTTGAAGTACAACACAAATTTCGATATAAATCACTCATCCTTCCACTATACCTGCAACATGGTCCAAATCGAATATGAAAAATCAAAAAATAAAGTTTCTTATGGTGACAAATAGCAATTACAGGCCAAAAAATATTCTAACAATATATACCATATAAATATTCAAGGATTTTTATCGCACAGGGATGACGTTATAATTTTTTTAATATTAGTGAAACCATTAGTTCTTTGCTTGACTGAAACACATATTACAGAAGATATTGAAGATATGGAGATTGATATTCATGACTATGATGTTATAAGAGTAAACACAGTTTCGAAACATACAAGCGGCATACTAATATACAAACTGAGTATGATTGAAGTAACAACACATAATACTGTAGTTGTTGATTATCAATGGTGGTATATTAATTTTGAAATGAAGATGAAACAAAATTACAATGTGCACGTTTACTACATATCTCCAAGCTGTAATATTAGCCGATTTTTGGTCTTTTTTGAGAATGTTTGTGAAAAACAGTATTATCGAAATTGCTCCACTATGCACTTGGGAGACTTATAAATATATAAATTTTGATAATCAAGATTTTTATGTAAAAAAAATTAAACAAGTACTGAACTTTCATGGCCTATGGCAAAAAGTTGATTACTACACAATGATTACAAACTTTTCACGAACTAAGATTGATTTAATAATAACTAATGAACAGAAGTTGAGTATTAAGGTTTTACATACTAAAAAAATAAGCGACCATTCGTGGATATGTATCGAGGTGGAAAATATGTTTAATGAGAGAGAATCAAGAGAAATCTCGATTATTGACTTTGATTACGAGAGTTACTCTTGCAAGCCAATATCACTAAAATTTTTGATGATGCTGACACTTACCTCTCATAAATTATGGATTGTATGGAGAACTGCATGAGAGACGCACAAATTAGGAAAGTGGCATATCAAAGGAAAAGCCAACACGCTGGTTTTCACAAATATTTCTAGACTCTAAATTGACGCGTGATGATGACTATAAAAAGTTTACGATCACTCAAACTGAGGAAGATTGGATACAATATAAGAAATCAAGAAACAAGTGTTTAACAAATCTTAGGAACGAAAAGAAAAAATATAAAAACAAAATCGATAGCAATAAAAATAACAGTAAAATGATGTGGAAGAGACTAAAAAATCTTGTATCTCCCAGTAGGAAGAATGAATTATCAGGAATGTGCTTCGAAGATGGTATAGTAACACAAACAATATTGATTGCAGAACGAATGAACGCTTATTTTATAGAAAGTATAAATGAGATAGTGGAATCAATCGAAGATGGGGAACGAAATCCATGTCACATGCAAGTTACTTGTAATTCTTCTATGAGAAAATTCCAAGCAATAAATATCAGCTATCTTTCAAAAATCGAAATCGAATAGAAATCCTAGTGAACGTCTTTCAAAAATGGTTATGAAGGAATGTTTCAACATTATTGGAGAGAAGTTATTATTGTTAGTGAATTTCCTTCAAAATTAAAATGTTCTACAATTTCTCCTGTTCCAAAAGTGCAAAATTCTGAGTTATATACAAACATGCGGCCAATTAATGTACTGCCAGACGTCAAGAAGCTCTTAGAAGGAATCATATATGAACAAGTCATTGAATATATTGAAGAAAACAAGATATTGACAAAATTTCAAGCAGGATTCAGAAAAAAGTTTTCTACTGAGACAGCAATTCAAATGGTAGTAGAAGAATGGAGGCGAAGAAAAGTTTACAGTAACATTGTTCTTAGATTTTAAGAGAGCATTTGAGACTATTGACAGGGAGAAATTGTTAGCGAACTTGCATTGATATGGATTTCAAGGTTCAGTATTCAACTTATTACGAAATTATTTAATCAATAGAAGTCAAAGAACTAAAATTGGCAATACATTATCAAGCATTAAAAACATTTCGGTAGGTGTGCCACAGGGTAGCAAATTAGGTCCATTACTATTTATTTTATATATTAACGATATTCCTAATATTTTACAACACTGCAAAATTCAACTATTTGCTGATGATACATTAATATATATACAGGGTGACTTTGAAGTTGAGTCATTAATTTTCAGATAATGATTGTAGAAGGAAGATAAACCAAAATATGTGTGTAAAAATAAAAAAAAAATAAAAAAAAAAATTTTACCTTGTTTTATAAAGTATCCTCCCGACAAGTATTTCAGTGCGTATTTGATCGTGAGGTCCCCTGTGAGGTCTGAAGTCACCTGATTCACGAGCCCGTTGTACTACTATTAACAAAGGCACGAGGGGTTGGTTGCACTCGATTGGGAAACCGATCCGCATAAACATGTGCCATTTTTTATTTCGTTTGAGCCACGCAACAGATACTATTCACACGCGACTGACACTGATTGTATGTATAACTGAACTGAATAAAGTAAACATCGTTCCAAATTCTTTCGCTTTTTTGTTTCCGATGCGATGAACCGATAAGGTGGATTATATCCGTTGTTGCCAAACACCAGCACATGATGTTATTGAGACAGGGCGGTACTCAAACTTCCAAAGGGCTATAACTTTGTTACTTTAATTTTACCAGAAAAATGGTAAAGGAAAAACACATTTCTTTTGATCAGATCTACTCACTGTTAAAATAAATGACTCAACTTCGAAGTCACCCTGTATATATATATATATCAAATAAAGACGTTGAAACTGCAATAGAGCTATAAAATTATGATATGAAAAACGTAATAAGTTGGTTAAATGTAAATAAACTTAAACTAAACACAAACCAGACAAAATATATGCTAATAGGAAAATCTTTAGATCAAAATACGATAAATCTTACAATTAATCATGAAAAAATTGTGTCAATCGAATCATTTAAATACTTGGGCATATACGTACACAGTAAATTAAAATTTGAAGGGCACTATGAATATATTATTTCGAAAATATCTAAGAAAATAAATCACTTTTATAGAATTTCGCATAGCCTAAGCGTTTATTCTAAAACAAGTGTGTACAACACTATCATTCTTCCTCATTTGTTATATTGTTCGACTATTTTGTTCACTGCAAATGAAACTGTATTTTCAAAATTACAAATATCACAAAATAAAGCTATGAAAATCATCTTAAATAAAAATAAATATACTACTTGGTTTTCATTTTCATATTCTATTCGAAAATTCATCTTCTACCAAATCACTTAGAAAATTTTATTGTATTGAACAATGAGTGCCACAATTATTCTACTGCAAAACATACATTTACAAAACTGCAGTAGCAATATAACGAGCAAGTCAGTATTTCAAAAGGGATTGTACGAATTTAATAAATTAAGTAATGATATCAAGATGTGTGTCAGTGTGAAAATGTTCAAAGGGAAATTGAAAACATATCTCATGGAAAACCAGAATTCATAGTAACGAAATTTTGTATAAAAATATGTCTTGAAGACATAATATATTTTGTTATATACTGTGTAATATGGATATTATGGACATAGTAGCATTAATGCTAAATGAATCTGAAACAAACAAACAAACCCCGTACATAATCAGGATTTAAAATAATTGGTGTCTTCTAGGCCGGTCTGGTAGGAATACAGATTCTGTGGACAAAAGAAGCCGAAATAGCCATAAAGAAAGCGAAATTTGATAGAATGCAGATGAAAATAACAAATCAGAGATTCTTAGATTTACTGAATTCCTTGATTGAGCTAACTTCAAAGGACTTGACGAAAATGCAGAGGATACGATTCGAAACCATGGTCACAATCCACGTCCATCAAAGGTACTGTGTTATTGACTTTTTTGCCAGCAGCGTGCCTTGCACTTGGAGGAGTTTCCTGTCTTCTCTGGAATAAGGTCCTCCCAATCAGCATGTCAATCTTTAATTCTATGCCTCTCTGCCATTTAGGAAGAGAGTGATTTCATATGCTAGGGCTATAAAGTGCTCATACGGAGCTTCTAAATGAAATATCACATGACCCCCATCCAAAAAAGAATGTTACAAGATGGCCTAGATCCCTAGATCCATAACTTGACCAGTTGAAGAAATAAGTTGGGGGAACCTTTCTGTATAGACTGTATATGATGCTTTGTACTACTATCTTACAGGGATATCTTCGACAACATATGTAAAGCAAGAGTGAAGAATGTGTTGGACTTTGAATGGCAAGCTCAATCCAGATTTTACTACAATGAAGAAAATGACGATGTTTTAGTAAAGATAACAGACGTGATATTCTTGTACCAAAACGAATATTTGGGTATCACCGAAAGATTGGCTATAACTCCCTTGACTGATAGGTGCTACATTACTCTAGCACAAGCCATATGTAAGTTTTTTAGGAACTATTTCTACCATGTTTAGGCCAGCTTCGGACTAAGGCTCTGTTAAGTGTCTACTGCTGCTTAAAGGTGGACATTAAATTCCTGTAATTCATGTATCTAGGGCGAAAATCGGGATACTATTTGAAAAACGATACCTCCTTACAGATATTTTGCTGTCATTTCGTTTATTTTGATAGTTCTTTTTTGATTCAGAATTCTAGAAAGAAGTTGAATCTGAAATGCCAAACAGAACATTATTTTTTGTAGGGATAAATATGGGAGGAGCCCCAGCAGGCCCAGCTGGTACAGGAAAAACAGAAACAACGAAAGACATGGGCAGGACACTTGGTAAATTCGTCGTCGTGTTCAATTGTTCTGACCAGATGGACTTCAGAGGACTGGGGCGCATATTCAAGGTATAAATTATTAGCATTGCTTTAGCTTCCTTCACTATTTCACGGCTGCCACGGGTTAAGTCTGACTTAACTAAAGTCGCAGTTACTCAGCATGCTCAGCTCAAGATCCTGTTCCATACTGTATACTGTATAGCCTAAAATACACTGTTTGGAAGGAAAATAACCAGATGAGGAAGATGAAACAAAAGAAGGACACTACGAAAAGTATGCCATTATTTTAATTCTGATTGAATGTTTGTCTTAGGGTTTGGCTCAATCAGGAACATGGGGTTGTTTTGACGAATTTAACAGAATAGAACTTCCAGTATTGTCAGTGGCTGCTCAACAGATCTACATTGTACTGGTGGCCAGAAAAGAGCGCAAACCATCGTTCATATTCATGTGAGTGAAATTATATAGGTATTTCAAGGCAAATCCGTAAAGCTTTGGGGTCGATTATTTGCTACAAATGGAAAGACACATTCAGCAAAAGCTGCCCTGCCCCTAATTATTTCCCTCATTACAAAAAAGGTTTCTTCTAACCACTTAAGGTTTTGCTTTACTTGGGCTTGGTCCTTATTTGGGCAATTTTCTGTCCAACCTCCAGCTATTGCAATATCAGCTTGCCTGATCCATGTTAACAGCCACTTGTCGAGAACTTTTGATGTTGCTTACGTTGCAGAGCACGCCTAATAAGCTTACTTCTTCATGGTCTAGGGACGGTGACAATGTCAGCATGAACATCGAATTCGGCATCTTTTTGACAATGAATCCTGGTTACGCAGGACGACAAGAATTGCCGGAAAATCTGAAAATTATGTTCCGAAGTGTGGCCATGATGGTGCCAGACAGACAGATCATCATTCGTGTCAAACTGGCTTCATGTGGATTTAAAGATAACATCTATCTCTCCAGAAAATTTTATACTTTGTACCAGCTTTGTGAAGAACAGCTTTCCAAACAGGTTAGTTGCGTCTAGGTTGATGCGAATTAATTGATTCTGATACAATATTGAATGTGAATCGTCAAAGGTTCAGTACAGTTCAAAGTGATAAGGTTGTTTTTTATGAATGCTTTCTGTCTTTGTAGGTGCATTATGACTTTGGACTTCGCAACATTCTGTCGGTTTTGAGAACTCTAGGAGCGCAGAAAAGGGCAAATCCAAATGAAACTGAAGAAGTTGTGGTTATGAGAGTATTAAGGTTAGTAAGTACCACGACCCAAAAAAATATCTTTCGGAACTGGTATTGTCAGAAGTTACCCGGTACTCAATTTGTCTTGAGGAAATGAAAAAATCGTAATAAGTGGTGCCATCTATTACCAGAATCGACCAGTATAAAGTGAACAATAGCTATATGTTGGAACTGTAGATTACTGTTCGCGTATAACAGCCGGGTCTCCTCTATGACCGCCTTATGCCGCCGATTTTGGCGATACAGTAGATGTGATCTACTGGCCTCCTATCTGAGTCCGAGACTAGACTGTGCTGATGATTATCAAAACCCATAATATATCCATACACGGTTGGCTGTTTGTGCTCGAACGAACAATTATTAGTAAATGAAAGATTGTTTTTCATCATGGCTCCTTATCTTCCAGGGACATGAATCTGAGCAAGCTAATAGACGAAGATGAACCACTGTTCATATCTCTGATTGAAGATATGTTTCCCGGCATAAAACTGACTACAAAGTCATGGAAGGAGCTACAAAAATGTATCTCCAACGTCTGCAGTGATACTGGTTTAGTGAACCATCCTTCATGGAATTTAAAGGTCATTCAGTTGTATGAGACTTCTTTGGTGAGGCATGGATTAATGGTGTTAGGTATGACATTTTTGATATGCTACTGTCTAGAATGCTCTCAAGACAAGTGCTGCACATTACATGATATGAATGATTTTTCCTTACATCTAATATGAATTGTAGGACCTACTGGTGCAGGGAAAACTAAATGCATGCATACGTTGATGAAATCTATGACTGAAATGGGCTTACCGCATAAAGAACTAAGGATGAATCCTAAGGTAAGAGCTCGTTGAATCTATATGGCAATCTAGAGCATAAAGTATTTCGATTGTAAATTAAATGCATGACTAGCAAGATCACGCGTCTTTATTCTATCCTTTTTTCAGGCCATAACAGCCCCTCAGATGTTTGGCAAATTGGATGTGGCCACAAATGATTGGACCGATGGAATATTTTCTACCCTTTGGAGAAGAACTTTGAAGTTCAAAAAAACCGACTACTGTTGGTAATTTAATAGAAATAAATTTATCTGCTGATAAATCATTTTGACATATCGAGATCCCTTTTTCATTCATTCATAATCTAACCCATAATGTTGAACACTAGGTTAGTTCTTGATGGACCTGTAGACGCAGTATGGATTGAAAACTTAAACTCTGTACTGGACGACAACAAAACTTTAACACTTGCCAATGGTGATCGTATAGTAATGGCAGCCAATTGCAAGCTGGTATTTGAGCCAGATAATGTTGATAATGCTAGCCCAGCCACTGTATCTCGAATGGGTATGGTTTTCATGAGTTCATCTGTATTACCATGGAGTCCAATACTGGAAGCATGGTAAGTTCATGTTTGCAACGAAGATGATGAAGCTTTGTTTTCCAATAGCTTCACAAGAGACTGTTGCCTTCATTCTTGATTCACACTTGTGATATTGACGATAAATTCGTGCAACCCAAATTTATAGGATTATTTTTCGCCCTTAGGTTTAGGAAGAGGCCACAACAAGAGGCTGACACGTTGAGGACATTGTTCAGTAAGATATATGGAGACTTGCACACCTATGTGCAAACGAGACTTAAAGCTAAGATGGCGGTTAGAGAAGCCTTATACATAAGGCAGTGTTATGATATTTTGCAAGGCATACTGGATATCTCTGATGAACCAAGTGGGTATATCTTACTTTCAACGCCAATTGGATAGGAATTGTTGCAATCGCGAATAATTTCCAAAATGAGATATCATGTTTTTTTAATGTTACATATTTTTATATTACGAGGAATCATGTCACTCATTTTGGTTGTTGTGTCTGTCTGTCTCTTTGACCTTTGACTCCTTTACATCTCGACAAACACCGATCAAAATTTGATGAAACTTTGGCACAAGGTTACTGCTATGCCAAGGACGGAAAGGGGATGTTGAGAATTGATCCATTGGAGGTGGAGCTAGAAGAAAGAAACGGAAAAATTAATAACGTCTGAACTTCGTTTTTTGACATTTCAGAAACTCATGTAAAGAAAAAATTTTTGGCGCGTAGAATAGTCGTGGTTGGAGATCTTAATGATGCATGTTTGACATCAGTGAAAACTGTTATATTACTTATTAGGAAGCTTCTGTTCCGAATATTATTATGCATTTATTAGAAATAATAGTCACATGTTTTCCATACATTTGCCATCGAAAGAGAAATGATATTCTGAGGCACCATACAAGTTATGAACATCAAAATGAGAAATTATCAGCAGCTTGAAAGCTATACGTTTTCAGAACGCCTAACGAATGAAGTCGTACGGCAACGTTAAGGGCTTGGCTTAAGTATTCACGTCTCAGTGCTAACGTTTTGAGTTCAATCTACCTACCAAACATTATGGCAACTGTGATTTTTGCGATGTTAACAACATGTTCTCGGTTGAGACCGATAGCTAGCCAAGAATTACAGTACGATTTTTTCCACTAGCAAAGAAACGCTAGGCAGACTGTATTTGTAAAAATAATGCCATATTTATGAGTATCTTTAGGCATACTACATTGACTATATGATGGTTAGCTTTGTTCATTAACGTTATAATAGATGCTTGGAGAATCAACTAGATGGTACAGTTTTTGCAAAATTAAACTCTAAGTATTCAAAGAGATTATCGGCCTCCAGTCTTCCAGACTAGTATTGAGACTTTAGCTATCCAATAACTACCACAATATTGTGTCAGTAACATCCAACACCCTAGATATAAATAAAAACTCAGCGTTAAGCGAAACGACCACCACTTTGCCCTTTTTTTCAGGAACAATGACAATATTGGTAGTATATAACAAGAAATACTAGTGACATTGTGTTAATTATGGTATACTTTTGAGAAATTTAAACAAATATAGTTGTTCTGGAACTTCACTCAGTTGGTTTAAAGCATATTTAAGTAATCGATTCGAAATTGTAAGAATCTCAAGATATACTTCAAAGGAACTAAGTATAAAAGTAGGGGCACCTCAAGGATCAGTAGTATGTCTTATTTTTAGCTTATATTAATGATTTAATCAATTTAAACAGACATGGTAAATTCATAGTTTTTTGCTGACTAAACCACAATATTTTGAGAAGTCACAAGTATAAATGAAATTAAGTCATAAGTTGATAGTTATAAACAATCAAAAATGGTGTGATAATATTTACTTAATTTTCAATGTTAATAAGACCAACTTTATGAAACTTAAATGCTCCCTTAATTTTATAAATTTGAAAAATGATTTGATACGCAAAACACATACCATCAAATTTTTAGGACTCACCATTGTTAATAGATTAAATTTTACTCAACCAGCACAGATTTTCTGTATTTCAAGAACAATTAGCTATAACGAATGGGAAAAACACAGCCTCAAGCAGTTTTACTTTTCTGTTCCGAAAATTGTTTAAAAAAGTGTTTATACTATAAAAAACGGACTATCAGAAATACAAATATAACTAAAAGCAATTCTAGAGACGCATGCAAGTCTTTAAGTTTAAGTCATGAAATAATTGTGTATTTGTTTAATTTAGAAACAGCAACTGTTATTTTCAAAAGTGAATCTAAATTTGAAACATAAAATATAAGTTACGGTATTAGACGACAACCAGATCCATTAGTAGTACCTGAATCAACACTTGTGAAATACTCTATAAATTATAATGTGTGTTCTTGATGGTATCAAAGGAATCAGAAATTTTAAGATACTTTGCCGAGAACTTAAAAACTTGTAAACTGTATTATAACATAAATATGTGATTTCTACAATTTATTCACTTGAGATCCACGTATGTGTTTAGTTTCAAGTTAGCTTCGTCATTAAGAACGATTGTATTCATCAGACAACAAATCATATTTATCTATCATTATTGTCATTATACTTGAAAAACGCCACCGTGGCGGCCAAAACTTCATACAATTAACAGGCATTTAACTATATATGTGCCTAGATTCAGCTAGACAATGGCCCCCATTAAACATGAAACCCACAAGACAAGTTAAAGGAGTTACAGTAACCACTCATTCAGTAGCCGTTGTAATGTAGACAAGCGGTTTTCAAAAACGTTAGGGTACTAAAGTATCATATTTTCAAAAGGGCATCGAAAGCAAGTGCAAATAGTATCATATTCGTTGAGCGATCTGAAGACCCATTGCGTTTTGATGAGCGGGAAAGCCCAAACAGAAAGTGAACTCACGTTTTTCGACTGGACGTCCGATTGTATAATGAGTTGACCATTTAATCTGCTTATTGACTGATTACAGAGGTATGGAGCGACAAGCAACTAGAGCGTCTTTTTATATTCGCCATGATGTGGTCTTTGGGCTCTCTCCTGGAACTTGAAGACCGTGCAAAGTTGGAAGAATTCGCTCTAGTCCATCCCTCCAAGCTTGACTGGCCCAAATGTGGAGAGAACGAAACCATTTTCGAATACGTGGTCAATCCTGACAATGGAAGATGGGAGCATTGGACCAATAGAGTGGAGAAATTTGTTTACCCAACTGATAGCGTTTTGGAGTTTACTGGGATCTTAGTACCTAATGTGGATAATGTCAGGACGGCGTTTTTGATCCACACTATTGCTAAGCAGAACAAAGCGGTGCTTCTTATAGGTAACGCTGTAGATGAAATCAAACTTGACCAGCTTGATTTGGTGGGAATTGCAGTAAGAAGTATTATTCGCCAAAAAGATAGGATGGCCCAGTGTTGCCAGGTATAACCGATCTGTTTTCGGTAAATTTGTGCGAAATTTTCTGCTGGTTCGTGAAATTTTTCGGTAGATTTCCTGGAATGAAAAATGCTATCGAACGATATTTTTTTTATGATTATAAAAGGCGGCGGACTTGGAAGTTCCATCTGATTTTCACCGTATATATAAAAAATATGCACCATCTGATTGAGTAGATAATGGGGCTATTAGTGTGCTTATTCTGCATCTTAGGATTAAAATGATGTCTGCTGAGTAGCTCAAAACTGCTTTCATCGAAAAATAACTACTCAAAAATCAAAATTTACGAATTTGGTACTCATCGGCAACAACTTCATATACCACAAAGTATGTTTCAACAGTTTTTTTTTCAATTTTTGTCACAGTAGTAAAAATTCGATAAGCACCAGGTCCCTCAGGAATATGATATTTAAGACCTTGCGAAATTCGACAGATTGTGCATTAAAAGTGGTAGTTCCGTAGGACTGAAGTTGGTAGACCTGGTAACACTGAGTTTGGCAATAAGTATCTACTAACACTATGAGTGAATCATTGGTGAATCAACAGGTGAACCGGGGACAGCAAAAACTGTGATGATAAAGGGCTACGCCGCAACATTTGATCCTGATTACAAACTGAGCAAGTGTTTCAATTTCTCATCTGCGACAACGCCGAATATGGTGCAGAGAATCATTGAATCTTATGTTGACAAGCGAGTCGGTACAACTTACGGCCCACCAGCTGGAAAAACCCTGACGATCTTCATTGATGATATCAATATGCCTGTCATCAACGATTGGGGTGACCAGATTACGAATGAAATTGTCAGACAGTGTATGGAAACTGGAGGTAAATTTGAAAAAAAACTCTGAGTGTAAATTAATGCTAGTAGAATATGTTGCTGGCAATATAAAGTGATGCAATATATGCCAAAAAAGTGGGCATGGTTCTTTTATCTTTCGGGAAACTGTATTCCCATACCCCCTACACTGATAAAAAAGTTATTCCATGACTCATTCTTGGGAGAAAAATTTTCTCATATTCCTACGACATATCGTTTATCATTTTGCGGTATTTAACAGCTTGGGCAATCCCAGGTGACTTTTCGTTCATAGAAGACGTTATGTTTCTGTCAGTTATGATACTTCCGGGGTCAGGAGGTAGACCTTGGTTTAAAACTCTCATATCCTCACCACCGGCAGCATATTCTCTTTTATTTCGCAGGGTTCTACAGTTTGGATAAACCAGGCGACTTTTCGTTCATAGTAGACGTTATGTTCCTGGCCGCCATGATACATCCTGGAGGTGGTAGAAATGATATACCTCATAGACTGAAAAGACAATTTTGTATATTCAATTGCACGTTACCAAGCACCACTGCTATGGACGTCATCTTTGGTAAGTGTTGATGATGACCGATTCTCTAAACGGAAATATAACGATTTTTCTTAGGTCAAATTGGCTGTGGTTACTTCTGCATAGAAAGATTCAATCAAGAAATAGTAGATTTCCTGCCAAGGCTAGTACCTCTAACCCGACATGTTTGGCAGAACACAAAGAAGAAGATGCTGCCTACACCGGCCAAGTTCCATTATGTCTTCAATCTAAGAGATTTGTCCAGAATCTGGCAGGGCATACTCAACGTTCACGGTGAAGAATGTGAAAATAAAACATCAATTTTGAAACTATGGAGGCATGAGTGCACCAGAGTTATTGCCGATAGGTATACAATGTTTCAGTTTAAGAAGAAACAAGTCTTACACATAGTGGAGTAATTCAGTAAACAAAAAACTACATCAGACAATATTACCGAATATGTAACTTTCACTCGAATTGAGATACTAGAAATACTAGAGTAAACAGAAAAAGCAGACTAGACAATATTCCCATATATGGCATTTTACCCGAATAGAGACAGCATACGAACGTATTACATTAGAATAAAGAAAACCATATCGTGTTGTGTTGCTGTTAGTATAAGAGTATTTTGTATTCTTTACCCGCGCACAAGGGTCACCCTTCTGGGGGATTTTCATTTATTTGTCTGCATATTTTTTTTTGAGTTTGTACAAGTAATTATTATTTTTTTGACGCAAGGAAAAATTGAAAAAAGATGTCAATCATTCCTCTTGACCTTTTTTATAGAAGGAAAGTACTTCCTTGAGTCATTCCTCCCAAAGTATTCGACAGTGTAACAATTTATTTTAAAATGAAATCTTGCGTGTAGAGTTGACAATTCACCAGTCATGGAAAAATTGCTGTTCATTCCTCTCGTGACAAAACAACGAGCTCCTATCACAGGAAGGTATGCTATTACTGAATGTTAGGAAAGAACGCTTGTGTATGGACTTCATATTTCAAGAATGTCATTCAATCTGGTTATAATTTGATTGTATTTTGATTAGGTTCACTGAACCTCAAGACAGGGAATGGTTCATAAGCGCGATAAGAAAACAAGCAGAAGAAGAGCTTGGAGATGATTTTCAGTACTATACAGAAGAAGAATCATTTTGGGTAGACTTTCTTAGGGAACCACCAGAAGCCACGGGAGACGAACCAGAAGATTTCTGCTTCGATGCACCAAAAATTTACGAGGAAATTCCCAGCTGGGAATTCCTTAAAGAAAAGCTCTTTAGTAAGTTCAAATATTGAAATTCTTAGGCTAAGCATAAAATAGGTGCATCAGAAGGCGACAAGTAGTGGATGAGACCTAGGTTATTTTTGTATGCGAATGAGTACAAATAAAACAATTCAAGTCGGTTTTCGTAGTAGAGTCTGTGGAAATCAAAGAAGATATGAGTGGCTCGACGCTTCACAGCTTCAAGGAGGTCTTTGTTTCATGCAAGTACTGGTCCCTATACAGAACGAGCAAATTTAGGTATGTGCCGTCTTGTAGAGATATTTATCAGTGTGCAGTGGTGGCCTCACAACCTTTCAATGACTTCCCAAACATATACGAGGGCCATTTTTGAGAACGGATTGCGCATCTTGTCCCGTGACGTCCGTTCAACAGCACACCATTGGCCAGTACCTCACTACGCCGCAATTACTTTTCACGTCTCTGTCGGTATAAGTTGTGTAGCCTTACTGCTTTGCTTGCCGTCATGGCAATCAGTAAACATGTCGATTTTGAAGTGCACCCAGTAATTCTGTTTTGAGACGCACAAATTTTTCCTCCTGTTGAAATTCACGAGCAGCTTGTTGAATTGGGCGCGCTATTCAGAATCACCGGGGAGTCCTGCCGTCTAGCGGAGTCTTTCTGCTTCATGACAACGCTCGTCCTCACGTTAAGGCAAGAACAAAAACGCAACTGAGACTGCATCATCTACCAAAAATGCCTGTCTTCGCACCATAAGGCTTTCAAGCCATAAGGAATTTCTTGGTGGAAAGCGCATGGAACATAATGACATATTAAGATAAACAGTTACCAACGGGATTAACGGTCGATCAAGCGAAAGCGTTCTTTGACGCCACCACGACTTGACAAATCTTTAATTGCTATGGTGGGTATATTGAAAATGGAAAAGTGTTTATATTTTAGTCTTGTGTGATACAATTTGCATTCATAAATAAAGTTAGAGCGGAATTTGAGGAGGAGTTGTAGATTTTAGTATCATCGGCGTAAGAAGAGCCCTTCGATGAGACAAACGTAGGTAAATCACTGGTATATAGGAGGAAAAGCATAGGACCCAAAACGATCCTTGAGGAACTCCACTCGTCACGTGATGGACTGCAGAGGGATTTGATCTAGTTTTGTGTGGATTATGGTTGAGACATAATTGTCAATAACAAATTCATGTATACAGTAGAGAACATGAACTAGAATCGTCGATTAAATTTATTTGTGTCGTGTCTATTAACAAAATTTCAGGTTTCATGGCTCAATACAACGAACAAGTTCGAGGAGCTGTCATGGATATGGTATTCTTCCATGACGCAATGGTACATCTGATGATCATATCCAGGATCATAAGAACACCGAGAGGGAATGCGATGTTAGTAGGTGTCGGTGGATCTGGGAAACAGAGCTTAACCCGATTGGCGAGCTTCATGGCCAATTATAAGAGCTTCCAGATTCAGCTTACAAGGTAAGTTTATACCATACATGCACAGACAAAAAAAAAAGATAATTATGTTCGATATCATGTCATTATTTTACATAAGAGAATTATCCCAAAAACACTTTTTTTTGTTATTAAACTTCCTAGAACTATTTGTTTTATTTTGTTTATCTCCAGGTGTTTGTCAGGGACATTTTTCTATCTCATTCCAGAAACAAGTGTTAATTTACTCATATTTGTAGTATTTACGATGTTAAACGTTAAGAAACCATTGCTTACATGTATGTGCATTGAGTAAATGTCTATGATAAAATCTTTTCCTGTCCAATCTTGTTCGACTACCGTGTTTTCACTTTGGATGATCCCATTCAAGAGTAAGCAGTATTGGCACTATTACTTTATATCTAGAGAACACTATTGGTTGATGCTATTTTTGTTGACGATCGAATCAAATACTATTTCAGAGCATATAACGTGAACAACCTGATGGATGACATGAAGTTCCTCTATCGTGAAGCTGGATTAGTGGGCTCTGGAGTCACATTCATCTTCACAGACAACGAAATCAAAGAAGAGACTTTCTTGGAGAGCATAAATAACATCCTCAGTTCAGGAGAAATCGCAAATCTCTTCGCGAAAGATGAACTCGACGAGATTCAGTCTGAGTTGATACCGATCATGAAGAAGGTACAGCCTAAGAGACCACCTACAGGCGATAATCTTTACGATTTCTTCATAACCAGAGCTAGAACCAATTTGCATGTAACGCTGTGCTTCTCACCGGTAAGTTTAAAATCCCACAACAATTGCAGTCCATATACAAACAGATAAAAATCAAAATAAATGTAACAATTGATATAAATGTTCAATTCCATCTCATACTCCATACTCAAGGTTGTACATTCCATATTGTACGTACTTATAAAACGCATTTGATGATAATAATTTTTTAACTTGATTTTTAAGTCGAAAATAGTTACTGATTTGCTGTATTTCAACTTTCAACAGGTAAATTATTATATAATTCGATGCAGTAGGGTGATATTTTAAATGTGTTGTGGTATGTGTATGGACGATTCTTGAATTTTGATTTCTAATATTACAATTATGATGAGCATTAATATTTCGGTGCAGGCTATTAAACTTCTTAACGTTACACAATTCAAAATGTGACTTGTAAAATAGCAAAATATGTTTTACTTAAATTTTTACACACGTGATGCATATGAAAATTTAGTGTAAAATCAAAATATGTTTCAAGTAGTTCACAACAATATGATAAAATAAGATCATACATATTCAAGTCTAAGCCAGCTGTACGTTGGATGTTGAAATTTATAACAACAGTTTTATTACAATTTAAAATTAACCTATCATTTTGATACCCAGCAGGGAATTCATCGAATACACTTTGAATTTTGGAATGAAAGTAATTGATATTTGGCTGGTGAAGAGGATGAGAACAAGTTACTTCACAAATTAATTTGGCTGTAATCGTTGAATGAACAGAACAGCAATCGTTCGTAAGCAGTCTATGATCCATATTGAACCATCTATTGAGAAAAACTCTTGGCATGACACAAATCCGGACTCAACTGACCAAATTTTCAGCTAACCGTCATATATTTGGGAAAGATTATTTTCCTTCCGAAACTAATAGGAAACCATGAATCGGTGTGTGACTAGAGTTTTATTTTTCCAAGAAATCATAACAGGAATGAATGTCAGTTTTCTTATACTTGAATTGCCATGAAGGCCTAAGGCCTAAACACCCATTGGATAGAGTGGGGCTATAGAGGGATACAGGTTGAATAGGGGGGACGCCATACGGACCTCAGCGAGGAAACACGTGAGCATGCAACATGCACACATTCTGGCCCCGCCTTAGAGAGCCGCCGGGTGGTACCTCTGCATTCGACAGACAGAGACCGTCTACTACCTATGAAGTAATGAATATTCGCTCATGGGCTGCAAATATAAGAAAAATTATAAATAATAGCATACTGCTCAGGTAATTACGCGATGGGGAAAATATCTCATCTATATTTAGGTCGGTGAGAAGTTCCGAAGTAGAGCGCTGAAATTCCCTGGTTTGATATCTGGTACCACCATGGACTGGTTCAATAAGTGGCCCAATGATGCCTTGGTAGAAGTATCCGCCCATTTCTTAGAAAACTATCAAATGGTAGCCACACCCGAAGTAAAGAACGAGCTTATAGTGATAATGGCGGACATTCAAGATGGCGTAGCAGATTACTGTAACCAGTATTACGACAGGTAATTTTTAGTACTAGTAATGTCGTCTAGAAATCAGTTTAACCGTCTTGACATTTTTAGAGATCACAATGTTGTAAGTCGAACTTTCAACTCGCAGTGCTTTTATCTAATGGTAACTCTTATAAAGTTATAAGAGAATATGCCCCTTTTTGTCCTCTTCACACATGCTTGTTTCATTATTTGACGATAACAGTGACAGAGGCTATGCTATCAAAACATCAAAACATTAACATGGCGGTGGTCCATCTATAGATGCAAAAGCGGGATCATCTGGGAAAAGTTTATAAAACCAATGATCCTTACATCAAACTTGAACAAAAATAGTGTTAGATCCTCTAATATTCTTTTATACTGAAGCAGCCGCGCGCCATAACCCTAAGGTTAGTGCTGCTCTTGATGTCGATAGTTCCACAATCTCGATACCCTAGGGACAAAGGAGTGGTCATATCGGCCATATCTGGATGTAAGAGGTTCGGCACGGTTGAGATGGGAGGCCCAAGTCAGGTGGGTCTCTTTGACAGGCACATTGTGCAGCTGCACCATGGAGGGGAGTTTCAAACGGCAGAGCCCGTTGTAGCGGTAGAAGAGATCGCCGACAGTCTGTCGATGCGAAAGGGTCTCGAGACTGATCGTTAGAGAAGAGTCACCGGTCAGTGGTAGCATGGATAATGTAGATGGGGGGCAGCACCACAAATATCTGAGTAGTACTCAAGGCTAGGCCTTATCTGCACAGATTGAAGAGGTTATGTACAGAAATAGCCTAGTTTTTCCTCAGCAGCTGTCGCTATTGACGGGATGTGTTCGTGATAGATCAAGTATTCGGTGATCTGCAGCATACCATAGCTCATCAGACGCCTTTGTGATATCAAGAGCAACAACTTGACCCTTAGCATAAGACTGAATGAAAGAAGCTCCCGATTTATGCACCTCTCCATCACCTTACTTATAAAAGATCTATAGACCTGTAGTTGTAATGGTCGATCTTGGATCCTTTTTTTTTGAATGGGCTTGGCATGGCCAGTTTCCTGAGAAAGTTCCGAATTCGTAAGATAACTGGAAGAGACGTGAAAGAAGTGGAGCAACATCCGCTGCACATCTCTTCAGAAAGACTCTGGACCAGAAGCTTTGTTGATGTCGAGCGACAAGAGCAGCCGTCTTACGCCCTTATGCCTGAAGGCTACTTCCTGCATAGTGTAGAAAACTCTTTGAATCGACAACACTCACGCGTTGGAAGGGGGACGTCCATAGTGGAGAACCTATAATTGAATCAAGTGAGCATTTATGAGTCATACATGCATTTTCTCTCATATACATCATGTTGAGAAATTGCCATAACACTATTATGGCTTGGTTTTATAGCACTGTGAATGTTTGTCTTGTTTTTATTTGAACCTTTTTCTTGTCAAAATTTTTTGGTATCATCAGCAAAAACTATTTACGATAAGTTTACTAAATCTTTGATATAAACTAAATATAGGATGGCACCCAGTAGTGATCATTGAGGTATACCTGTGTTTATCTTTAATTTGTACCCAGGGCTGTTGAAATTCTGGAGCACAAATTGGATCATGCAGAAAAGTAAAGAATATAAATCAAATGTAGCTGATGCTGCTGCAGCGCGATCGGCCTGCCAGACAGACCCACCTGACTTTGGCCTCCCATCCTAACCGTGTCGAACTACGTACATCCAGAACTGGCCGATACGACCGCTCCTTTGTCCCGAGGGTGTCGAGATTGTGGAACAATCTACAAGAGGAAGCTTTTCCCAGTTCTACTAACCTTAGACAGTTCAAAAATCGGATTAACAAAATTTATTTGGATCATCATAACAGCCGCGGTGTCCCGGCATTTAGGCTTCTGACTGTGCGGCTGCTATGATATATACAAAAGCTTCAGTGCAAGGGGTTTTGGGACGGACGATTAGGATAAACCCTCGCAAAGCATGTCGTGGAACCAGCTTACTACCAAATTGACTTTTCAGATTCCGAAGAAGAACTTACGTAACACCAAAGACCTTTATTTCGTTCCTCGGAGCTTACAAGGTACTGTACAGGAAGAAGGTCGACGAAATAGGAGCTCTTGCGATGAGAATGAAGACCGGATTGAAGAAGCTCATAGAAGCTGCTCAGAGTGTAGATGAATTGAAGAAGGAATTGGCAATTAAAGAAATTGAGGTCAATGAAGCAACGTTAGCTGCTGAAGAGGTGAGAATTTCGTATTAGTACTGAACGCGGTAAGCTCTGGGATATGGAGTAAATATATAAAGTGACTGGGGCAATCAGTCGAAATTTGAAATCTCAAACCGCTCGCTGTCAAGAATCTGTACAATAACGGGAAATACAATTCCCCGTATTGCCTATTAATAGCAAATAATTTCTCTATTTCAGAAAACAATCTGTAATTGGCCCTAGTCTGTCGGCTCTTTGGCCAGTTTCAGAAAATTCTCCTAAACTTTTTTGTAATGCATCACAATTGCCTGATAATTCCTCTATATCCTAGACTATTCCCCGTAACGTTAAAAAATTTGCCAAAATTCCTCGAAATTCCTGGGTATTATAGGAAATTGAAGCTAATTAATCCTTTCAGCGACTGCCGGCAACATAAAAATTATTTTACATGATCAGTTTATCCTATTTTGCTTTTTCTTTTTGAACCCTTTTTAAACCTCATTTATGCCACATTAAAACAAACACGTATACTGCAAAGATTTGAAGAACATGCGCTGGTATTTGTTCTCACATGAGGTTAATGAGATTAAGTCACAGTTTACCTGTGAATAGAAACATAGTTAAAGCAAACATATTCATGATGATAAAAAAACTACCTACAATAGTCGGATGCTCAATTAAAGTATGCTTCTCATGGTAGCTAATATTCGAATTCAAATCAGTATTTTTATATTCCAAGACCTTGTGTGGGTTCTACAATATATTTACTTAAGAACAACATTTGTAATTTTTATATAGTTTAGTTCTAAGTTAAGCTAGCTTTATCAATAAGAATCATGTTATTCTTCAGACGATATTTTTTTGTTAAAGGAAGTTTTCCTTTCTTTTGACGCCTTTGCAGATATCCTTTTCTAAAATATAGATACTTTTTGTGCAACGTGGTAGATATGCTGGTTCGAACTTAATTATCTTGAAATGACTTGAAGAACAATTTCCTCAAATCTTAGCACATCTTTCAGGAACATCCCGTATATTTTTAATACGAAAAATGCTTGTGCATCAATGAAAATATAAATATCTCTTTAATATTCCTAACATTGTTCCCAACCCAAGAATATTATATTTCGCAGAAAAAGTTCAATACATATTAGGAAAAACTGGTACCGAGAAAAAGGCATTTAAATTCCCCCTAACGAATATAAATGTGTGTACAGTCTAAGAAAATCAAGTTCGCCATTTTTAGCAAACAAGATATAAGGTACTGTAGGTCAAGGTTTGGACTTTGACTTGGATAATAAATTGAAGGACAGTCATGTTTAATTGCATTTTTAGGTCTTGAAAATTAGCATTTTGAGGCATTATCAAACATTGAATCGCATATAACTCGAAAGGGTCAAATTTAGAGAACAGTTACTAAGGACATTTTTTGTCCAGAATAATCCGAATAATACGAAAAAAAAACAGGGGTTCCCTTTGCGAACCTTGGATTTTTGCAGAACTGCTAATACAGGTGTACTGTACTTGCTCTATATTATTTATTCAAAAAAATATCAAAATTGCTTGTACATTATACTACCTGTTTCGCTCTGAGTGTATACTACCTCATACTGAAATTTAAGAAACCATAAGACATTGGGTAATGTGACCACGTCTGTTGCATCGCCTTGACACAAATCAAGAGGTTGTCGGAAGGTATTCCATTAAACTTGTCTAAACATATTTTTCAGACAAATTTCAAATAAAATATTTTTTTTTGCTCTGAACAATTTTTAACGTTTTTCGAATCATTCTGAATAAAGAAGGTCTCTGAAATGATTCTCTAAAGCTGATCCTTTTCGAGTTATAGGCAAATCAGTGCTTGAAAAAAGCCTAAAATTGGCTTTTTCAGTGCATAAAAACTTAGCTAAAATTACATACTTTGGAAGTCGCCAAGCGTCTAAATGAAAGTCAGACCTACAAGACGCAGAAGAATAGTTTAGGATTAGTTCAAATGATTATCAATCATTTTTGGTAGGAGTCGAAACTCAAGTGACTCGAGGTTTGGCAGAATCCTTCTGCCACTTCGCAAATTAACTTACAATGTCAACCATTGTCCTCTGTAGGTTATGGCAGAAGTAGAAAAAGCAACGGTTTCAGCAAATGAAGTGAAAGGAGAGGCAGAGATAGTAAAAAATAGGGCGGAAAATCTCGTAGCTTTGATTACTGTAGACAAGGCAGAAGCTGAAAGCAAACTTATGGCTGCAAAGCCAGCATTGGATGCTGCAGAGCAAGCTTTATTGGTATGTAGCCAAGAGCAAAGTAAATCGATCGCCGCGCACGCAGTGAACATAAAGGGCAACATCGTCGGCCTGATAGTGAGATACAGGCGTTGCACAGTGGGACCAGAATGCCTAGCCAAAATCGAAAAAAGCCAAAAAAGTATTAGCGGATAATTGATTCATACCCATTCTTAGGGATATTATGCAGTATCAGAATCCGCATTCAGTTTTTGTTTATTAGGCTAATTATTTTAGATGAAAATACCCCTGGTTTGTGATATAATTGTAAAGCCTGGTTTTATTGATGCAAGTTGTTCAAGGGGTTATTTAAATCATGGACGCATAAAATGGGAACACCAATAATTGTTGAAGGAGAACTCTTTATTCGACTACAAAGATTTTTTGGGATTCAATCGAAAGCGTTGACAGGAACGAAAAAACTCTTTAAATAAGGTTTTTAGGTATTTATGAGAACCACAGAATGGGATCATGTAAAAAGATCCGAGTAGTAGTAAAAAAGTTATGGCCGAAAACCGAGGCAAGATGCAGGTTTTAGCACTTAGTAATGCGACGATAGTTTCACACAGAAACTTGAAATTCTTCATATTCGTAGGCTTCATACTTCTAAAAAACGACAACAAATTTGAGTCGATTCGTCAAGTAACCCAATAATTTCGTGCGGTTGTTGTATATCGCACATCGTCATTGATGTTGTTGATCGATAGCGATTGTTTGTTACCTGTTGTCACTTTAGTATGAATCCTTCTTTTCTCACACACATAAAAAGTTGCTGAAAATTGTTACATACCTAGTTTTAATAATTGAAAATGGCGACGAATAAAACAGTAATTCGAAGTTGTTTACTGTATGAGTACAAACTTGGTACAAAAGCTGCAGCGGCGGCGCGTAAAATATGTTCCGCATTCGGAGATGATGCCATTAGTGATCGAACAGCACAGAAGTGTTTAAAAAATTTTCTTCGGGAGATCTCAGTTTGGGCGATGAACCGCGCTCAGGGAGACCAAAAATCATGAACAACGAGGATCTTTGACAGGTTGTGGATGCAAATTCCAGGACAACGTGCCAAGAACTTGCAGAAATGTTCAGAGTGAGACCTGAAACTATTCGTTTGTATCTTCATCGGCTAGGAAAGACTTGGAAGTTGAGCAAATGGGTTCTACATGACAAATGATAAATTAAGTCGTCTTACCATTTGTTCAGCATATGAACCATTTATTAATCGGTTATTAAGCTGCGACGAAAAATGGATCTTGTATTTGAATTCTAAGCGTTCGTATCATTGGTTGTCGCCTACTGATTCGGTACCACACACGCCCAATGCTTCCTTGCACCCAAGCAAGGTTTTGTTGTGTGTGTGGTGGACAGCAACTGGAATTGTCCATTATGAGTTTTTGAAAAGGGGTCACTGCTAACTTGTATTGTAAGCAGCTTCAACGAGTACAAGCACCACTCATCCAGAAACAACCTTCTTTGATCAATCGGAAGAAAGTGATATTCTTGCAGGATAACGACAAGCTTCATACCGCAAAAATGACCAGAGAAAAAAATTCTGAACTCATCTGGGAAACGTTACCGCACCCGCCATATTCTCCCCAACATTTCGCCCAGTCATTATCACATTTTTTTGTCTCTTGACAACTGTATGAGGCAACAACAGTTCCCAACTCGAGATGGTGTAATAAATGCAGTCCGCCTTTTTTTTTACTCCAAATCCAGAGAGTTCTACAATATCGACATACAAAAAATTGGTTCCACGTTGGCAAAAGGTCATTGAATGTGATGGTAATTACTTCGACGAATAAATAGTGTCTTATTGTTTCTCAATAAAAATTTATATTTTTCTACTAAAAACCGCACGAACTTAGTTGGTTACATGATGAGTTTCTTGGGAATTTCTAGTTGTTTACCCCCTTCGTTTTTTCGCATAAAAATAACAATTATCTTTCTGAATGGCTTGTGATTCATGTCGGTAATGTAAACTCGTATATTTCGCTATAATACCCTTTGAACGGACCCTGAATATTGCTCAGTAAACTAGTAGTGATGGACGGAAACCGGGTGCTTTTGGATAAACAATCAGAAATTCTCAAAAACTATTTGACCGGTCGACTCCAATTTTGTTATGGTTATTTAGAAGTATGAAGCCTACGGATATGAATAATTTCAATACGTAAAAATCTTATTCGTAAAGTTTTTTTGGTTTTTGACAACACTTTCCATTGAATCCCAAAAAGCACGTTTTCTCATTCTTTGTTGTCGAATAAAAAGTTTTCCCACAAAAATTGGTGTACCCATTTTATGCGTCCATGTTTTAAATACCCCCTCGAACAACTTGCATCAATAAAACCAGACTTTACAATTATTTCGGGGAAATTTTCTAATATGATTAGACTATTATATCCTTTGCCTTCAGTTGAACAACCTCTATAAGGCAGAAAGAAAATTCCTATTATGTGTGTGTATGTCTAATGTGAGCAGTCTTGATCTCCGTGAAGTAAAAGTGAAATATTCCGAAAAATTTAAAAAATCTCGACACAGCTACAACTTCTCGTCACCCAAATCATGTTGTCAGACCATTCCTGTAGCAGATAGAATAAGAATGCGATTTTTAGCTTCTTCTGAGAGAATTAAATATTTGTTCGAGCATTCCCACGATCAGGTCCGCGCCTCACAGAGGGGCCATGCACCGAAAAACCTGGGCAAAGCCTCAGAAACTAAAGTGTTGATGTATCGTCATGTACGGCCTCTAGAACACAGTGGTTCCAAAGTGCGTAACGTTATTACAGGTTGTATCATTATGTTTGGCTCTATGTATATAGACCCCTAACGGTGCCAATCAGGTACTTCATGTTTGTTTTAAAATTGTGATCCCTAATAATTGAAAAGGAGATGGCAGGTATAAATTCCTGTATAGTTGTGGCATACAGTATATTTCTCTTAATCAATTGAAAATTCAACATGATAAGGACTATTAGGTGAACTTGGAAAAAAACCGAACATGCCCGTCTTCTCAACAACAAAGCATTGTTGACAGAATCCCCTAATATGTTATGTAGTGATCGAAATTTCCAGCAAAACTTAGTGAGCAGCTGTCAAATCTGGTGAGTGAGCATGTTAGGTACAGCCATTGACACATCCTCAGAAGATCCTCAAGTGATAGCGCGGGATGACAGACCACGTACAGCAACGATTGCAATCGGGATTATTTATAACATTTGCAAAAAGCCACCTTACAAAATTGGAAATGACTAGGGTGCCGTATCATTAATACAAATAATAAATAATTAGATGGTAAGAACCAAATTGGTACAGTTTTCTCTACTACCTGGCACTTTAGCGGTTTTGGTCAAGTTTTTTTTGGTATTTGGTCTCACTGTGCGACATTTCTATGGTGAAATCTGTCATATGACGTTAAGTGGCAATTATGCAAGTATTTCATATATCAGATCAAAAGAGAACTGACGGTTTAAAATTCAAAATGTTCCTAAACTGAAATCGACGAAACTACTCTTTTTTATATTGATAGCGGCCAGGAAATTAGAGTAGGTAGGTTTTTAATGACATCATGTAGGTTTGCCTAGAGATGTCAACTGCGAAATAGCGGTCGTTCACTCTATGCTCACTTGTAGCATGCACACTGCATACTACAAGATGATATTTTACCGTTTTTTGGCATTATACAGGGTGTGCCTTAATGATATACGACTATCTTAGGGTCTGAATCTAAATGAAAAATTAATGTTAGTTTGCTTTATAAACTATGGTCCAAAAATGTTTCCTTACAAAAACTTGGGGTGTTGAAGTTTTAGGAAAAAAATGGAAATTAATTAATATTATCAGAACCGATTCAGATATTTCACTGATATTTAGTACGTAGCGAAAGTTAATAAAGTTACATATTTATCAATGCATAAATAATTTTTAGCTTCCAACAGTGGCGTGCGTACGGGTATTGACTTCGATATTTTTTAAGAAAAAAATGGTACGCCAATGGTTCTTGTCAAGTGAAAATTATTTTTGAATTCCCCGTTCAATTTAAAACAAATGATCTCACATGAATTGTTTTCCTTCGATGTGTCATTTTTGAGTAAATAAATAAAAACCGTCTAACTTGCAAAATTATTAGTAATTTAATAGGAAAAATGAAACAAATTAGGGGTAATGAACAACAACAACTGACAACATAAACATAACATTAAAGCCAACGAAATGATTACAAAAATTGTTGAAAATGGCCCCCTTCACTTAGTATGCATGCTTCCGCCCTCCTCATGGAATTGGGCACTCGTTTAAATATCCCTGGAGTGTTTTTTATTCTATCACAAGCTGCAACTATTCTCCCTCTTAATTCCTCTACAGTGTTAATGAGACTTGTGTACAGTAGTATCTTAAGATAGCCCTACAAAAATAAATCTAAGCTGATGAGGTCTGGGGACCTTGGTGGCCATTCTAGGGGCCCACCGCGGCCAATCCAACGATTTGGATAAACAGTTTGTAATAATTACGAACCGCTACACTGGCATGCGCTGGTGCACCATCATGCATATTGTCTCTTACTACTAACGGAACATCATCAAGCAGCAAAGGCAACTGTTGTTGAAGAAAATTGAGGTAAGAATGGGCCAATAAAGTGGTTGCCAATAATTCCTGCCCATACGTTAACCGAAAATTGGTGCTGGAAATAGGTTTCGGTTACGGCATAGCGATTTTCTTCTGCCCACAAATGATTATTGTGGAAATTCTGAATGGCATTTCGAGAAAAATTAGCTTCGTCCGTGAACAGAATCATTGATTCAAATTGCGGATTTCGTACAATTTTTTGAAGATACTACTGACAAAAGATCACATGCCTTGGGAAATCAATGGGAAGTAATGCCTGTACTCTTAAAATATTGTAAGGATATAACAAAAATTCCACTAAAATTCTCCAAACAGTAAGATGGCAAATACTTAAGTGTCTAGCGATCTTCCTCGTACTCGTTTCAGGATATTCTTCGACTTCGTGCAGCACTGCTTCCTCAATTTCAGGTATTCTCACACTTACAGGTCTACCTTCAGATGTTCCTTTTCGGACAGAACCAGTTTCAACAAGACGACGATGAATATTAGAAAAGGTTCGACTATCTGGCAAAGCACGATCGGGATATCTCTGGTGATAAATCCGCCTGGCTTGCTCACCATTACCGTCGACAAGGCCATATACGTAATGCATTTCCGCCAGTTCTGCATTTGAATAATTCACCATTATTAACAAGATTCTGAAAACTAAATAATGAAAAAGATGTCACAGCGAAGAGATTTGGATAACAGAGACTTGTCAGATGTGACATATTCCAGAGCAACTAGATATTTATTGCTAAATTGCATTCTTCAATTATTATATTAATTTTCTCGGACAATAGAACGGGTTTTATTTTTTTACTCAAAAATGGCGCATCGAAGTAAAACAATTCAAGTGAGATCATTTGTTTTAAATTGAACGCCAAATTCAAAAATAATTTTTATTTGGCAAGAAACCATTGGCGTACCATTTTTTTTCTTAAAAATATCGAAGTCAATACCTGTACGCACGCCACTGTTAAAGATAAAAATTATTTTTGCATTGAAAAATCTGCAACTTTATTAACTTCCACTACGTACTAAATATCAGTGAAACATTTTTTTGGACCATAGTTTATAAAGCAAACTAAAATTAATTTTTTATGTAGATTCACACCCTTAAATATTCGCATATCATTAAGGAACACCATGTATAGATTTTTTACTAATTACCCTGGGATTTATTTTTATCTTTTACGTGTCCGGTACAAATACTTACGTCCGACATCCGATAGGTGGTGCTGTCATCACACATAAATCTAATAGCTTTAGATCATTACCCTTTTCAGATTGTCAAGTTAACCAAATAGTTGTATTTCCAGACAATCAAATCAGCTGATATCGCCACTGTCAGAAAACTAGGCAAGCCGCCATATCTGATCACACTCATTATGGACGCCGTATGTATATACTTCAGAAGAAAATTGGAGCCTGTCAAACCAGACCCCGAGAAGAACTTTTTATTCCCCTCTTGGACCGAGTCTTTGAAAGTAATGGCAGAAACTGCATTCCTGAAGAAACTTCAAGATTATCCAAAAGACACAATTAGTGCTGAAACTGTAGATCTACTAGTTCCGTATTTCAACTACCCGATTTATACGTATGAAGCGGCTAAAACTGCTTGCGGTAACGTTGCTGGTCTGATTTCTTGGACCATAGCCATGGCATCTTTCTATGAAGTTAATAAGGAAGTACTGCCATTGAAGGTAAGAACAAGACTTTAATCAGTTTCAATTATTATTAAAAACTCGTACTGAATACTAGACGTGACTATGTATCTACTTGCATTAGCTGTATGCTTTAAGTTCGCATCACTGCTCCATTATATAGGTTTTTCCGAACAATATGTCACCTTGGAACTGCATGTTCACTTGTAGGAGTTGTGCGTGTTGCCTAAGCGTCTTGACACTTGGGCTATGTGGTTTGACTCTGACTTGATATAACATCTGCTTGTCTGGCTAATGAAAACGCATGTATTTGAAATTCCTCTTTAGTGTACATATACGATGGAGAAATGTAACGTATTTGACACATCAGAGCCCAAAAAAGCTAGTGGATCACAAATTCAACGAATGAGAAGACGTCTTTGAAGTAATGGATTTAATGAATATGATCGAGTTCTTGTAATATGTCTCTCAAACTAGAGAACAATTATACGAATTTGTAAGATGAACCCCTAATTTCTATATTTAATTAAGATATACGTGATAAATCACTTGGATTAGCTTCAAAAACTTATTTTCTTATTTGCAACCGGACATTGAATAAACGGCCATGATCATATAATGCACCAATGAAAATTAAGCATTTGCGACGTACTCGAAGCATTGACACAAATCTGACACAAATCTGACACAATATCTAGATTGACGTCAGTAATTAAATTGCATTTTATTGAGAATAACAGTGTCTTACTGTTGCTGTAGAAAATAATTCTTAATAAATTCTTTGAACACATAAATTACATTACAGATTATCATCCTAATGTAAAAAAGCATTTATTATACTGAATTTATAAAAAATTGAAAAAAGGAACCTTTGTGGATTCGAACCTGCGTGATGCGGTTCGGCAACCTTTTCTCCTTTCCACTACATCACTAAATCTCTTGGTCTACTGGATCTTTATACCACGATTCCGTCATCCAACTGTGCGCGTGGCGCTCAGTGTGATCCAATGATTTCGATCAACGGATATTTTTATTCGAATTCTTAAATCACTAGGATAGATCTAATGCACTGAATCTGTACACGTGCCTGCTGTGGTACAGACAAGCAGTCAACCGCGACTTTTTTACTCTTTCATATCTACCCCATCACAACTTGTTACAAATCGATATAGGATCCTGCGATCCACGAAACATCCTAACGGAAGATTGGTTGCGGTAATTTAGGTAAATATTAGTAAAACAATCATAGCTCTCGTCCATGGGCCATTTTTTACGTAGCAAATATATAGATTTGAGACTCATTTATCCATACAAAATATATAATTGTAGGCCAATTTGGCCATTCAAGAGGCAAAAGCAGCCAGGGCCGAGGAAGATCTAGCAACAGCTATGGAGCTGCTCCGAACAAAAGAGGAGGAGGTCAGGTTCTACGAGAGGAAATTCGAAGAAGCTGCAGCTACCAAACAGGTTACTAAATTATTTTGTCATGCTTTTTCCGGTTCAACCATACCCAACGAATCCGAATAGACTAGAAGGAGTCAAGCTTGTTTCAACATAATAACAATAATAATTACAGGTGAAAACATTTACCTTTATTAGGCTTGTATCACTCTTTTTGCATACCATAGGCATCCCATTATTTAATTCACCTGGCTTAGTACGGTTGACGCTGCGCAAAGCTGTGACGTCATAACCAATAACTAGATAATGAAAGTGGGAAATGCGGTGTCAAATCACAACTTAAGGTGATAATGACTTTTTGACTGTGGAGAGACGTGAAAAGCGAACATATGGCTTTGAATTGTGGAAAAAGGTACTCACTGGTAACTACCAATGCTGACCTCAAAGTTTGATAATACTGAATCGAGGGGTGCTTCCGTTCAATGTAAAGTGCGAGGTCTGTGCCAATATCAGCAGTGGATTTGGAAGAATAGCTAGGTCCCAGGTATCATACGGGGCTGCCTACCTCTTCTCCGTCCACTTTTTTGAAGCCACATGTTTGGTTGGATATACAGGTATAATAAGCAAAAATAAATAGGAATAAATGAAATGATTGTATTTTATAATGTCACAACTGACACACTTTCTGAATGCCACGTCTTTGCTGAAGTACCGCCAAGTGATGAACTGAAGACACAAGTGGATAAAGATGTCATGTGACAAAATCATTGTATGGAGAAAATTGACTTTCAACATTTTTAATTAGAACTTAGTTTAGAACTTTATTTAGTTTAATTATTTTGCTACTATCTTGTTTTTGCAACAAAGTAACACTGCAATTATCTACAAACAGTCGCACTTTTATAAAATATACGAATTAAATGGCAGACCTGTCAAAAAATTGACTGATGTCAAGTACACTTTGATCCTCACTACAGACTACGAGAATGAGAAGACAAACAAATCCATGACTGGCTGCTTCTACCTAGTCTGACCTCGTTGGTCATACCCAACGAATTAGATCAGATTAGAAGGAGCAAGCATGTATGCTTATATTGCATTGCTTGCCGCCAAAGTTGTGTAGGTTAATGCCTGTTTTTGGCTAATTTGGCTACCATTGCCTACCAAAGTACTGGGTGTATAGATTGGATAAGACATAGAAAAAATGTAAATATTTATTAACTGTACAGCACTTGTACAATTATGCTTAATTCGTGATTTTCGAAGGTGAATAATACGAAACATTCTCTCTATCAAATTGAAATTATCCAGAAATGGCAAACTCACTAAAACCCCTTAGTCGAACGCCACACATCCCACTACGGTAATGTTTGCAGCATTTATTCATAGAGGCTAGCGTTGCGCTAGGTTTTCACACCGAAGGTATCAGTCATATGTTCTCTATCGTAGACATATATACTTTTATACCTACATATGTCCAACTGAGCAAAATAGGAATCTACTATTGGTTCCTTGTTCTAATTTTGTTCTCCCGTACCTTACTCAGCGTTATTCGGTTCAGTATTGGTTGGATATTAACCCATTTTCCCTTGCGTATATGCGTGACAAAATTATCATCAGTGAGCCTCTCAGTTCCAGCTAGTCCGGTAATCAACTCACCTACCACATTGGAGTAGATTATTAGGAGTATCCTCATCTTCATTGCAATATATGCAATTCGCGTACTCTCTCTTTCCTACTCTCTGAGGTAGCTGTCAAAACAACCATACCCTGTGAACTGTGCAGTATAGTAATATATCCGCGCCCCTCCCTTGTGAATCCAAGTTCTGGTATCAGGATTCAGACTTCTGCAGCTTAGCAAGTTGCATCCCATCTCTCCTACTATCTGGCAGAAAGCCCTTCTCTTTCGTCGCTTGTAACTTCGACGCCAGCAAATCAATTGGTTTGAATACCAGCTACCACCAGCAGTGCATCTGTAGACACCATTCGGTAAACTCTTTCCTCGCGCAGCACCATTTTTCGCTGGGTTCTCAGTGTTAGCTGTCTGTGTTTATTTTCCCTCAAGACCTTGCTAAATATAGGAGCTCCGTACTGCATAATCGAGTTTGCCACTCCTGGAAAAATCCTGCGCGTCTTGCTACTGGGGCCTTCGTCAGATGGCATTAGCCGTATCAGAGATGCAACTTCCTTCTTTACCTTATCAGTGATGCGTCTTTTATGTTCAATCATTTTCAGATCTTTGTCAAGCCTCGCACCCAGCTACTCGTACTTAATGGAATTTTGGCTTCAAATCTCGGAATTATCAACCTTAACAACTAATAAAGTTCTGTTAGCCAGATAGTATAACAACTTCCTTCTTCTCAGGAGCTAATTTCATGCCGTTTTCTTCCACTCATATGGTAATTCTCATGATTCTGTATGCCAATAGTCAAGTGTATCTCTCCCCTTGCTAGTCACTATCAGCACCCTACAAAGCGAATTCCTGATATCATCTGTAACTGAAGAACCCCATCGTAGATAATGCTCCAAAGCAACGGGCCTAGGATCGAGCTCTGCAGCACTCCCATGGTTACCTTCATCGTCTTTTGCCCTACCATAAGTGCCCTCTCGTCAAAGCAGCTCTTTATTATGTTCAATAGATAGCAAGGGGTATCTAGCTTCTCGAGAGGTTCTACGATTTTCTGCTTTCGTGCCGTGTTAATAACACAGCACAATAAATACCTCGCAGTGGGACACCTAACATGAGTTCTACTAGATTTTTCTGAATAGTTTTCGTGATCCAAGTAAATTCTTGACTAAAGGCAAATATCTAGTTAAACATAATATGGAAATTCCTATTATATCATTATTACTATATCTACTCGTATTCAATTAAAAGATTTCGAAGAATTTTAATTAATTTGATATTCATAGTCTTTTTTGGACATAATATTGAGCTTCCTTCATAGAATCTCGTGGCACTAAAATGAGATCGTAATATTAGTACTTATAACTTTAGATTCAAAATTAAAGTAGATCAAATTTTTTTAGATTAGTTTAGCTAAAGTTTCGGTTGGTCCTTTGCAGTATCAACAAATTTGGTTCATCTCAAATACTTTGCATCTTTCAATGTTGTAGTTGCATATGCAATTCTGTTAACAAACCTCAGACTGCGCATGTTTGCTTAATAAACAAGAGCTGAAATGAAATAAATCAAGATTACCTCACAACTGTCCAGGTAAATGCCCCATGTTGCGGTATATGCCTCATCGCAACACTGATAACTATAATGTATAGTCAACGCCAAACAAAGTGGCGTGCACGTCATCACGATAAAAATTCCTAATGCCTAGGATTCTATCGGATTCTATCACAAACAATTGCTCTATTGCAGTTTCATATTAATGTGATATATAAATTGTAAAATGGTCATTACTCTCTTATTATGGTTAATAGTCATATAAACATTGTTATTAAAATATCACATAAGTTGCTTTCTGATAAATTTAGACGCATTATGCGAAATAAAATGTTTTGCAAACGCTCCAATCACTTATCGACATGTAAACGCACTAAACCGATTTCGCAGCGTTGACACATTGTCACCTTGAAACTTATTTAAACTGGGAACTGACATTTGTATTAATTTTGACACTGAATCAATTTGTGGCATTTCAAATCTTTATAAATCCTTTGGCCCCACATACTGTAAATCAACAACTGTTTGTTTCAAAACAAAATTATTCATTTTACGAGTAGATAAAGGCAATTTTGGTATATAAAGATGCCCAAACAGTTAAATAGTCGGTGTAAGGAACTCGTGGCCTCGTTAATGCACTACTTTGAGCAAGAAAGGGACAACAACGGGCCTTTGTTGCCTTTAAATGCTGTTCAAGAGGTAGGTTACTAATAATTATATGTAATGTATATTAATAATAGTGAAATTTTATTTCATTTTTTGTAGCGTGTTGCTCCTGCTTTAAAAATTAGTTTAAGGACAGTTAGTCGTATTTCCGAGGGTGTGAAAAGTGATGCAAATTTAGAATCGCCCAAGAAAAAGCGGAGTTATATTAAACGTGTAACCAACACAGCGACATTGGATACAAGTGCCATTCGAGAAGTGATCTATAATATGTATCACAAAAGTAAGATCTTATTATAATAACTTATCAGAAATTTGCATTAATTTGTTAACTAAATTATAATGTCATATTACACATGGTTTCAGAAGAACAAGTTACGATACAAACTTTATGGTCTCGATTAAGAGATAGGGCATTATTTGATGGTAGTGCCACGTCTTTAAGGCGGTTGCTTAGAGATCTTGGATTTAAGTGGCTTAAGGACAATCCGCGACGAGGGCTCATGGAACTACCAAGTATAGCTTTGAAAAGGGTGGAATTTCTAAGGCAATACAATCAAGCCAAGGTTGAGGCCTTATACCAGTATGTCTTCCTCGATGAAACTTGGATATTTCAAAATGGGACCATAGGTCGCTCTTGGCAAAATGGAAACCAAAAAAAGCGTGAAAGCTATTAAAACAGATGGTAAAAGGTATGTACTTTTACACAATTTGCACTATAAAATTTAAAACTAATATATTTTAGATACATTATATTACATGCTGGAAATGAAAATGGGTTTATTGAGGGTAGTGAAGCGATATTTTCTTCGAAAACAAAATTGAGCGATTACCATGGAGAGATGAACCAGGACAATTTTTTGAAATGGTTTCAACATCAGTTATTAGAAAAATTGGAGAGTCCATCTATGATTATACTGGATAACGCCCCTTATCACAGCATGATATTGAACAAAGTGCCCAACAATGCATGGACAAAAAAAAATATCCAAGACAAATCAAAACATACCATTTTTAAACACAATGTTTAAAACAGAACTATTGCGTATTGTTGCTCGGTACATAATGCTTCTTAATTATATATATTTTGGTCGACAGTTTATATTTCTTTTGTTTATTCCTATTCTTAAAATAACTGCTTTTTTAGAAACAAACCACCTAAAATATACGTGATTGATGAATTGGCGGAACAACATGGGCACAAAGTTCTTCGTCTGCCTCCTTACCATTGTATATTTAACCCTATTGAGTTAATTTGGGACATAGCAAAAGGTTACTATAACAGACATATTGGTAGAGATGGTAACAGTGAAAAAGACTGTTTGGATATGTGGAACGAGGCTCTACAAACGGTTACCCCAGACATGTGGAAAAATAGTGTTCGACATACTGAGCAAGAAATTTTTAAATGGTATGAAAGAGAACGAATTTTTGATCGACCAGACATCGAACCTTTAATAATCAACTTTGAGAGTGATGAAGATTCAGATTCAGACAGCGCTGAAGAAAGAAACTCCGACTAACTTTATTGTACAGAAAAAGCTTACACCAGTGGCTTACCTAATTTTAGAATGCATTTTTCTGTATGAATTCTGTAAAATAAATACCATGCATAAAATTTGGAGGACCCCATTTGGATTTTTATTCAGTACCTTTAAGCTATCAATTAAATATGGTAGTTTCATAGTGTCATCTGATCAATAATTGTCATACTTAATGATTATGCAAGTACAGATCTATAATTTTATTATACTATTATTTTTGTTCTCATTTGAGGTTAATATTAAAACCTAGATATGTAAATAATAAATTTTATTATTTTACAAAAAGTTTGGCAACAATGTAAATTTTTCAACACACCCACCTTGATGACGTGCACGCCACTTTGTTTGGCGTTGACTATACCAGCCTATAACACTTATCGATTAGAAGGATTTCCTCTCATTCAGTTTAAACTGCTTTTTGCCATCCACAGGAACCTTCATCATTTTTGGCAACGTTCTGGGACTGTAGGATTGTATGGAACCCACGCACTTTTGTTTTCGCTGAAAAGCACGACTTTAGTGTGAAATGTCAACAACTGTCAAACTGGCGGCCTAAGCCTGATCTACTTGTATTACGAACTTGCAACCAGACTACTGATTACGTAAATTCTGTTACAAGCGAATCGATTACTTGCTCCTTCTACCTACTTCGAATTACTTGCTCTTATCTGTATCAGTAGCTATTGATTCAGGGACACCTGACGCGTCCCTTGTCAGGAACATGTGACGGGTAGGTTCATGTAGATTCGAGTATAAAATTATAGTTACTGATATCACGTCACTTCTGGAATGAACCTTATAATACTCATGCGTTTTATACTCGATCTTTTATATCTATCAACAGGCTGTGGATGAAGATGCAGCAAAGGTCAAAGCCAAAATGAACGCAGCGACAGCTTTAATAGAAGGTCTTTCAGGTGAAAGAGTGAGATGGACAGACCAGTTGGCGCAGTTCAAAGCAGAAACTGAACGACTTATTGGAGATGTGGTGCTGTTGACTGGGTTCCTGGGATATACTGGGCCATTCAACCAGGAATTCAGACAGATCATCCAACAAGATTGGCTTGATAGTTTGATTGACAGGAAAATACCAGTTACGACTAGCTTGAGTGTCATTGACAGCTTGGCAGATCAGCCAACAGTACGTACATAATTATAAAAAACAATTTTTCTTATTCCAAACTCTAGCCAAAATTGCAATCTACTCTTATTGTTTTATTAGATTGGTGAATGGAATCTGCAAGGATTACCAAGCGACGAGCTGTCAGTTCAGAATGGTATCATTGTAACTACAGCGTCAAGATATCCTCTGCTTATCGACCCTCAAAGTCAGGGTAAAGCGTGGATAAAAGAAAAAGAAAAGGAAAATCAGTTGATCGTTACGACCTTGAATCACAAATACTTTAGGTAAATACACGATGTTTAGAAAGTTTGAACTTTCCTTTTCCTTCATCGGTGTTTATTGCAAACGGCCTTTGTACGAAATAAACAAACATGTGCGGTGTGAGATGCAATCGTCCCGGAAAACGATTTGTAACACCAAATCAGCAAGCTCATTATTGCTGTGCGAATGTAAGATGTGCTTTCAAATTCAATTCGCAGATACAAGGCTTAATATACTTAAAATACGGCGCTCAGCACCTAGGTTTGCTATTGACGCACACATTTCTTCTTTGATGAAAACAGGGTTATTTCAGTTTGGTTACAGTGTTTTTTGTAGTTATTATAACGAGTATGCCATATAATCGCTTATATCTACTATTTTCAGGAACCATATTGAAGACGCAGTGTCACTAGGTTACCCTGTGATCATCGAAGATATCGGCGAAGAACTGGACCCCGCTCTGGACAGTGTCTTAGAAAAGAACCACATCAGAATTGGTACGACATTAAAAGTGAAACTGGGTGACAAAGAAATCGACTACAACAAAAACTTCATGGTATACATGACAACTAAGTTAGCCAATCCAATGTACACTCCCGAAATATTCGCTAGAACGTCAGTGATCGACTTCACGGTCACCATGAAAGGTCTTGAAGACCAACTTCTCGGCAGAGTGATTCTGACGGAAAAAAAGGAGCTGGAAACTGAACGAACTAATTTGATCAAAGATGTGACAGCGAATAAGAGGAAGATGTTGGAGCTAGAACAGAATCTTCTACATAAATTAACTACGACTCAAGGATCGCTGTTGGAAGATGTAACTGTCATGCAAGTTCTGAACGTTACCAAGTCAACGGCAAATGAAGTTAAAGAGAAGTTACAGGTACAGTTTCTTATCGAGAAAATTCGCTTTCATGTGTAGATCCACCTTTTAAGATATACATCATGAGTACGCCAAACAGGTTCGCTATTTCTTAATTTTGTAGCAACGCATACTATCAACTAAAGTCGCAAGAATGGCTCCGATGGAAGCGCTATCAGGAGACAGGATTCGGTAACTGTCTTTGTCAGTAAAAGTAAAACTCAGTACTTCTTTTACAACTATTTTTTTCATCTAACTGCTTTAAATAACCGGGTCAGCTTTTGTCAAGTGCATCTTGGTCATATGAAATATTTGGGACCTTCAAAACTTTGTGTGAATATATACAATTACTGCTCATGTACTTTTCAGCCTTAAATGCTCCCTCCATGTGATTTTCACTTCAGTATGAACATACAATAACAGAATTGCACTGGTCAACCTACAGGGGTATTACGTAACTTGAAAACTGACATTGTACCGTTTCCTTTGACATTATGAGGGTTTTTTATGACATAATGTACTTAGATTTTTTTAAGTTGTCGACTTGGAACCAGTTTTAATCTATTTCATGATCATTTGTAGCAAGCGCGGAATGAACTATTTGCGTACCAGCCTAGCTAGTTAACAAGTTGACATTTTATAGATGTAGATATCCAAACATTCGTAACATCCAAAATCACTGAACAATATTTTTTTCATCCAGCAAGCATTCATTTTCTTTATTAGACAGTTCTCTTATCGCAGGAAATGCTAGTATTCTACTTTTACTACCTTTGTATTTTTGAATTACTTTCACTACACTACTTCTTGGTCCATCAGAAACATTTTGCTTTCGGAATTCAAACACAAATTCTTCATCATTCAACGTTAATTATTTTTCTTTTCGATTAAGCTGTACTGTCAATGTTACTAATCTTCTATAGTAATCTCCGCTTCAACTTTGCAATTGACCTTTCTTTTTCTGTGAATGACTAAACAACTTTGTTTTGCTTGTGCTACTCAATTAACAGATATTTCTATGCCTACAAGATTTAATTTGGGTGCATTAGAACATTTTTTGTTTCAGTGCTACTTGAATTAACCACCAATGTCTCAACCTTACTTTTCCTTATATTTGACCACAGCATATTATCTCGCACATATTTTTTACTTTCCATCAAATATGGTTCACAATAGGCTGTGATATTTACCTATGAGGGATACCTAACGACTTTTTTGTATTTATAGATTGCCAAAGACACTGAAATTAAAATTAACTTAGCGAGAGAAGAATTTAGACCCGTTGCAACAAGGGGCAGTGTGTTATATTTCCTAGTTGTCAGCATGGCAATGGTCAACGTTATGTATCAAACATCGTTAGTGCAGTTTTTGGAAAGATTTGATATTTCTATGGAGAGATCTGAGAAAACTCCAATTTTAGCAAGGTAGGCAGAGTAGAACGGACGCATGAACATATTCATGAGTTGGTGTCAAAAACGTATAGTCAAAAGAATATTCAAACATGAAACTTTCACCACAATGCCTACCAACAGCAGAAACAGGTTCTCTTAATTGGATGCGTTTTCAGTTATCTTAAGGTGGTTTTATAGCCCTCATACCCCCCTTTTTGATTTTTTGATAAGTCACTGACATATTTCATGTCACCTGAAAACGATGACTCTCCATTCTTAATAACCTTTTTAGACGTATCCAGAATATTATCGACTACCTCACATACGAAATCTTCAAATACAAATCTAGAGGTCTATACGAGGAGCACAAATACATGTTCGTCCTACTGATGTGCTTAAAAATCGATCTGGAGAGAGAAACGATAACGCACGAGGAGTTCCAGAACTTCATCAAAGGTGGAGCTGCTTTAGATCTGAACGATTGTCCACCCAAACCTGCAAAGTGGATAACTGATATGACTTGGCTCAACTTGGTTGAGTTGACAAAGCTAAGACACTTTCAATATATTGTACAACAGGTATATGTTTTTTACTTGACACTAATTTTGTGTGTTATGGTTTAAAACATATGCCTTCTTCATTGTTGATTTTGTCCTATCAGGTAACTGCAAATGACAGACAGTGGAAATCATGGTTTGATAAGGATGCCCCTGAGGAAGCAGGTATTCCAGATGGATATAATTCGTTAGATACATTTAGAAGATTGCTTATGATCAGGTAGAAAACCATTCGGTTATTTTCAATAAGCAAACAGCGTGCATAACAAAGAAATTAAACAGATCAAGTTAGCCAAACAAGGCCATACACTTAATCCATCGACATCCTTTCCTACCGGTAGTACCCTTATGAGGACCGGTACGCCCGTCAGTGAAATTATCTTCGTTATTGTGTTTCTCCCCCGCCACTGGACCGATTTTCAAAAGCTGCAAATGTCGTCCTTGGCGTAGTAGTAACCTTGTGTAAAAATTCCATCCAACTCTGAGCGGTACTTTCCATGTTATAGATGGGCCAAGGATTGGCGGAAAGACCGCCAGACGGAAATGAGTGACATGGTTTTTCGTGATGTACATGTCATATAACATCCAAAAGACATATTTCATTTTCGAAATCTACAATACTTCCTCTCCAGTAGGCGTGGGAAGTAAAAGTTCGTTAAAGTTCCAGATATTTTTGTTGGATTAATCTAGTGACAATGGTAGCAGAAATTTCGATATTATGCTCAACTAGGTAAATATTTGCTCTAGCCAAAAATTGTATAGTATTTATATTACTTGAATATCTTTTCCAGAGAAGAAAATGTACATCGATGTATTTCTATGTCACTTGCCAATGATAGGCAGATTCTTCAAAAGTATTCACGAAAATTACACAATTTTCGCGACAAACAATGCAATGTAAACAGTTACTTGATTGTTTGATAGATCTAATCCACAACTTGGCTAATGACAACAGGAATTCGGAGCGACAAGCCGAGCTTTGCCGATGAGCTGGAAAAAATGAGACTACCAGCGACTCCTCTCTGATGAAAGATCTGGAGTTTATCACTGCTTGGGGACGCAACAATCTTGTACAGCTTATTGCTTCTAAATCCCAGTACTGTACTTTGACGAAGAAAAAGTGTTCTACCGCTCGGTTTCGATGGATGGCCGAGTTCTGCCAAAGAGCCGTCCATTTCGGGTGATCGGTATCCAGAAGACCTCCTCACGCTATACAAGGCCCAGATAAGACCTGGCCTAGAATATTGCTCACACATTTTGGGTGCTGCCTTCCAGACTACATTATTCATGCTCGATGCTGTCCAGAGGAGGGCTGTCTGACTGATCGATGGTTCTCGGGACCCTTTTACACAGGCGAGCCGTCGGCGATCTAGTCCGCTTCACCAGCGGGCTTTGCTCCTCAGAGCGCTCCTCCATTATGCCGCCACGCGACGTGCCTTCCAGACATACCCGCCTGACTTTAGCCACCCATTCTCACCGTGCCTAACTTCGTACATCCAGAACTGTCCCTTGTCCCTAGGGTGTTGATATTGTGGAACAACATGCCTTAGGAGACTTTTCCCAGTTCTACTAACCTTAGGCAGTTCAAAAATCGGATTAATAAAGCTTCTTTGGGATCCTCATAGCAGCCGCGGTGTCCTGGCATTTAGGCTTTTGCCGACGTGGCTGCTTCGGTGCAAAAAAAATCATTATTTGAATTTATAAAATCGAGGGAGCATTCAAATGTCATTAATTTTATTTCCATTGGAACTTAAGTAATTGTTGTCACACCATTCCTTAGAACCTTAACATACTTTGGGAGCTTTGAATTACATATTTTGAAGTTGAAATTTTTGGAACAGTCCAAAAATTGACAACTATAAAGTCAAAATGGTTTTAGGCTTAGAACATAATCTTAACCTCGGATACGGAAATTATCTAGAAAATTATTATTTTTTTGCTAGAGCTTGGTGTGCAGATAGAACTATCACTCAAAGTCGAAAGTACGTAGCCAGTTCTTTGGGCCAAAAGTTCGCCGAACCAGTGATCCTTAACATGGAAGTGCTTTTCAATGAGTCGAGACCATTGACTCCCATGATTTGCTTCTTGAGTATCGGATCAGATCCAACGCCTTACATTGAAATGTTGGCCAAGAAGCTTGAGTTGAAAAGCAGGTCGATTTCCATGGGTCAAGGACAAGAGGTGCATGCCAGGAAAATGATGGCCGCAGCAATGTCAGAGGTAAGCGAGATAATTTTTCGCTAGTTTGACGGAAATTTTGGGAAGAAATGGGTCTGATAAGTCGAATTTGACACCTGGACCAAATTCTAGTCTCCAAAGAGACAACTCTTGAGGATCGAGTGTCATATCAGAAATGATTTCCTCAAATAATAACGCATCTTTGAGAATTTAACATTGTCCATTTCACAGTAGGCTTTAAAAGTTGTCATCATAGGTTTCCATAATTTGAACAATTTTTGTCCTTCAACATTTTTAAACTTTTCGAAATTTACAAAGTTTTCAAAATTTTGAAAATTTTCCAAAATTTCAAAATCCATCCATTCATTGTTTTATCTGAGGTAATGAATGAAGGTTTTGAGACACATTCTTATTTACAGGGATTCTGGGCCTTGCTCCAAAATTGTCATCTATCACTTGAATATATGAATGAAGTATTACTGCAGTTCCTTGATCTAGAAAAAGGAATTGGAACTGTACACCCAGACTTCAGACTATGGATCACCACAGAAGTCAATGATAAATTCCCTATCAGCTTGCTACAAATATGTATTAAATTTACAAATGAAGCACCGTCTGGTAAGTTGTCAATCTACTTCAGAAGTATTTAGGATCAAGCAGCTACAGGTCAGTACGAACCTACTAAGGTTTATATTGTAAATATTTTTAAGGGTTCAAGTAATACCCATTCGACAGGTTTATACAGAGTGCAGCAGAGAGGACGGACGTGTTTGGGATGGGTAGTACTCTCCGCCTTCGTCTACGAGAGAGGTGGGGAGGGTGCCGTTTGACTCGTGAGATCCTAGCATTATTTTACCAGTTGTCGTTATGGAGCCTTGGACGGTGGAGCACCGCGTTTTCGCCTATGATTGTTTCGTCCTAAATAGTGAGTCAGTCATCGTCGTACAGCGTGAGTTTCGTCGCCACTTCAACATTCATCGGAATAGAGCTATTCCCTCTCGAAACACCATCCTTCGTTGGGTTGAGTCACTTCGCAGGCGTGGTGGACTGGTGAACAGAAGACCAAGAGGAGCACCGCGAACAGTTCGAACTCCTCAAAATGTTGAACGCGTTCGACAGTCTTTCTTCGCAGTCCGACTCGGTCTGTCCGGAAACATGCTGCTGCACTTCGCCTCAGTGATCGTTCGGTAAAGCGAATTTTGCATATGAATCTCCGCTTTCACCCCTACAAATTGGCCATTGTGCAACAGTTACAGCCCGGAGATTATGCACAACGAATGAACTTCGCACGTCAGATGGAAGCACTGATCGATCAAAATGAGGACCTCATTTTGTTTATGAGTGACGAAGCCCACTTTCACCTAAACAACATGTTCAACCAGCAGAATTGTCGTTATTGGGCTAATGAAAATCCGCAACAGTTACACGAAAGACCGCTGCACAGCCCAAAAGTAACGGTTTGCTGCGCTGTATCGCAAACTTGTATCATTGGCCCTTACTTCTTCGAAGACGGTAATGGTCGTGATGTTACCGTGAACTCAGAGCGCTACGTCGACATGATCACCAACTTCTTTCTCCCTGAATTACGACGGCGACGTGTTCCAATCCTACGTGTGTGGTTCCAGCAGGATGGGGCGACCGCCCACACAGCCCGAGCATCCATGGATGTTATTCGCCCTCTGTTCCCTGGTCGCCTTATTTCCAGGTTTGGCGATCTTCATTGGCCTCCTCGGTCCCCAGATTTATCCATATGCGATTTTTTGTTATGGCGACACCTCAAGGCGAGAGTATACGCGAACAAGCCCCGAACTCTGGACGAATTGAAGAGCGAAATTCGCGTGGAAGTCGCCCAAGTTGAGAGAGCGATATTGGAGAGAGTCTACGCGAACTTCCAAGCACTGCACCAACGATTTCGGCCACCACATGCCTGATGTGATTTTCCACACTTAACTGTCTCAAATTCTATTTCCTTGTGAACCTGATTCCATCAATAAATTTGTTTTCGGGTAAAAATTAACTATTTTATGATTTTTTTAAAACCGTCCATCCTCTCTGCCGCACCCTGTACTTCGCTATGTAGCAGGAGGCAGCAGATTTGAGTCATTTTGTGGTGGAATTTCTACTTGATTTTGAGTTATTTCCTTTGCGTGTCTCAAAATTATTTTTTATTTCTTAACAGGGATTCGGGCCGGTCTTCTAAGAACCTACACCTCAATGAACCAAGACCTCCTAGATTACTCTGATGCCTGGCAGTACATTCCGCTGGTATATGCTATTTCATTTTTGCATACAACTGTACAAGAACGCCGAAAGTTCGGTCCCCTAGGCTGGAATATTCCATACGAATTCAACTCAGCTGATTGGTTGTCAAGCATATTGTTCTTGCAAAATCATCTGGATGATATCGATCCTAAGAGAGGAATCAGTTGGCAAACACTCAGGTAAACTTCAACTGGATCATATGAATTAAAATCAGAAAGATGTAAGATATGTTTATCTATTGTATTCATTGTTTCTACTTAAGGTACTCGTCATCTTTCTAACGTAACTGCAAAATCACAAAAATAGTCCATTCGATCATCATAATTTCACTTTGGAGCTATATTTTACTTCATACTCACCTGTAGTAGATATGTGTGTTTTCTAAACGTCAAGATGGTTGAGCCACGTCCAGAGGCTGTCGTGTAATGTAACATCTGGTTCAGAGATAGCACTAGCTGAGGCCATTAATAGCCTCTATGGCCTTAGCTGTAAGTTTTACACTATAGCCGGAAAAAACACCGCTGTGCACAGTGTGGGTTAGTGCACTGATAAACTGTGACAAACATGCTTTCATTGGTTCTTGTCTCAAATTCTCTGGCTTGGGACAAGAAGCTATGTGAAGCTAGTAATTAGTTGCGCGTCGACTATTGCCTAACGACTGAGGTATACGAGTACTCTATAAACTATCTCGGCAGCTTGCTACCCATAAACCATGCTAACGAAACGTGTATTGCCGCATTTTAGGCAAAAGATGGTGGTTAAGCCATTCCTCGATAGGTGGCTATCAGATCGCTAACAGCAATTATTTCACATAATACGGATATCGGTTGTCCTTTGAATATATCACTGGGATGGTTCGGATCTCTTTTAGTTAATTGTTTTTATTGTAGATATATGCTTGGTGAAGTACACTACGGAGGCAGGGTAACTGACGACTTCGACAAGAGGTTGCTGAACACCTTCTGTAGAGTCTGGTTCCATGATGGTGTATTTAGTGATGATTTCATTTTCTATAAGGGATATAAAATCATTAAGTACAAACAAGTTGCCGACTACCTTACAACAATTGATACATTTGCTCCAACGGATCCTCCACAAGCTTATGGTTTGCACTCAAATGCTGACATAACGTAAGAAAAAAAGCTCGTTATTGTATTATGGACTTATTACGACTTCTTGGTCCATATTTTGGGTGCATTCCCAAAAGTATATTTCAAGTACAAAAATACTTTTCCAGCTATCAAACTAATACGACAGTGGCAATGTTTGACCAAATGTTGGCGATTCAGCCTAAAGAATCAGGAGGTGGTTCTGGAGAGTCAAGAGAAAGCGTAGTCAGTAGAATGGCTAAGGATATGCTATCGAAATTACCAAATAACTATGATCCATTCGAAGTGAAAGAAAGGTACTATACTCTCAATTTTTACATTGACTTTTAAACTACGCCAGAGTCATTAGTAACTGACAGCGCAGAACCAGTATCTATCAAACATACCCGTCAATGATATTGTTTTAACTGTGATTCACTGTTTGTGATGCATGATTTTTACAAAGTAGCTTGTTTCTTAGGCTGCGCTTGATGAACCACTTAAATCCTCTGAACATCTTTTTGAGACAAGAAATTGACAGGATGCAAAAGGTCATAACCAACGTACGATCCATTTTGAGGGACCTGTTACTTGCTATTGAGGGTACTATAATTATGAGCGAGGTACAAGTTTTTAAATATTTTTTACCTTTTTATCCCTAAAAGGTATTATAAATGTGGAGAAATATCAAATTGAAGCCGAATTGCATAAGTCACCGTACGCTACTGCTAATGATGTGTCTTTGTATAAGTGCGTGGTTCTCTTTGTACCCAAAGACAGCTGCACCGTTTTGGTATCTACGTGATTATAGTTTTTGGTACTTCTTTGTAATTTCTAGGCACTTGGTGATGCGATGGATAACATCTACGACGCCAAAGTACCAGCAGTCTGGTTGCGAGGCTCTTGGGCAGCAAGTACTCTAGGTTTTTGGTTTACTGAACTATTGGACAGGGATAATCAATTTAGAAGCTGGTGTTTTGGTGGAAGGCCTCCATGCTTTTGGATGGCTGGGTTCTTCAATCCACAAGGTAGAGTTCTAGTGTACCTTCTGGATATCAGTGTAACATAATTATAGGAACAACACATTTTTAATCAGCGATCTTGGAACATACAGAGAATTGAGGCGAAACTTGTCATTGCACATGTCAAACGTGACACGTCCGTTTTCTTCGCGTCGCTACAGTGCATGGGGCTTTCCATTATGTGTTAAGCGTTTTGTCTTAATCTTCGGATGCAGTAAAAAAAAAAAACATGGGCGGTCTTAGCCAGATTTGTAAGCTCTGTATAACCTAGAAGGAGTATATGCAACCACTGAGTGCACCGACTCTGACCTCTTTTCTATTTGCAACAGGGTATACGGGAAATGCTGTTTGACACTATCCTTAATTTTGTACGCAATTTACCGCACTAAATTTAGCACAAAATTTCGTATCGTGACATATGTCAAAATTATAACCGCCGAAATGTATGTCGGCAACAAAAACGACTATACTCATAGCCCCCTTTCTTATCAAACGCTGGGTGTAACGACTAACAGGTTGAGAAAATATAAATGGATGAGATTTCTGCAGGTTTTCAATAAGTAATCTTTATTTTCTCCAGGACCCTATAATACGAAAAAACCCCATCTACAACCCAACCATGCTTATAAAACAAAATACAATCTATTTCTTTCCGCTTAATGTCCCTCCGTAGGGCTTTAGATAGAATTTGTCGAGCGTCCCTTGTATACAGGCTTCTCCACTGTGTCGTCGGGTGCCCGTCGGTTCAGTTCGGCATTCGCCGCAAAAAAGCCGGTAAAAATTCATAAAAATGAAGAGTGCTGTGGAAAACAATTCCGCCGGTGGCATTATGAATATCCCATCCTGAAAAATAAATTAGAACCTTTCTGACTAGAGAAACCAAAAATTCGTTCACGATATCTCTAACATGTTCGGCAATCGGGCGTGTTTGCTTTTGTGTGTATATTCTCGGGCTTTAGGGACATTGACGCCAGTGTTGTGAAGGACCAGGATCCAGTGCAGCAGAGCAATGCAGTTTCGGAAGTTGGAAAATACTACACCTAAGAAATCTCGATCAGTAAGCGTTTTATGACATTGCATGTTTTCTGCCCTTAGTGTACTTCTTTTCTAATGAGCAAAGTCTGAGCTGTTTAAAAGAGTTTCGAACCCCATAGTTACCATATTTTGAAGATTATAAAGTGTATCTATACTCGTACCTAGACGAAAAAGATAAACAAGTAAGGGGCAAGAGGGTAGGTGTCTATCGTTGGGATTCTTCTACAAAATATTGGGCAATCCTCCAAACTTAGGAAGACCAGCCGTTTTTGATGAAAAAATGGTTTCAGTCCCTACTTTTACAGAAAAGAAATGGAACTGAAAATTAGCGCAAATATGAAAGTTCTGAAATTTATTACTATATAATAGGTTTGTATTGAATGTTTGTTTTCATAGGTTGTGCGATGTTGCCAGATTTTATTACTTCATAGGTTTTCGTGTTGTATATATTTTTAATAATTAAATTGGTATTTATGACTTCGAACTCCACAGCCCTACATAAAGTCATATGTACTAGGGATGTGCTGTGCTCACGCGCGCCGCGACTCAAAGGGGAAGACATTTTAGACTAAAACGAGAGCTGCTACGCATGGAAATGCATATTTTTATTAATTTTCTTCGATACGACAACGTTGCGGTTCCATTCTGAAAATGTCATGGTTCAAGGCTTTCTTTTATATCTTTTAAAACCCAGATAATATTAACAATATTCTGCAACTAACCCATTTGCGGGTATTTTTTATCTCATTTCCATCATTTTCGATGCAAACCTAGTGTTTATTCGGACAAAAAAGGTTGTCGCAGCAAAGCTAGAGAATTACCGAATATAGAATCCAGTGTGAATCTAGTTATGTTGCCCAAACGTCAAAATAGTGATCATGAGTATTTTTGAATGAATGTTGATCGGATATTTCCAACCAGAAATTTTCATACGATACTCAAATACAGTCGTCCAAACAACTTAATGATACACTGTTGCCTAGATAAGCGCCCAACTGATCTATTCAATCCTTGAAAGATTCACAATCACAAGCACAAGGAGCTAGCAGCTTGTTGGTAGTAGGCAACAACTTCTAGATCTACAGAGGTACTTCAGCTGTATTATATTTATTTTGGTTTTAAAAAGCTGTAAAGAGCGGTGTATCTCATATGCACCACGAAAGGAGGTAAGTATGCAAATTATACAGTGTCCGATTTTATTCTCTGCACCTAAATATTTCCAAAACTGCATTCTAAAAGGCTATTTCAAGGTCAAAGCAGAACATTGAAAACAATTTGCTCTAAAAAAATAATCGTCAGCACAGACGTGAAGTTAGTGAGGAACTTCCAAAGATTGACTATGACCTTCATGGTCAAGTCAAAATTTCAACGAAAACTTTTTATTTTTACACTTTCAATGGAAAAAGCAGGTTAACGCCCGAATGTGACATTGACCTCAAAGTCAAGGTCATGTCAGGCTTAAATGATATTTGAGGCCAAGGTCACATTCAGATGCGAAATGTCCCGCATTTTCCATTCTCAGTATAAAAATGAGAGGTTTTGACATTGAATGCTTATATATCAAAGACTGCTATATATTGGAATAATCTAGTAATACAGCTTTCGTCCGACCACAGACAGCCAACTATGAACAGCTACTTGGCAACTATACAGCATGGTGTAGGCTTGGTCTCGGTGGATCACGAACGAAAGCTGAGCAACTCTACTCTACCCAGAGTATAAGTCTGTTGAAATAAGACAGCACAGAGTGCCATCTATTACCAGAAGCGACCACTGCGGTAGTGAAAACAGCAAGCTGCCTGAACAGTCAATCGCGCCACTACCGTGGTCGACAGATGCCGCCGATTTTGGTACTACTGTATAAATAAATAAATTATCCTACCTGTGGCACAATTTTCATTTTGAAAAAATTCAACCGCAATAAAAGCACTACTCACCTTATAATATAGAAGATATATCTAATACTATAGCTATCATGTGTCACTCGTCGAAACCATTTCATAGCGTCAATTTACATATGCGATAGAAAACACAACGACACTACGACATAAGACCACGTACCTTCAAAAGTGACATTATGCCGATTTTTTTGGACATTATGCCTTTTTTTGTCATTATGTAGGTTTTTCTAGATGTTAACTTAGCACTAAGTTGTACGTGTTGCCTAAACGTCATGAGGCTTGTTATCAATCTTTGGCTCTGATGTGATGTAAAATCTGCTTCTGAGATGGCATTACTGGAGGTCTAAGCTGTATGTGTTGATGATAATTACATTGGGTTCTTATCTCAAATACACTTAATTAAGATTTAAAGCTAGAAATTAGTTGCGCATCCACTGTTTCTTATCCATTCTGGAACTTACATATACATATTTGCCGAATTTCAAAAATGAGAGACATAAGAAGTAATTAAATCCACTCTACACTGTCGAATTACAAGTCATATACATGCTAACAGTAATTACACACAACGCGGGCGCACTGATGATTTCCCGTAATTCTCCTCAGTTTTTCGTAATTTGTAGCTTTGAACATAACCCCTCTTCAGAAAGAACAACATAAAAATAATCCGTCGGGCACAGCCAATAGTTATACTTCATTGGCAGCATATTCAGTAATAATTCTCTCACACAGCAAAATATCACTGATTTTATACACATGCAGACCAATACACATAATCATCTAGATGCGATCTTCTTTCTCCTTAGATGGATGTTCACAACCATCCTGGTGAGCAAACGTGGAATGACTGTTTGCGCCCTAAAAACTACCTAGTTTGCAAGATGACATCTTATAGGTTTTTTTTGAAGTCTTATAGGTTTTTACATGATACCCATGCCGAGCTAACAATATGTATGCTCTGAGGGTACCGCCTCTGACTTTTGCCTACTAGCAACGGGGTACCGTAGGGATCAGTACTTGGCCCCCTGCTTTCTAATGTGTATCAATGATCTGCCATTGAGTACCTATTGATAACGGAACCTGCTTCTTATTTGCAAACGATACCACCTTGCTGTCTAAATCTGACCAAAATATCGGTATAGATGCTAGATAAAAAGATGCTGTTTAGCCACCAAGTTATCGCTAAATGATAACAAGACATATTAGATTTTCTTGACAGGCGGGCTGTGAAATTGGAACCAGTAGAACTACTAGGTACTCGATACCAGACTAAACTGGACACATTGATTATTTTTTATTCTAGACCGTCTACACAATTATTTGTTCGTAAGCGTCTTAGTAGTCTCCTAGGGAGTCATACTTTGCAGGTAGTGTTGTACTTCAGCATGTTCCATAGTCACATTATTACATGTCCAGCAAAGATTTAATTTTACAAAAAACGGTTTCGAGGATAATAAAAAATTCCAATTATGGGTCAACGAAGAAATATCACCACTTCATCAATTTATATTCCTGAAGTCTGATGTTATGTAAACAGATATGTGAACAAATATCAAACCTCTGCAGAAATACACATCCATGTACTACGTAGGTACTTCTCAAAATTTGCAGAAAACTGCTATTTTCAGTTGATGATTATTTTGATGCTATGACGTCCCTAAATTAGTTTGTAAGACCACATGTATACATTGTATATGCATAATGCGGTCAATAAAAAGTATCATATGGAATGGTAAAATTAGCGATATTTCATTTCATTAAAGTTTTTTATTGGTACATTTTGTTTAGTTGCATATGCTACTGTTTCTAACGTCGTTGTATATTTTGATCTATTTTTGACACATAACTTTATTTGCTATGTTTGTATTTTGTCGAAAATTATTTTTCGCCTTTTGTAGCCCTGAAGAGGACATCAAATAAGTGTCGAAACGTCGGTTTCATGAGTAAAGTGCATCAATGAACACTTTGAGCATTGTGTTCCAAATCCGAAGATTAAGACAAAACGTGTTTCACCTACTGGGATTCGACCGAACTTTTATCTATTGTTTGATGTGTAAAGAAAACCAGCGGAATAGTTTCGCTTCTCTACTCATCAAGTCAAGCCATTGTTGGTTGTCAGAGCGGTCCGTGGGACCTTAGCTCTGGAGTCACAGTGTCAGTTTGTAAGTCTATCAGGTCTGGTAACCCAGAAACCAGACCCTTAACGGGCGTGCTGGCGTGCATCTTTTGTTTCAATGGACGATATTTCTATCTGAACTTCATACATTGATGCTGAAGATGCCCCACTGCGATCTGGATTCTTGATCCTGGACAAATATGTATTTCAGAATATTTTTAGCGCAACAAAACTAACGAATCGTGTTCGATCAAGTTGTTTTTAACAGAGATAGCAAATAAGGAAGGTAGGAAAAACAAGAGTTCTTATGACTAATAAAGTAAACCGTAATAATTTGACGTAGTGATTACTGACAGTAATGATTGCTTTTTTTTATTTTGAAGTGTAGCTAACCCTAAAATATCAAAATATTGTTAACTTTTTTCATGGAAAAGTTTCGTTAATATTTGTGTCCAAACCGGTTTAGAATCTTAGAATCACAGAACGACAGGTGATCACAAAACCAGCAGAAATAGAAAAAAAGGCTACCTTGCCACATTGCATACATAACAAAAATCAGGACAACTCAATTCATTTAGAATACTTCCAATTTCTTGCATATATTTTTATCTGCGTCTTTTTATCACATGAACTTCCTCACTATGTACAAGGCCCAGATAAGACCAAGCCTCGAGTGCTACTCACATGTTTGGGGTGCTGCAGCCCTAACTACATTATTCCATGCTCGATGCTGCTCAGAGGAGGGTTGTCCGAATGATCGATGACTCTTCTCTAATGTATAGTCTCGGGACCCTTTCACACCGGCGGGACGTCGGCTATCTAGCTTTCTTGTACGGCTCTTCTACATGATGCCGCGGCGCGACGTGCCTGCTAGACAAACTTGCCTGACTTCAGCCTCCCATCAATATTCATTCGGTTGATCTTAAAAGCATTCTTGCCTCAGGTTTTTTGACGGCCATGAAACAGGAAGTGGCCAGGGCTCACAAAGGTTGGGCTTTGGATCAAGTGAGCCTCTATAACGAAGTAACGAAGAATCTACGTGAGGAGATCAGCAGCGGCCCGGCCGAGGGCGTTTTCGTCTACGGTTTGTTCTTGGATGGAGCCGGTTGGGACAGAAGACATGCTAGAATTGCAGAATCGATTAACAAAGTGCTATTTACGCTTATTCCCGTCGTCTACATATACGCTATATATAACATGGACCCCAAACAAGTGGCCGGCCAATATGTAGTGAGTATTGGTCAAACAACTATTTATTGCAATGTCAGGGAGAATATAAAACAAATAATTAAAAAGTATAGCACGATTTTGTGTACAAGTTTCAGGATCTTTGGATTTCTACCAAAATGACAAAGTAGGAATATGAGTTGCTTGAAGATTCTGGCATTTTTTCGTTGTTAACTAACCTTTTCCAGCTCCCAAGTTAAAATCAAGTAACAAAAGTGACAAACGGTGACAATAATCTCAAAATTAAAATTCCAGTGTATGCGATTACCTAACCCCTAACTGTGGATCTGGCAATGCCGCTTCCACTTCTGAACTATTGTGTTGTGTCGTGTCGGTTTTCTAACTCTTGAGATTTGTTCCAACTGCGACAACACATAGTTTCAGGACAAACCTTACATTGAAAAACGCATTTTGAGAGTTAACTTCTGGTTAAAAGTAAAATTACATTTCACCTGGAATTGAAAAGCTGACCATTATTGCTTTTTCATACAATCTTAAATGGGAGCTTTAATGACAATGTAACATATTTTCGGTATCAGTATTATGCCACTAGGGACCTTAACTTTCTTAATTATTGTTATATTCTTTTAGTGTCCAGTGTACAAAAAGGCAAAGAGGACTGGTCTCAACTACATTACAAGTTTGTATTTACAAACAGCTAAACCTCCAGAGCATTGGGTACTCAGAGGTACGGCGTTACTATGTGATACACAATAAAAATATTAATTTGAATGTGTTATATTTTGATTAAATAGAGAGTTTACAAACCATGTTTGAAGCAACAATTTATTTCACCATCAATCTTTAATTATAGCAACAGGGATATATCGTTCCCAAAAGTCATTGTCGCGCGATATGAATAACTTGCACCTTAATAATGTTTTGGGTTTTGACCATCCTTCATGGGCACCCCCATTGCGTAATTAAAAAAATGTCGTCAAATAGATTGAGTCTATGTTCCCTACGCCTTCGGTGGATGTTTGAAAGGAGATGAATGAGTCAAGTCGTGTTGATGATAATTCCATTGGATTCTTGTCTCAAATACACTTAATTGAGATTCGAAGCTAGAAATTAGTTGCGCAGACACTTTCTTATACATTTTGGAAATTAAATGTACAAATTTGCTGAATTTCAAAAATGAGAAAGATCAGAAATAATTATATTCACTGTACACTGTCAAAATACAAGCCATATACGTATACATGATAACAAAATTACACACAACGCGGGCGCGGTGATGATTTCCCGTAATTCTTCTCAGTCTTTCTTAATTTATAACTTTGAACATATAAATAACCCGTCATATTCAGCATATTCAGTGATGATTTTCTCACACAGCAAATATCACTGATTTTATAGACATGCAGACCAATACAAATTATCATCCAGATGCGATCTTGCTACTCAACCAACTTTCTTATCAGAGATAAAAACTACAGACACAGATCACTCAGCCTCACAACAGTATGCAACCAATAATGCGTGTAGCTTAGTTGAGTGATTCCTCCTTAGATGGACGTTCACAACGATCCTAGTGAGCAAACGTGGAATGACTGTTTGCGCCCTAAAAACTACCTAGTTTGCAAGATGACATCTTATAGGTTTTTTTTTGAAGTCTTATAGGTTTTTTACATGATACCCATGCCGAGCTAACAATATGTATGCTCTGAGGGTACCGCCTCTGACTTTTGCCTACTAGCAACGGGGTACCGTAGGGATCAGTACTTGGCCCCCTGCTTTCTAATGTGTATCAATGATCTGCCATTGAGTATTGATAACGGAACCTGCTTCTTATTTGCAAACGATACCACCTTGTTGTCTAAATCTGACCAAAACATCGGTATAGATGGATTATAGTTTTTTTTGGACGTTTTATTGGTTTTTTACATGGTACCTGTGCCGGACGCCATAGCCAAGTCGCCAGCCACTTTAACCAAACTTATTGTCACATCATATATACATATTTAAAAAGTTTAGTTTGGCATCTGCAAGACTATTTCGTAACTTGAAACATGACATGTCGGTTTTTTGTGACATGTCTTTTTTTGATATTATGTAGGTTTTCCTACAAGATGCCAACTTGGAACTAGATCGCCGTTCACTTCATTCTCTTGTAGCAAGCGGGGAAGAAACTGTTTGCTTACTAGCCTACTTAGTCAACAAGTTGGCATTTTATAGTTTTTTTGACATTATGTAGGTTAGGCCATTATACATGGTGTTTTCAAATTCGATTTATTTATTTTAACAGCTGGTAGAACTCGTCAGAAGAAATTGATATACCAAAAATCACCTGTATTAAAGTTGAATAATAAGAGAGTTAGTTTAAATTATTAAAAATGATTTAGAGATAAATCATTATCAAGTTAAATGTTCAAAATTCTTGCTCGGCGAATCCACGACTCTTTACAAGCTTCAAAAATTAAATCCCAGTGTCCACGAATCAAATCACAAGCATTTTCACTGCGCTGTTGAAGTTCTTCCAGAGTATTTACTGCTTCTTCATAGTACACCAACTCTTTCATATAGACTCACAGAAAAAAATCGCAAGGGTTGAATCCGGGGAGCGAGCAGGCCAAGAAATGGGTCTATTGCACCACATCCATCTATTCGGAAACTCATTATTTAGATGTTTGTAAAACTCTCATCTAAAATGTGGTGGAGCCCCATCATGTAGGAACCAGATAGTCTCTCTCCCATTTATAGGAACGTATTCTAATAATTGTGGCAGATTGTGTCGAAGAAAATCTAAATAAACCGGTAAGCCTAGGTGGAAAAAAGTAGGGTCCAATAAGCATGTCATTTACCACGCCAGCACTAACATTTAATGAAAATGTATGTTGAAAATGAGTTCTTTTTACAGCATGCGGATTTTCTACTGCCCAAACACGATTGTTGTGGAATTTGTAAACTCCATTTCGTGTAAATGTGGCCTCGTCTGTACACAAAATTAATTTCGTAAAATCTGTTCCACCTATTCTATTGACAATTGATTCGAAACTTACGAAGCAGATTTTCGCAGGATACCAAAATCCATCTAAATCAATCAAAATGCAAGGATTATTGAAGCAGACGGACCTCGGTTGGCCGCGTGGGTCAGAGTGTCGTGCTTCTGATCAGCCGGCCGGCCGGGCCGCGAGTTCGAATCTCGCCTTCGCCATGAATGTTGTGTGTTTGTTTTAGGCATCAGCGGTGGCCGCAGTAGTAGACTCTTCGGTCTCCTGATCAGTCGCCGTGCGCTGTGCGGGTTCGAGTCCCGTCCCAGGAGAAATTTTTCTCTTGGCTATGCATGTTGTGATTGTCCGTAGGTGGTAGATGGTCTCTGACTATCGAACGCGGAGGTACCACCCGGCGGTTCTCGTAGGCGGAGCCAGAATGTGTGCATGTTGCATGCACACGTGTTCCCTCGCCAGAGTCCGTGTGGCGTCCCATGTATCCCCCTATAGCCCCACGGTACCCAATGGGAGCTTAGGCCTTAGGCCTTCGTGGTAGTTGGAGTATAAAAAAAAAGCAAACGCGGATCTAAGTTGTGACCCCCCCTGGGCGAACCTAGTTTGACCACTAATATTCATTACTGTCGAATATCTTATTTACATTTAATAAAATACTTGTTGCAAAGATGAAATGGATGCAAACGGGTAAAAAATCACCAGATTTGGTGAAAAATCACCACACCCGGCAACCCTGACCAATTGTAAGCGCATCGATGATGGCGTGGAAATAAGAGGGCTGTATAAGTCTAAAGTGTATCTAACGAAGCTACAAAGTAATCGTAAACAGTGGTTGATTCGTGATCAACGCGTGATCGGTAGCCATAGCGCTCTGTCGGCCTCTTCCTGATTGGCTTGTAGCGACGAGCCTCCAGACAAAGTCGCACGGTTGCCACGCTCGGCGAGTTTTCGCCAGAGTGGTTGATCACATTCGCATGGATCACAAATCAATCTGTTGGTGCAATACGTGCAATAACTGTTGTAAAGGACATTATATAACAATAAATGGCATCACAAAGGTATATTCCAATTTGATCTGCAGCAAATTATGAACGGCATATACGGATATGCGAAAACAAGCTCAAAAAGGTAAAGAAAATTTTTGTGCAATCTTTATAGTTAAATTTTTCCTAAGAGATAGCATCAGTGAGGGAATTTTTTTCTATTGTCTTATTTTTCACATTAATGCGATGTCGAGGTATGTGGCCCTATCGCAATTGAAAATAAGGTTTCGATAATCCTTCCATAATGTTTCGATGAGTACATCTGAAATAACCTTGAGATATTCTTCAGGGAAATACAAAAATCTCCTTTTGTGTTTTTTTGTGCAGATTTATTTATTAAAATCCTATCCGCAATCTATTTTCCGTGCACACACCTTCAACCGAATGTATGCCATATATGATATTACCGTTTCCAACTTTCACCAAGGTTAATAGGAACCATAACAGCTCCCTACCCTTCCCCCCTATAAGAATATCGATTTGTAGCCTCACATTTCAAGGTTAGACTTCTTGTAATGTTTCTGTTCAACATTCGGCGATTTCTGACAATTTTCCCAATAAAACATGATCATTGTGACATTAAGCCTGGCAACGCTGCATAGTAGAGGGAACTCTCAGCGTCACGTTGATGGTTCGTCACCACGCACAGGATTGTAATCAGTTACGGATACCCGTTTATGAGCGCGAACGTTTTATGCACGTCTTGACTTGATTTTTCTTGCGGAAATTTAATATTAGTCTAAAATGTCTGACGCAGATACAGCTGATGAAGTGGTTGAAATCAGCTTAACGTCACCCAGAAAAAGGGCTAAAAAGCTTCATCTTAGCGCAGGTGAAAAACAAATTATTCTAAATATCTACAAGAACCAGATGCAAGAGAATAGTGGATTGGCTATAGAAAATATCGTATGTAAGGTTGCTGAAATTTCTGGAGTAGGTCGATCAAGTGTTTACAAAATCTTGAAGGAATATAGACAAAATCACTCACTATCTGAGCCAAAAACATATCCAGCGAGAAAAAAAATCATCGAAAAAATAGATGACTGACAAAAGTGCCATTAGAAGAAAAGTACATCACTTTTTCTTCATTAATGAAATACCTACAATAGATAAAATACTGAAGCAAGTGAATGATGATGAGGACCTGCCAAATTTTAAAAGATCTACGTTCCATAAGCTGTTGAAAGAACTAGACTTTCGATTTTTGAAAAGAGGAAGGAATAGTTTATTGATAGAAAAGGAGGAAATTGTTATCTGGAGGAGAGGATACCTTAGAAAAATTAGGCAATTCCGCGCTGAAGGAAGAAAAATTTATTATTTAGACGAAACATGGGTGAACGCGGGGCATACGCAGGGAAAGGTTTGGGTATGGGTAGACAGATCTGCGAGGTCCTCAAGGCAGGCTTTTTTAGATGGCCTTTCGATGGGATTGAAAAATCCTGCAGGTAAGTTTCGAAGTATATGAACTTTTTTGGATGCAGATAATTCATTTTCTGATCGAATCAATGATTTGGAAGCTCCGAACTCAGTTTTGCTATCTCATCCAAGTTTCTGAGTATTTCCTTCACCCAAAAACTAATCTAAGACCCTATCCTACACTAACCTAAAAAGAGTAAGTTGCTTAATTTCGTCATTTAGTGCGCTCGCTGAGAATTAAAATAACTAATTACTTTCAGGCAAGGGAAAACGCCTGATCATTTGCCACATAGGTAGCGTAGATGGATTTGTTCCTGAAGCATTGTGGGCATTTGAATCCAAAAAAACTGGAGACTATCACGAAGAAATGGATGGTAACTCATTTGAAAATTGGTTCAAAAAAATTTTGCCGACACTTGATGATAACGCAATTATTGTGATGGATAATGCCCCGTACCACTCCAGAAAATTGGAAAAAATTCCAACAATGGCCACCAAAAAGGCAGACATTCAACAGCAGCTTGTCTCAAAGAAGATCGACTTCGACCAAACAATGGTCAAAGCTGAGCTGATAAATATAGTCAAGCAACATAAGTATGAATATGATTTAAAAATTGTTGACGAAATGGCCAAAAACCAAAATAAAACGATTCTCAAGCTGCCTCCCTATCACTGCGAACTGAATCCTATCGAGTTGATTTGGGCCGACATCAAGCAATACGTGGCGTCAAATAACAGCACTTTTAAGTTTTCTGACCTTAAAAAACTGTTTGATGTTGCTGTCGATAGAATTACGCCAGCAAAATGGAAAACATGTATTGACCATGTCTAAGAGAAGGTTGAAACCAAAATGTGGGATATGGACAATATCATTGACACCCAAGTTGAACCCCTTATAATTGACATCAACAATTCTGATGATTCAAGCTCCTCGGAATACAGCATATAAATCGATTGATACCATTAAGACTGGCAGTTTAACGGGCTTTTTGGCAAGACAGGTAAGTTCATTATAGACTGCAATCAAAGTGTAAGTTTCTAGTTATTAATGTGGAAATTCCAAATTTATAATTACACAAAATTAGGGTTAATTTAGGAGTTCCAAAGCATAATAGTGCCATTTTGACCTTCTTCCTATTTCTCATGTAAATTTTAATAGCAATCAAACTAACAAACTTTATGGAGTATGTAATAAACTTTTGTACTACTACTACTACGTCTGTAGTTTCTATTTGCTCAAAAAAATTTGCTCTGCATTGTGAATAGAAGGTTGATTTGTAGATATTATTGGGTATATATGTAAGTTAATATTAAAATATGAACAATTTCAATTGAGATGGTCCACAAGTTTTTTTCGTGTGCGTTTTAGTAACATTTTGCTGAAATGGTGAATACAGAATTTTTTGCACTGATTCCTAATGTCGAAATATGATTAGAAAGGCGTGGTATATTCCTGATAATTTACTATGCTTGTGATAGAATTTACAGCAACACATATCTTGTACGACATTTTTTGATAGATCAGTCACAATAGCTTGATACGGCCCTGTAGCGTCTCCTACGGTTAAGTCCTTGATCACGTGCAATACGGGTGTATATGTTTGATTTTACTTTGTTTCTTCGATGGATACAGTTTAGTTGCCTATACGTTCAGCTTGACGCAAATATAAATAAAATAGTGTTTCTGCGTTCTTCGGCTTAGTAGCACTGCATGCCCGTTGGTGCTTTATTGGAAATTGAGCCTCATGTGCTCTGTGATTAAGGTAGTTTATTGAAAATTCAGACACTGTCGGGAATATAAGATAAAACCTTTTCGCGCGCGTCTTTAAGGCTGAGAGCAAAATTGATAAAAGTACTTTTGGACTGAAATAGTAAGTAGTAAGTAAGCATCATGGAATTTTTGATGTTAGCCATATACAGGGTGTTTCCCAAACATGTGGCAAGAGTTTAATTGGCAACTCTTGAGACAATTCTGATACTCATATCGTCGCTCAAGTTTTAACATCGCGTAACTCATAAAATGGTGCAATCGAGATATGGGTTTCGTTCGATAGGCAATCCAATGATTCGCCGTTTTTTTTGCTCTTTTAAAAACCTGTCAGTTTTGAGTTATGCTGTATTAGAATCTGTGGTTGTTTCAAGCAATTGATTCATCTTTGATTTCGATAATATTAACAGTTTTTAACAAAAAGTATCCGTAGTTTTTCATATCGCTGATGATACATCTATTATGAGAATTACAAAATTCTCAAAACAAGGGGAACCAGTATTCGGAATTGGTTTCATAATTTACAAACTGTGTCAAAATAATAAGGCTCACTCGGAAATCCCAGAACGATTAATTATATATGAATCAATCAATTGTAATAGATCCATTTTGTCCCGCTTATTTTAGAGAACAGCAACTGCTCTGCATGTTTTTTGTATGATCCTATAAGGCAACTCTGAGGGAAAAATCGACAGAGATAGGGGACTGAAGAGCAGTACGGGTAAAGGTTCGTTTAAAAAATGGATCCATTTTTGCTAAAAAACCGGCTTAAGATGGACGAACAGACCAAAATTTCACCAATACCCATACAAATTATTAGCAATGCTGCTTCTACTTCTATCCCAAAGACGAATATCTTCCTGAACATGAATCATGTGACTCTCCGCTGACACAAATGCAGGAACCGCCCTTTTTTGAAGTTTTCATTATTGTTTTGTTTTATAATTATTGTTTAGAAAGTTGTTGTACCTCCCTTGTAAATTCGCCATAGGAGGCCCTACTTGCCAGAGAATCAGAGATTGGCGTGTCACTGTCATCGGAATTTAAGGGTTATGAATCAAATTCAAGCGGATAACCAAATGGAAATGGTATTTACCATTTTGGATTGGTATTTACCGATCCGTTCAAGCGAGTGTGGTTATCAGTTTGGTTATAAGATCCGTGACGTCATGAATCAGCTGTTATATGTCATAGTTATCACCGCAAAATTGTGGTATTTACCCAACTCCGGAGTAGTTTTATATTTCTGGTTATTATTTGACATGTGACAAGTTAGAATTTTGCCGGGTATTGGATATTTTTATTGTACTTCAGCTTCATTTTTGGGAAACTTGACACAGGCTGACTTCAGTTTTAGCATTATTTGTAATCATCACTGTTGTTGGGGACACTTTAAATCTAGTTCCTACACTTAAAAAAGTATCCTGTATAGCCATATACCACAAGAATATTAAAATATGGCCGTATAAACTCACTGGATGATGTCCACCTGTTTACGGTTTTGTTAATATCTTTTTTCATCGCTAAATCAATAAATATTTTCTTTGACATGCGGAAAAGTTTAGAGAATTGAAAGTTATCATAGCTACAAAGCCATGGTTCTATCAGTAAAAATTTTTTTTGGAAAAAAAACATTCCTCTCATTAATATTATGAAAGTTTTCTTTTTTTCAACTCTCCATACCCCGTTGTAGACGAAAAAGTACCGATTATTAAGTGATAATAAAAATAATCAGAAATTATATACGCGCTTTTCTAAAATAAACAACTTGCAACAAACCGCGGTTAAAACCAACGCGTTCAAGCGATTCGAGTAACTGACGTCACCATCCCGTGTGTCAATTTGAACCATATTATAACCGCGGTACATAATACGGAAATTTTGGTTATCCGCTTGGATTTGATTATGGTTATGACTTGTGGTGTGGTTTTGTGGTTATGACTGTCGTAAGTTGGCGTCTGAAGTGTGAAGTGGTGTCGTAAAGTTGAAATGTTGAATTCCTCCTCAAATCTTGCCGGGAAAATCGTAATTCGGCCCCTTCATGAATGTTTTTATGATCTAGATCCTCAGAGACCTAGGAAGTGATATGTTTGAGTGCATCAAATGTCTTCTGTTTACCTCGCAAAACTTGCATTGAGTACCTGTTTTGTACTACAGACCTACAGTTTGCTAGAATAAGTATTTAACATCATTATGGAAGAAGCCACAGTGGCACCTCGTACTTCGGATATACCCAAAAATGGTCTCCTCAGAAAATGTTTCTTATCACTGGTTGATCGAAAGATCCTCTATCTGGAGATTGAGGAATTAAACACTATTCTTAACAACGAACTAATGATGAATACAAAAAACCTAGACAGTGACTTAACCGATGTTCTACCGTACATTCTATGCTACTACATCAAACATTGGCCAGGATGGCAGAGGAGTAAAGAATATTTTAGTGGCAAACTGCATTTCAAAGACTGGTATGACAAATTCAAGCAATACATTGTTTTGAAAATGAACTACGCTATCAGAAATGCGTATCCAGCAGCAATGAAAATGGAAAGTGAAGAAATGAAAGCAAAGCTGGAAAAGTGTATTACAAGAGGCTCTCAAACAGATTATTTGAGTACCAAGGGGACATCACCTTGTTCGATTGTGATAAATTGTTCCTCAAATGCCGTTAACACTCTAGTCTTCACAGATTCTGAAGGTAAAGCACTTATTGACCAAATAATTAACATTGTTCTAATTGAATTTCTTTCTGCCTCATGAGTTGACATGTTGTGATACCTTAATATTCATTTCTACATCAATTGCCTGTCTTGAAAAATTTTTGCTGGACTATTCATTTTGGAGAAAAAATTATTTGAATACTTGGAGGATACTGCTATCTTCCCTTAGTATTATATAAATAATATCATTGATTAACATGTTTACCTGAAGGTAGCCAACCTAATGCTATCTGCATCCGAAAAGTTATCTAAGATAAAATGAGATACCATAGGGTCATGTCAACATTCCCCCTCTCAGTTAGTTTATCAAAGAACTTGCAGACAAATATTCTAACCCTCTGATAAGGGAGGCTGTGAGTTATGCTATAGCTGATGTTCTAAAACAGAAAGATCTATAGTTAGCCACCACCTTTTATTTATAGCTTCATTTCTATTTGGTACTAATCTAATTAGGTTATGTTGGCGCTCCTCACAGTTTTCTCTGTATGCATGCATGTCAGGTCAGGTCATGTCATATACAAGCATATAGGTAGCGCCATTTATAAGTCACTATCCTTTTCAAAGTATTTATAGTAATTAAAGAAATAGCTGTGACAAATTCTCATAGAGGATGCTACAGAATCACATTTTATTTTGGATAATATTCTGGAGGTGGGAATATAGTACTAGGCTGCCTATCTCCTAGCTAATAGGATAATGGTAATATTTATGTTTTGTCCTTATGTCGACTTGCCAGTAATTAAAAAGTTATAGAAAGTTATTTATTTATTTTGGATGCATTCCATGCTCTACACATGCCATTGTTTTTTGAATCACCCTGTATATGTGTAGTGATAAAATGAATCAACATTTGTAAACTTGCATCCTTAAATTCAAATTTTCATGAACTCTGTATTTTTACTTTACTGTGAAATAGTGTTATATGTGTGTGTCCTAAGAGTTTGGCATACAAATGTGTTACAATAAATATATCTCTATTCCAGAAAATATATCTGTCACGTTTCCACTTCTTACAGACAATATAGTGATAAAAAAACATCCACCATTGAAGTGGCCAGATATACATTTGAGAGATTTAGTGAATTGGCCATATGTGACAGTGAAATTCATCAGTCCTGAGTTCAGCTTTGAGAGAAAAAATTGTGGCACATTTCAAAGATATCTTGCTTTTGCAAATATGCAGTTTCCTTCTTTTAAACAGGATTATATTGAGGAGGTGTCTATAATTGATGAGAATAGTCCTAGGTTTTGTTATACAGCAAAATTGTTGGGAAAATATGTGACTGAGTATATAAATGTTCTGGAAACTGTAGGAGAGGTGAGAATCTTAATTTGTTTATCTGTTTCAGTCATGGTTATAACTAATTTTTCAATAGGTACTCCAGTTCTCTCCTGTAGTTATGTTAAACAATGCTTGGATTAATCCTACTTTCATTACTTCCTACTGAAACATTTGGTGAAGAAATTACTGTTTTGACAATGGTTGCATTTCAAATTGTTTAGTACATACTTGACCTAATCATCAGTCACTGAAAAAATTGAGCCCAGAACTTGAGTTAGATACGAATAATCTGTTCCCTTTTTTTATAATGCTATATATACTCATATAATATTCAATATCCTTTCTGATTCCCCTAAATTCTAGGCTACCAGAGCAGAGATAAATATAATAGCAATACTTTTTGACGAGTTTCTGAAAGATATAGAGGAAATGGGCATGAACAATACAATGGCATCAAATAGTTCGGTAGTGTTCAATATTGGAAGGAACCATTATTCAAGGACTAAGAAGATTACTAAAGGGTATGTATCAGATGCATAGAGGGGCGTCACATCAAACTTTATCTGAACCCTTTCAATCCATCTGCAGCAAAACTGAAATAATAGACAAAATGTTGGCATTGACAGTATGGGACAGCTAAATGGAATAAACTTGATATTCTGGTTTATTTATTTATTTATACACCACCAACATATACAGGGTGTCCCAGAAGTCGACGTCAAGCCGAAACCGGGTGATAGGCAAAGTCATAACAGCTATCAGAAAAATATTTAAAAAAGTTGTATGTATGTGTTTTGAAAATTATAGGTCTTTGAAAAAGATATACCTTTTTTTGGATTTTATTTTTACAATGTAATGATGAATAATGCATCTTCAAACTGGGGTCTCAACCTTACTGCCAACTTTTCTCGTTCAGGAAAAATTGCCACTCATTTCCCAACCAAGTATTCCAAAGTAAAACTTTGCTCAACTTTAACTGGCTGTACTGGAAAAAAATGTACTACGAGAGTTTGGCAAGTAACCTTAAAAGTTGGCGCATTTAATAACGATTCCAAAATGGTATAACACTTAGAAGATTACTCGTTAACTTATGCACAATTTTTATTTGAAAAAAAACTGATGAAAATTTTTCAAAATTTCGTAATTAAACAGCGATTATGAAAACGCACAAGGACCCTTAAGGATAACTGTTTGCACAACAGTGGGCATCAAAATGCTGCTGATGATGATTTACCTTTACAGCAAATGCTCAAACTCTTCCTGTTTCCTTCAGCCGCAATACACGCTCGACATCTTAAAAAAGATCGGGTTATTAAACGAGCGAATCCACGGTTATTAACAAACTAAGCTGCTTCCAATAGTCTTTGCCGTAGCTCAGCTACATTTTGAATCGGTATTGTACCAGACCACCTTATCCATCTGCATGGAAAGTTTTGATCGAGATACTCTCTCACTGAGAGTGCATAGTGCGCTGGGCAGCCATCATGCTGAAACCACATGTCCCTGTAAATACTCAGTGGCACGTCCTTCAATAAATTTTCTAAATGATTTTGCCAAAAACCTAAATAAACCTCAGCAGTCAAAGTCTCTGGGAACTCAAACGGACCGATTATTTTACCATTTAAAATTCCTGTTCAATGGTTTATCTTGAAGCGATATTGAGACTTATCTTCTCTCATCAAATGTGGGTTTGCTACGTGCCACTCGTGTAAGTTATGCAGGTTCATGTACCCATCTTTCTTAAATGTGGTCTCATCCGACCATAAAATTTTTTCAAAGAACTGTGGATCTTTCCTGTGTTTTTCTAACATTGTGCGACAAAAAGCAACTCGGGGCTCATAATCCCGGGGCAGGAGAGGTTGAACACGCTGTATGTGGTATGGATGAAGCACATCACTTACTTGCTATTGCACACTTTGATACCGATCAGTACTCCTTCGTTTGCTGCGCATCTTTACATGTTCGTGCTTGTTGATTTCGTACTGTTACTAATTTTGGATTCGAGAACTGGACTGTTGATCGCTTGTGATTTGGATTTGGACTGTTTAATTGCTCTTCAAAACGACATTTGCTTTCCTTAGACTATCTTTGATAGTGTGATTGTGCAGTGCCGCTATGTCCGTGTACACCGTACAAGAATATGCTAACATGCACCTCATTTATGGGGAATGCAGATGCAACGCTAGTGCTGCAGCGAGACTTTACTGTGAGAGGTACCCGAATGCAGCTCGTCATCCAGATCATCGACTGTTCACAAATGTGCACCGCTTACTGTTCTCAGAGGGCCAACTACCAAACCAATCACATGGTGAGGGAAGATCTTTCCTTCCTTACGAAGACGTGGTGCTAGGAGCTGTCGAAGAAGACCCGAGTACTTCAGTGCGTGCAATAGAACTAAAAACAGGTGTGCCCAAAAGTACAGCCCATAGAATCTTGCAAAAAAACGTGCTCCATCCATACCACGTACAGCGTGTTCAAGCTCTTCTGCCCCGAGTTGCTTTTTGTCGCACAATGTTAGAAAGACACAGGGAAGATCCACGGTTCTTTGAAAAAAATTTATGGTCAGATGAGACCACATTTAAGAAAGATGGGTACATGAACCTGCATAATTTACGCGAGTGGCACGTAGCAAACCCACATTTGATGAGAGAAGATAAATCTCAATATCGCTTCAAGATAAATCATTGGATAGGAATTTTAAATGGTAAAATAATCGGTCCGTTTGAGTTCCCAGAGACTTTGACTGCTGAGGTTTATTTAGGTTTTTTGCAAAATTAATCATTTAGAAAATTTATTGAAGGACGTGCCACTGAGTATTTACAGGGACATGTGGTTTCAGCATGATGGCTGCCCAGCGCACTATGCACTCTCAGTGAGAGAGTATCTCGATCAAAACTTTCCAGTCAGATGGATAGGGCGGTCTGGTACAATACCGTGGCCAGTCCGGTCACCAGATTTGAATCCGTTAGATTTTTTTTACTGGGGAACTGTAAAAGAAAAAGTGTATTTCAAGCCGATTCAAAATGTAGCTGAGCGGCAAAGACTATTGGAAGCAGCTGAGTTTGTTAATAACCGTGGATTCGCTCGTTTAATAACCCGATCTTTTTTAAGAAGATGTCCAGCGTGTATTGCGGCTGAAGGAAAACAGTTTGAGCATTTGCTGTAAAAGTAAATCATCATCAGCAGCATTTTGACGCCCACTGTTGTGCAACCAGTTATCCTTAAGGGTCCTTGTGCGTTTTCATAATCGCTGTTTAATTAGGAAATTTTGAAAAATTTTCATCAGTTTTTCTTCAAATAAAAATTGTGCATAAGTTAACGAGTAATCTTCTAAGTGTTATACCATTTTGGAATCCTTATTAAATGTGCCAACTTTTAAGGTTACTTGCCAAACTCTCGTAGTTCATTTTTTTTCCAGTACAGCCAGTTAAAGTTGAGCAAAGTTTTACTTTGGAATACTTGGTTGGGAAATAAGTGGCATTTTTTCCTGAACGAGAAAAGTTGGCAGTAAGGTTGAGACACCAGTTTGAAGATGCATTATTCATCATTATATTGTAAAAATAAAATCCAAAAAAAAGGTAATATTTGTAGTAACAGGAGTTGACAGACTGCCGTAGGGTTTGAAATTTCTATATTTTTTTCAAAGACCTATAATTTTCAAAACACGTACATAAAATTTTTTTAAATATTTTTCTGATAGCCGTTATGACTTTGCCTATCACCCGGTTTCGGCTTGACGTCGACTTCTGGGACACCCTGTATATCAATTATTGGTGGGAATACAGCAAGATGACAAACAAAGTAATGTATTACACACTAACTAAGCGGCACATGTTATGCTTGATGTATGATAATTTTGTACTAAGTATATCAAAATAGTCCTGAAGATGATTGTAACATGAACTTATTGAGTACAGAGGTTGGTGCAATAGTAAGTTAGTTCATGGGGTAGGGTGGTAAAAGGTGTTTCAAGTAAAACATTTCTGTTAACAAATCTATTAACAGCTTGAGGAATTTACTCTATATGAGGATTGAAGCTTAGAGAATTGTCAAAGATCACACTTAGGTCCTTATGCTAATGTACTCTCTGCAAAGCACCATTATTGACTTGATAATTGAATTGCATGGGAAGCATCTTTCTTGAGTATGACATAACACTACATTTGCTGATGTTGACTTACAGATTGTTTACACCATTCTAATACCTTGTCAAATTCTCTCTGCTGATGAGCACAATCACTGTTTTCGACACTGTAAAAAATTTTCCATTCAACAGGATAAATCAAATGGTAACAGTCGATATTATCAACAATGTGGTTAATAAAAATAATGAAAAGCAGAGCCTTGAGGCACAGCTGAAGTTGGAAATTTATCCTTGGATTTGATACCTTCGAACTCAAAATATTGCCTCCTGCTTGCAAATGTGAGAATTTATGGAATAAGGGTCACTTGGAGTTGCCCTTGATCAAAATTTTAACACCAAACTCTGAATCTACTCATTTGATTTACCCTGTACACGGGCTGTCGTCAAAGGGTTTTTTATTTCTATTCTTTTAAGTCAATGTCACAAACACCTAATTTACGTGATTACATGATCTCTCACCTAACCTAGCATTTAGAACTAAAGAGAATAGTAGTATTTCGAAATTCCCCACATTGAGAAAGTCGTATTTTGTTTTGGTTTTTTGTATGCTGCAGATATAGTATGACCTTGCTGTCAACTGTTTTACGCCTTTATGACCTTCTCTTGATTTCTGTAATTATTGCTATCCTTCAGAAAGGCATGTGTATGGCTCCAATATCATTCTTGGTTATGGAATTCTTTATATATTTCTGCTGTTCCGTGTTACCTTTGTTATATTGAGGTTAAATTTTCTGTTTAAAATTATCAGAAATTTCATGTAGTTTAGGTGGATATTCAAAACCAGTGTTTTTTTTTGTGTTTTGTTTCCGGAGAAACAAATATTATATACGGAGCTCCCCTTTTTAGTTAGTAACTGTGGTATACAAATAATAATCCAATGTTATGAACACCTTAGATATTATCATTTAGACTCCCAACTTAACAATGTGACAATGAAGTAGGTACTGTTACGGGGATATATCTAGACATAGATTGATGGAAAAAGATATTTCTAAATAGTAAAAATATTTTTTTGCTATATTTGATGTTTTGCCTTTTTGTTGGTGATGTGGTGGTTGTTACTTTGCTTTCACGAAATTGATTCTATTGACTGCATTATTATGTTTTTTAATTTTCAACATTTCCTGGAACATCCTTTTTTTACAAATTATCATTCCTACATAGGACTTCAGAAGAATCAGAATTAATTCAAGGCATTTCGAAAACATGTGTTGGACTAGTTGTGTGTCTCTCTTTTGTTTGGAAATTCTTAGTCTCTTTTGTGCTCTGATATCCGGGTTTTTCAGTATGCCCATAAAGGCATGTTATTATCTGTGAACTAATTGCAAACACTGTCCAGATCTATAATTGTAGCTATCCTCTAAACATGATATTTCCTTGATAAGCTTGAAATAATCCGCAAACATGAAACAGAATGAACGTGAAATACATTTTGGGATAGGATCAATAAATATTAGAAAAGCTATAGGCCTCAGGTTACCTCCCTGAGGTACACCAGACGTGGGAATATACTCTAAAAAATAACCTCCAATCCTAACCTTTTGTATTTTCTCTGTCAAGTAAGAGCATAGGGAGAGGCATGCCTGTGGGGAAAATCGATGCACTGCTAGCCTGTCTATCAGTATGCAATGATCAATTTTGTCGAATGCTTTCTCGCAATCAGTATAGATTACATCAAGTTAGTCAGAGTCGACCGATCTGCATAGAGACATGATGCATGGGTGATAGTTTAGCTCTTAATGCATCAAATATATCCTCAAATAATGTATTTTCAAAAAGTTTAGCCAAGTAATTAATGATAATAATGATCGATAGTTACTTCATTTTTACTACTTTTAAATACTGGGACAAAAGAGGATGTTTTTAGAGCTTCTGGAAATACATGTTGGGAAATTGACATGTTAAAGATATGTGCTAATAGTGTTTGACAACGTATTCAGATAAGCCCTTGTATATAGAAGGTGGTATTGGAAAAATTGAAAGCACCTCCATCACACGTTTTAAAAACGGACCATTCGCCAGAAGTCTCAGAAACAGACATGATGAATGAGTTTTCTCTGTCTTCCTCTGCTACCAACGATTGAATGTTGATGTACCTGAGAAATCTGAGGCGTGAACTCGAATATAGCAGTCAAAAAAAGTGAATGGTCATAAGACCAAACTTGAGGCAGGTAATGGTTTACTTGGGATTCCCCGTTCATTGTAGCGTCAAAATAACATTGGATTCGGAATCTACGCACTCGATGATTTGGGCAACGAGACTTCGTCTGGATTATAGATATGCAAGGTATTTTTAAAATTCTGTCATAGGAATCCTTGAAATGCTATAGGACTTTTTAGAGCAGACATTCTATTATCGTTTCCCGTTTTCAATTTTGGAAAGAGCACCTCAAGAGACCCACGCATCACTATATGACAACGGTAAAATCATAAAACTTCCAATGTCTCTTTGATAGTTCTGAATAAGACCTAAATAGGTTAGTCATCACTTTTAGCTATGAGCTAGCGTTGACTATTAGTTTGAGGTCATAACTTGAGCATTGATAAACTGGCCCTGACTTAGTTGGATTGAAGTTGTTACAGATTTTTTCAACTTTGCGCTACCTTTTGTCTGATTAAATTAAAATCGATGTTCACTGGTATAGATCATTTCACGGTTTTTGGTGGGTCACACATATGCAGTCGCGATCGATACGCGGATGTTTGTGTAAACTCAAAAACTATGTTTTTTAGTCTTCTCCAAATGCATTGACATTTTTCTCGTCCACGTATGAGTCTTCCACACTTATCCTTGTCACAGTTATTATGACAACTTGTGTCTACTGCTGTTGATTTTTTATATGAAATGTAGTAGTGGCTGAAGATGCAACTACTATCTCGGCAGCCTGTATCAGAAGTATTTTCAGAAAGTGAGCCAAAACACCTGCCCTGTACAAATCGTGTGTGCAAGAGGGAATAGCAGCTGCGTTACGAATCAGCTTGTGCAGTGTGCAATTTCCCTTTGAGAAGCTAAGCTACGCACATGGCACTATTAGTCGATGAGCGTACCTATGTAGTATCAAACTGTGACCTGACCGCCAAAATCCGTGAAAGGAACAATATATGGCTACAACTGCATTTTTGTTTTCAGAAATACTGCGATGACAGGCATGAAGGCGGAGGTGAACTACTGCGAAATGTTCATCCCAAAAATGGCAACCTCCCTCTTCTACTTCACTCCATTCCAGGATACAAAAGCCAACGACGTTTCTTTCGTGTATCTTAACGAATTCAAAAATAATGTTAGGACAGATGTGCAAGAGCTGTTCCCCAAAGTGAATTATAAGTGCGAGTTTTGTAATATTCAGCATACGACACCCATGAATATGTTGGCGCATCTCACACAGATGCATTCTATGGAACCGAATTTTATATGTCCAAAGTGTACAAAGCCGCTCAGGGTTCCCAACTTGGTCCATAGTAGGTGGAAACATGAATGTACTGGTAAATGATAAAATCATATACACATACGGATAGTAAAAATAAGTGTTTCCAAAAAATGTGCGCCTCCAGAAATTATAAGTGTTTTTATCTTATTTTATGAATGATGTGTCCAAAAATCAAATGTGAAATTTCGCCTCAATGCTATGAAGTGAGTTCGAGCATAATTTATATTTTCCACGCTTTTTTCGGCGAGAAATTCAGATGACTTACATGGTTCCTTTTTCATGAATGATTTAATAAACTTAAACGTAAATGGTACATTCGTACTTTTTGCTGGAAATACCGCAATACACAGGTATACATAAAATTAATACCAAAATTGATAGTGATACAACCAGTCAAAAAATGGTGTGACAAGTAATTATCAATATTAATAGGACAAAACTTATGGTATTTAAATTTTCTACAGGGAAATAATTTACTAATCAGCCTGAACTCGGCAGACGAGCGAAGATGTATCCAAACACAGGACTTGACCTTTTCACCAGCTACAAACGATACCGTAGTCTGGGGGTAAATTGGTCATTTATTTTCTTATTTTAATCATAAAATTTTAAAATATGCTTTTGGTCATTACAAGTATCATTTTTTACGTTTGTTTACCTGACTTCCTACTATCGGAAATGAAAAATGTTTTATAGTTTTGGCAAAGAAAAAAACTACGATTGATCAAATCCATACCTTGTTTGGGACGAATATCAGCATACATTTTATCGAACGTACACGTCGTATTAAACATATAGACTTGATCAATTTCATCCAAAATGGAATAATATTGATAGTTTAAGAACTATTTTTCAAAAACTGATGGTGGTGAAATTGACCAATGCAACTGGTATAGGTCTCCTAATTTTAATAAATATGTCATTTTTTCAAATCTTTATTTTTAATTAACAATACATTGCAGTTATTATACCAGTATTTTCCAACAAAACATAACAGCAGCATAGGACAACTTGGATTTCTTCGATAGTTCTTTCACGCCAATATCCTTTTTGAATTGGAAAATGATTTTTCCATCGCATTCTTCCAATTGAGGGTTAGCAAAAACCGCTATGATATCCTCTTCTTCAAGAATAAATTGGTCATTAACCACAACTTTAAAAGTGTCTCGCGTGGTATTCATCGCTTTCATACCCAGAACTTCAATTCCATGATCTGTTATGCCCTGTAGGTTGTTTTTTTCGACTCCCTCCTAGAACAGTAACTACCAAATATGTTCCTTTATATTTTCCCTAATTGCGGAAAATATCATGTTTCTTCATTTATTCCTTCAGGAACCTAGTCATCGCAATTGTCTTGTAAAACTGGTTCTGGTTCATCATCAGAGTTAGATGATTCATTTGGAACTGTCACACTATTTCCTGGCTGTGTGTCTAAGCGCTGTCTCTTGATACTGTTTCTGATACTTTACCAAAACGTCATCAACGTTATCGTTTTCGAGAATTTTTTGAAGCACACGTCCGCACCAAAAGGCAAAAGTTGCCTTGAAGTTCGATGCCAAATCTAATCTAATGGCACCTTTACCATCATCAGTTTTTTATCCATTTCAGTCGGAGCACTTGAAAGCGAATATAGAAAATTGATAGATTGATCGACTTTCCTGAATTATTCGAGCTGTTGTCCCGAATCATTATTACACAGTATGCATGTATGCAGTATGCATGATTCATGCTGGCCAGCACAAAAAATTCAAAGATAAGCAAAATGTAAACAATGTCGTGTTCCCATTACCTGCTCTTAGAACGGATCATTGCATTTATTTATCGTTAATTAGATCGAGGGAAATGAAAGGGTTTGGGTGGGTTGTAATAATCATTCTGGATAACAGCTCGAATAATTTGGATCGATCATCCTTACATGCAAGTCGATCAATCTATCTATTAATCTTCGCTGTCGTCCTATATGATTATTACATACTGTAGATGTTCGTAGAGAAAAAATAAACGGTTCAATTAACCCTCCATTAGGCGCGTTGATTATACTAACGTATTTAGGCGCGTGGATTACAATGGTAATCCATTTTATTTAATTTTTGAAATGTAAAAAAAATAAAGAAAAATTAAAATATGCATTTTATCGTAAATAAAAGGCCTTCATTATATGTAAATAATACATTTGGTATACCTTTTTCAGCTCATGGAAATCATAAATTATTATACACGTGCTTTTTTAAGCCTTTATATGCAAGTTTTCAATAATTGTTATTAAGTTAAACATTAATTTAACTAATACAGAAACTTAAGTATTTTATCCTAAATAAAAGTGTTTGCCAACTTGAATAAATGCAATAATAACAAATTATATAATATACAAAACGAAAAATAGCATGTCGAATATTTGCTACTTTTTACATTGACAAACTAGACGTACACACTTCCACCATATCGTCGCCTTTCTCACGAAGTGTTCTAACTAACAAAATACCAAAAGTTGAGATAACCCGCATATAGGTGTATTATTCCATGCAGGTTAATCTGACGAAGAAGCATAACTATATATCTATTAGTGTGGGCAACACACCGTTAGCCCCTGGGTGTCTTATATGCAAAGGTAAATTTATGATTCCCACGAAGAGACCTAAATGAAGATAAGTCCCTTAGTGTCCAATAATCCTTGTTAGTATACGCTCCTCGGTGGTGGAATCATGGCCAAAGTGAGGGAGAATCTGCTCACAGTGCATTCATACGGCGATAACGGGAATTGGAGATCCTTTTTGAACCCTCATAACTCTATCCGGTTTTTTGATTCGCCAGAAAACGTCAACCTTATTTAGTAATTCCCAATGAATTTTTTGACTTCAAGAAACTTTCAAAAGATTTAAGAATATTGTCCACACGGCAAGCTGAGGAGGGGCAAAATATTAAACGGAGTTCATTGTAATAAAAGACACGCCCACCAAAATATTTTTTAAGTCTAGCGACCACGATACTAGTTATGACAGTATTGAGTTAAAAAGGCTGATGAGAAATAGTAATAATATAAATGATATTAAACTAGAACAACTTAAAAATAACAAAAAAGAAGTACTCCGACTTAATTTCGTTATGTAAAATCCGAAAACGCCAGAAATCCAAAACTTTTACAAAATTTGGCACATGAAACGGAATGAATTACTGATAATTTTGCCTTTTTGATGTATCACAACACAACATTTGCTGGTAATATGTCAAAATATAATATTTAAGTTAGTTGCTTTTCTTTTAGTTTTTATTTCAATAAAAATTGGTTTGACGTTTCGAGTTGTTTTCTTCATCTAATCACGTCATATTTTTGTCATAATCTACATCAATTTTAGGCATGGACATTGAGGAAAATATTTTAGGGCGTAGCCAAACTTCAAAAGTCGATCTGAACTTTTTTACATAAACTTTGCTGTCAGCAGACCAACGATTACTTAAAAAAATTAACAATCAACAAATTTTCTGAGATAATCGCCCCCTTGGCTGGAAATATGATTATTTGCTAGTAAGTAAATGAAACAAATTCTGTATATCTTAAAAAATTATAATAACAAGAACTTCAATGAAAATATATTTTAGCTCTGTCTGACAAAAATCTTCTGAAAGTTCTCACGAAGTGACCTACGTGCGTTTTCCATTTTTTTCCAAAATAGCTTGATAAGCTACCGCAAATATTGAAACGGCATATGATTCACAGTGAATATAGGCTAATACACGTGAATTTTCAATTCGGAAATATCTAAACTTTACATACAATGCTCAAATCAACAACACGCTGATTTCGTTTTCTTGCTCTCCTGTAAAATTCACTAACCGTTGGTTAGGACACTTCGTGAGAAAGCCGCCGATATGTTCCTTGCATGCATGATTGCCACATTTGTGGCAAATTTTTCTTGTTGATTTGTTACGGCTTCTCGTGCAAATGTAGCAGCGACGGCATATCGGGTGGTGGTGGAGGAGGTAATACCTCTTCCAGTCCCAGCAGGTGGCGTGCTCGACGGCGGATTTCTCTTGGTATAACAGAAATAGTTGACCTGCGTTCTATTTGAGGTTTTATTAGTTCCCTAGCAAATTTTTCAATAAAGTGAGATCTTAGGACTTTATCATTAGGGTGATTTGCTTTATAAACACAGCAAGCGTTTATTCCAGATATATTCAATAAGTCATAAAATACAACCATTGGAAATCGATTTGTTGTTCTGGATACATTATAATTCTCACTCATCTGATCTACTAAATCTACTCCTACCTTCGTTTGATTGTAGCATGTTATTAGTTCCGGCAACCTATTTTCACCAATTTCATGGTGCTTTGAAGAAATGAATATTACTGCCTTATTTTTCTTTGGGCAATATGTTGCAGTATGAATTCTGTTGGTATCTCCCGCTTATTCTTTCGCATAGTGCCCACGTATGTTAGTTTTTTCTCCAATAACTGTATTGCCAGTGGTACGCTGGTAAACCAATTATCGCGTGTTAAGTGGGTGATAGACGTACAAACTTTAAGTACACAGTTTTAAAGATCGTGAACTTACTTGGCTCGACGTCGGTGACACACGAGAAGCTGGCTCACACAGTGTTGCGATGTCGTCGACGGAAGAAGCTTTGTGTTATTTAGGAATTATATCCTATTACAGTTTACAAACTAATAAGAAAAAACGAAATCGAAAAGTGTGGTTAAAGAAGTGGCTTACGAAGAGAGAACGTTTATCACATGTGAATTTAGTGAGAGAGTTACGTTTTGAGAAGGAAGATTTCCATAATTATTTCAGAATGCCTGAGCTTGTGTACGAAGAACTTTTGCGCTTAGTTACACCAATTACAGCTAAACAGGATACTTGCATGAGAGAAGCTATTTCACCGCATGAACGTTTAAGTGCAACATTACGATTTTTGATAACTGGTGGTACATATACAGATTTAATGTATTAATCAGCAATATCAAGACAGTCATTGGGAAACATAATTCCTGAGACATGCGATGCAATCTACTCTGCACTGAAGACATATTTGAAGGTATGTAGTATATATTTTTACCTATTTTATGAAAAAATAATACTAATAGTCTTTAATACAGTTCAAATATTCAATCAGGGTGTCCGGTACACTAATAATTTGCGAGTCTTGTGACAAGTGAAATGCTTTTGTTTCTTGCATCTGTACTGGAACAGCTGGGATGTGTTTGGGGTACCTGGACTGGACCAGGACGATGTATAGTTGTATTAAAAGTTAATTTTTCAAACCGTTCAAAAAAAATTACTTCATTGATTAGTTTTTCAGCTATGCCTTGTTGAGTAGCAGTCATATTACGAAGTTACATGGGGTGCTTCGATGAATTTATTTAATGATTTTAAATTTAGGATAAATCTAAGTGTGCCATTATATTTGTGACAGAAAAAAACGCGATCAAATTTCCCCTTTTTTATGTTTGCACTTTGATATGGCCCCTTTTTTAACTAACTCATCTATTGCTTGTGGGTATTTAGGCATCTCGGAGTTACTGATTTTAACTTTAGGCGGCAAAAATTGCGTAGGTCTTGTTCTGAAAGGTATTGACATTCCTTTCACCCATTTTAAAACTATATTGTTGTTTGTTAATTTACTCCAATCATATACCTGTTCAGAAACCCGGCCTGAGGGATAATAGTTCACCTGCGATTGTTCTCGAGATTGCTGTCTCCCGAGTGATACGTTGTAATCTTCTGTTCTAACTGGTTTCTTCCTGGATCGGTACTGAGCTCGCTGGTAGTTTAAAGAACTGCTGCTGGTGATGGATTCTTTATGTGGCGCCTTTGAAGACTTGATGGTCCTGGTTGTTGATTTTCCGTTCAATATTTTTCGCTGGTCTTCCTTTAACCCGCGATCACTAGCGCGGTTAATTATTACGTCGTTACTCGCGTATTAGATTTAATCTAACATATGAATTTTGGATAATTTTATATAGAAATAAAATACAGTTAATATTGTTAATATTTATTAAAAAAACATAAAGTACGTTTGTGAAATAAACAAAACATTGCATTTGCGCCAATGAAAGGTAGCATTAAACAATGAAAACTATTAAAAAAAAATAAATGAACAAAATCGTAGTCAAAAAGCAATCAAATAGTGCATTCAATCTATTCGTCTTCTTGTATAACGCAGTCCTGGCATAAAATTGTAGTTTTTATAGTATGTTCCTTACAAATAGGTTTGGCGCATACATCACATTGGTAATTTGTAAATCTATTTTTCCTAATTGGACAAAAAGAGCATCTAGGCTTTCGCTGGGTACCAATTCGTTCCTCGTTGGCTCGTTCTGCTGAAGGTGCTTCATGACCAAGGACATTTCGAATTTTTTGCTTCAAGGGAATTGAAAAGTGTTGAATTCTAGCACGCTTGAATAAATGAGGTTTAGCAAGCTGTTTTGCTAACTCGCTAAGTAATTATTGTCTTCGAGGCGCATTATCTCCGGTGTTGCTGGTATAAATAATGTAATAACCGAAGGCTTATGTTCGTCACCAGATTCAATATCAATCTCGTCGTTATCGTCTAATGTGGATAACATCAAAACATTTTTGCCACGCCTGGGTATGTATGATGTAAGCATGCATTGATTTGGGTCTTTTCCATATGCAAACATACTACTTTTAGGTTTACGAATTTTGGTATTTAGAAATAAAGTCGGGATTTCTCTTTTGTTTTTCCTCAGCGTTCCTACTAATGTCAATCTGTGATTTTGATATAGATCATTTGCCAGCGGTATCGAAGAAAAGTAATTGTCGACTGTTACATTTCGCACGCTTCCACTGCAATGCCTGAGAAGACGTTTTACGACACTTGCAGCATCATTAGGTAATTGAAACTGGCCATTGGGTTGCTTTCCAGCATATATCTCCAAATTGTATGTATAAAATGTTCTTGCATCTACTGCCGCATATATTTTGATACCATACTTCGCGGGTTTATTGGCAATATATTGCCTGAAACGACAACGTCCCCTAAACGCCTCAAGCATTTCGTCTATGGTATAATGTATTCCCCAACGGAGTAGTACTGCACACATGTTTCAACAAAATGATCAAAGATGTAGCGCAGTGGAGCCAGGTTGTCCTCTTTTAGTCGTTCCTGCCTGCTTGTCTTATGGTCAAATCTAATAGCTTGTACTAGCAAGTGAAACCGGTTCTTGGACATAACTGCTGAAAAAAACTCTGGTGCTGTTCCATGTGTCAGTCATAGGTCGTTTGTGTGAGATTTTTTGACTCCAGCTAAGTACAAAACCTCCAGAAAAGCGTGCATTTCTTCAAAGTCAGTAGGTAAACAATCTCTCTCACGTTTATATTTAGGTCTCATGAGGTCAAGCTGTAGGTTTGTACATTCCACGATAAGGCCAATAATTTCATCTGGAAAAAACAATTTCCAGCAATCCATATATGTTTTAACATTTTTGGCAGCATTTTTCACTCCCGGTATTTTTGTTACAATGTTTTTCGAACGCGTTTTACTTCGGATAATGTCTTTATGCTGAAATCACTTTGTTACACCATCTTTCCCAATGTGATATAGTTTATTGTGAGTCACTGTTTCAGTCTCTTGAGGTTGGAGGTTCTCGAAATCGGATTGCTCGGTGTGCGTATCATGGTCGCTGTGTTCAGACGGTGCATCTTCATCTGAGACATCACACTCTACTGCAGAAAATGCATCTTCTTTTTCCAGTTCTTCTCAAAGTGCCCACAATCTTTGCTGTTCCTTTTCATATGACATTTTGAGAAAATGGAACTACAAGTACTTTCAACAAGATCACTCGCGTAGTTAGATATTTTCTAGTAACTTCGCAAAAAAACCTGAACGTGATGACTCGCTTGTTAGATTCCGTCTAACAGTTTCGTAGCGCTCGCCTAAACGCCACTAAAATAACTTTGTCAACGGCAGCAGGCAAAACCCAATATTGGGGGGGATACTACGATAGATGAAGTAGGAATTCATGGATCGACGTTGGCGCACTACCATTCTTGGTTTTTTACTGAAGGAAAATGTTAAAATGTTAGACAAAATCTAACAGCGCTAGTGATCGCGGGTTAAGAAAGGTTTAGCGAGGAAGCGTCGATGGTTTAATAGTTGGTTAAAATTTTTGCAGATCATTTGTCCGCTGTCTGCTAAGGTTGTCCGTTATTGTAGCATTGTTTGCCATGCTAATGATATTTGATAGTATTGGTCCGATAGCTGAGAGCACAGTTGCCAGCTGAGTTTGAAGTTGCGATAAGAAATATTCTTGATTCATGGCATCCCTGGTTAGACAGTTTTCGATCTCGGGACTTAAGATGGGTGATTTTACGTCACAGTTCTTTGTTAGTGGATATTTGTTAACAAGATCCTCCAATTTACTTTTACCGACACCGTTTCTGGTATAACTTCCCAAGCGCGCAGATATTTGCTCGTTAAGGTTGATCCCTTGATTTTGTTCGCAGGTCGGGTTTGATCCAAGGGTTCCAAACAAATTTTTGATCTGGGCTGGTTCCTCTTGGATGCTAGTACCTGCCCTGTCCGCCTCATCTGTAAGACAGAGATAAAACCTTTTTGAAAATAAGGGAAGTTTTATTATTTATGGTTTGTCAAATTATCCTTTGGGTTTTTTTATGAAAGCAACAACAAAAAATTATGCTAACTAGCAAGGTTTCCGTCTTTTGTCCTTTTTCACGTTCCACTGTATATAGGGTAATTCGAGGATAGATGGCGGCCCAAGTTTTGAAATGTCATGTTAAAATTTCTATATGTTGAATTAGAACACAAGAAAAATAAAAATAGTTGACAGTCGTGGCAAAAGTTCACAAACTTGGAGCAGGAATCGTGAAACCATTTGGAGCAACGTATGCAATTAATCCAGTCGTCAGATTTTGTGGTTTGGGAATATATTTCGCCACAACCGGTGCAAGTCTGGTCATCGTCGTCCATATCATCTGAAGAGTCATCCAATGTCGGTGCCTCTAGTCCTTCATCTGAGGATGAATCGCTTTTGGCAGCTTTCCTTGTTTTCTTTTTAGTCACTTTTGGCTTCTTCAAAACCGGTTTTAATTTTCTGGTCTTTACTTTTCTCTCCTTCTCTGTTTTTTCGAGACGCTTCGTTTTTTTTTCGCCAATTGTTGTCTCTGTAGTTAAAATTTCAGCCAGCTGCTTGCTTCGTTTTCGAACCGAATTAACGTCAGCGGAAACAACTGGAACGGGGTGAGATTATATCTAGCATTTTTCCGGGGGTACTTTTCACGGGAGTATCTGCATTAGTTTCTACAACCGATTCATTTTGTTTTTCTGGTACAGAATCATCTTCAGTCTGCCATCTGCAAGGTTGTTGATCATCATGAGATAAGGCTTTGTTAAAACTTTGAGAACTATCATCTGGACTTTGTTTATTTTTGCCTGCATCAGGAGCCTCAAGTACGATGTTAATTTCAGTCAAATAGGCGTCATCTGGGATAGCAGAAGGATTGAATGGCATAATTCCCGTAGCCTTGAATGCCGAAGTTCCATTATTTACACTTAGACTTGTTCCATCCTTCAGCAAGTAACTTTCCAAATTTCAATCTAGTGAGCTTTCGTCCTGGATTATTTTTAATGTATAAATTGCAAGCTGAGTAGTAGTTTAATTTTAGCGATATGAAAAAGCATCTATCTAGCGGCTGTAAAAATTGCGTCTCATGACTTGGTAAGCAAAGCAGTATGATGTTGTGTTCAACACAGTATTCTAGCATCTCAACGTTATTGCAGTGTGAAGTATGACCATCGAGCAGTAACAAAACTGCCCCTGTCGGCTTTCTGGGAACGGACTGATCTTTGAGCCAGTGAAAAAATATGTCACTGTTGACATAGGCCGATCTTTCAGACATGTAGACCAAGGATCCAGGAGGCATCCCATCCTCACCATCCTCAAACTCTTGTTTTTTATTTTTTCCTGTCATTACGCTGGTTGGGGGAAGAATGCGTTACAACAGGCTATAACCGTGATAGTTTCTCCGTTTTCACCGGAACTGATACCTGCGATGTTCTTAGATCATTTCTTAACAGTAACATGTTCCGGCCTATTATTGAGTTGTAAGCCCGTCTCATCCATATTGTAGATATGTCCAGGTTTTTCATAAGATCGTTCTCCATCAGAGTATTTTCTAGCAGCTGAAAGTAAACCTCAACGTCTTTTTTGTTCATACCCAGGGATCGATTAATGGAGACCCCTTCTGCTTTTCTTACTGACACCTTGGGTTTCTCTGCAGAAACAACTGCAGCCATGGAAAACCAGCTAATCTTAATTCCTTATTAAAATTATGTTTAATGCCCAGCTCTTCGGCCAGTTTGAAAGCCATACTTCGCACATCGGTTCGAGTAGGAGAAAATCCGTTTTTTTGAAGTTTTAGGATATGTTTGGTCAACTTTTCTTCAGCAGCTTCGCCTAACGTGGAGGAGGGTCCAAGAGGGCCTTTCTTCACATTTTCTCTCAATTTTCTTCTTCGTAGAGTGGTTGTCGGTACCCCAAAATTTCGACCAGCCCCATTAACTCCCATTCTATTTTCATTAACGGCTTTGGCTACCTGTTGTTCGGTCCAACTAGCCCTGGAACAACTTCCAGTGCGCTTGTATTTGGTAGGCATACTGAAAAGAAAAGGAATTATTAATAAGCCATCTCACCTCAAAAATAACCATCTATCCTCGTTGTGAGAGGAGAGACGGCGCACCTCAAAATCTAAACACGTTTTGAAATATGCGCAATTTTGAGGTTATATAACAAAACTTGAACGTTTTTACTTACCTGGCACAATATTGCGACTAAAATTATTATTAAATTTGAAGTTCACTTGCACGAAGAAGCAATTCGGAAAAATATTTTTGTACTATCCGGATCACGTATAAATTAATATTTAAGTAGATATTTAGCCGATGAACACAAACGGTGCGGCGGCTTGCCTGATATAGACTAAAGTACATCAGAGCGCAGCTGCTCCCCTCTAACATTAGCGGTGGCGCTGTAAAACCATTGCGCCATCTCACAGGCGTGTTCTTTTATTCCATCGATGACTTTGCGCGTCAAGCTGGAATCCATCAGAGCGTTCTTAACCCTTAAGTACTGACGCTCCGTTATTTGGCCATAGATACTGACGAGTCGTCTATCAGACTACCCTAGTAAAATCATTGCAAGAGATTAAAAAAAATCAGGTTTTTGTTAAATTTTGCATGTATAAAGATATACATTACTAAAATAAGTTGATAATCAATATGAATAATCCTTCATTTTTCTAAAAATCAATTTTTATTACTGTTTAAATTTCGTAAACAAACTTTTAATTTTTTACTAATTAGAAAAAG